AGTAATAACTTTACCTTAGGTTCCATTGGAATCAAAATCGTGAAAATTAAAAGAAACAAAGACTATTCTTATTACATTTGTTTTTAATTTTAGGTTGAAGCATTATAATTTTTAATATAAATCAATTTTATATTTAATTTTTTTTTTGTTAATTTTATCTTGATCAGATAAACTTTGAATGCAATCATTTCTAAAATTTTCAAGAAAGTACACATTTCCATTAGGTTTAAATCTAAAGAGCCATTCACTCTATAACAAGTAATTTTAACTTCCCTCAATTGCTCCAAATATATTTGATTGAATAAACTTTAACTTTTATTGGAGAAATGAAAAAACAATTAATTACAGCATTGATATTGACTATATCAAAGCGTTTTTTCTGTGTAGATCATTAGGCAAGCTCTAGCCTCTACGCTAGAGATTTACCCTGTCCAATAAATGCGCATACTTAGTAAATAATATTTACCCCACAGTGCAAACTTTACATGGAATAACCCTTAAGGCATAAACTTATAATGAAATTCAATCTGCAATAAACTATCCTGTAGCAAAATTACAATGCTTCTCCGTTCAACAAACCACCACAATAGGGAAGCAGTTGCTCACATAAAAATATAAAATCAGTCCCAGGTAAACATATTGTTTACAAAGCAGTTTCGTGACCTCTATAAAACCAAAAAAGCCGGTATATCCGACGTAGTGAAATAGTCGCAAAATGTATGGGTATAATAAATGTATTAAGGGGCTATAAACTCCCGTGTTTACTGTCTTGGCGAGCTTAATGGTCAACAATGGCCATATTGATAATTATAGATAATACGACGTATACCTACATTAAACACAGCACTTTAACAGATAAACGTCCCTAAAAAGTTGTTTGGTTGTTTTGGGGTGTTTTTATATTGAACAAAACTTATTATTATTATTACGCGCGCGCAGAATTGTGCTCAAGCCAGCGTGGGCTGTTTAAAAAACGTTAAAAATACCAAATCATTCTAATTTAATTCAAATTTACTGAATTAAATTAGCCTAATGTTTTAATTTATATCCGATATCTTGAACAAAGAATATCAGATATCCTGAGCAAATTTGTTTAATCTTCTCTTTCCTTGGAAATTCCCTCATTATTTAGCAATCATTCATTAATTTTTAGACACTTGGAAGTTTAAATTTGCAATCAAAAACCTTTTATATAAGAAAATCCATTTTGAATTTTAAACGATTTTGCTGAAAACAAATAAGTTTAATTGAAATATAAATTAAAATCGATGCATTTATAAAGGGTGTTTCAAAGTTTAAAGTAATATAAAAGCTGTATAGGAATATAAATTATAATATATAAGGGTAATTCTACAAAGATCCAGGTTTTTTTAACTTGTCCACCCAATTTTAATGTAATTTTTTAAAAGCACGTTTGTAGAAAAACATAATAAATATTCAAAACATTAGAACCTTGGCGTATCACAACTCCTGAATCAAATACTTGAGTGATTTTATTTTAAAATATATTCAATTTATCTTAAATTTTTCAATTTCACTACAAACTATATAAAATTAAATAATGTATCTATTCTTCATGTTTTATCATAGATTCGAATAATAGCAATTTTTAAAAAATTGAAAATCTTTGTACTCACTTTTACCCGTCAGTTCTATGTCCAATGTTGAAATTCAAAATTCCTGAGAAATTTTGAAGTTTAAACGTCAAGTACTCGTTTTAACTCAAGTGTTAGTAAAAAATTACCTACAGAGCTTGCCCTTTGCACGACATTCATCTTGAAAACAATGCAAGCGGCGAATTTGTGGTGAATGCACGTATAGTTCCAGTCAAAATTTCAGTACTGTGGTGAGTTAATTTCTTACGTATATATATTTTATTGTAATTTATATAAGGCTATATGTGATTTGTTGATAAGTAGCATCCACTAATAAAAAATGTCAGTAAAATAATTAATTCCGAATTATAATCTCAAATTTGTATCCCATTCATCAGTACCATGTCGTTAGTTCCATGTTCGAAATTTCAATTTAAATTCTGCTTGCGCAGAACTTGTTTATTTAATGTCATTATAAACTCATATAAATTTGGTGTGGGTCCCATATCTAATAATTGAGATATCGGTATACCCAAAATCCACCAGCCGCCACTGATGTTTGGTATTGTTTGATTTTAAGATATTTAATGTATAATATGCTCAAAGTTGTAATAAATCTTATATTTTCCATAAATTATGTATTTAATTAGTACCCTGGTATACCCGTCACTTCCCTTGCATTCAAATTTAGAAAACACAAATATTTCAGAAACTGTTTGAAAAAGTAACTGGCCCGGTCTGGAACAGTATATTTAATATATTATCTATGTTCTGAAAACAAAATACTGTTCAATTTTCTCCGAAAACTATATAAACAAAATGAGGTCAAAAGTTGCCCGACTTTTGTAGAATCACCCATAATCATCAAATAGCAAGTGTCGATATATAGAAGTTTACCTATTCGTTCGTTCTCCAAATATTTCTAAGTATTTAAATATTTAAAATTTAGAACACTTAAAAAATTAAAGCACATTTTTTAATAAACTTGTTCCATACTTTTGGGAATAACTGTATATTCATTTTTTGTTGTCCAACTTATAAGAAATTATTTATATAACAAAGGTAGAGCATATAAATGGGGGTCGCAAACAAAAGCGTATAACTGTTGCATAAGGTCTAAGATAGGTTACACCGTTACGTTATTTATTGTTATTGGATTTTGTAAGGTGGATAATATCGAACCCATCTTTTCTCTACATATTGCCGGCAGCCACCCCAACAGTGAAACCCTTTTAAACCATACCCCCACGGTATAAACTATTTATAAGGCAATCTATCTTTAATCTGTACAGCTATCTCTAATCCGTATCCTATTGCGAAAATTACCTCTATCTAATCTGGTTGAACACGAATGCCAATCGCTTTCATTAGTCACACCGTGTCAAAAATCTATCCTGATGTTTTATTCAGTTTTAGGTGTTTACCTGTTTCTTTAGATGTATGATCTTTTTCGTATAATACGCAGTATAATTTGTGTATGTAAATGAGTATTTTAGAGACTTTTTTAATATAATATTTTGTGGTGAAATTGCGCATATAATAATACAACATTGTTTAATAATAATTTCTCCAATTTATTTAAAAATTTTAATAATTTTTGGGATGCGAGGGTGGTAAAATAGAAAATGAAACTAAATTAATAATTTAGATACCTATCCCTGATAGCACAGTTTATTCTAAGAATGTTTTTAAATCCTTCTAGTGGAAATATATATTCTTAGGATTTTTTCTAGTCATGTTCTAAGAATGTTTTTTAAACCTTTCAGTGAGAATATTCTTAGGATCATGCTATATTTCTTGTAAAGAACATGCAAAAATATATAGCATAATCCTAAGGCCTATCTATAGGCAGGTTCTTAGAAGGTGCAAAGTTTAGTGGTAAAAATTAATCCACTCTAAACATATGCTTAGAATGTTGAAAAAGTAATTGCTATGTAAAGTTCATTAAGGAATATTCCTGGAACATTCTCTTAAGCGTACCTTTATAATAGTAAAATATACCATAATCTACGTATAAAGGTACCTATACTTAGTATTAAATACTAAGTAAAAAACACAACCCAAAATATTTTTTTATAGTTATTTGTCAAATTAAAACAATATTTGATAACAAAAATACTTTAGTATCTAAATTATCCGGCTTTTACATAAAACCTTAAGGTTAGATAGAATTCTATTCAACTTAAATACAATGAAAAATGTTTTTTTTTATGAAGAACTATTTGGTTTTTTCTTTTATGAAGAATTATTTTATAAGGAAATATTTTGTTTTTTTTATATTTTAGTTTATGTTAAAAATAAATATTTATTAATTTGTATACCGATTTTTTATTTCTGAATTAACATTTTTATGTATAATAATCCTAACTCTCTTCAACTTAAATCTAATCTGACTTATCCCACAAAATTTTCCAATTTTACTTTTTATGAAATAATGTCATAAAACTAATGGTTTAGAGGTCAAATTGTTTATTTAATATTTTTTAATAAATATATATTAATATGTCGCAAAATTTAAGGGGACGACAAATACATTTCACTGTCATATTATGACAGTGAAGCTCCATAAGAAACCTTCTAAGAACATTCCAAAAACGTATTCTTAAAATAGTTCGATTTTGTCCTCGGTGAGAAGCGCATCGCTCCTGCATTGCTCCATGAAAAAGTGTGAAAAATAGTTGACTTTGACTCAGGGAGGACAGAATCGGATTCCAGTCCTAGATAATATTCCTCGTTTTGTCCTTTTTTAAAGGAATAGAGGAATTTATATGAACATTTAAATTTCAAGGTTACATAACCTATTTGTGTGCACGTGTTTGTTAGACAACAGTTGTCCAATGGTTTTTGGTTCTTCTGAAATCATTGGACGTTAAATACTAGTAGCTGGTTAATAAGGACTATGTCCAGGACCATAAGGGCGGTGGTTAAGCCATAAATCCGCCCTAGTTGAAGAAGAAGAAGAAGAAGTATTCTTAAAATGTTCTTGGGATGCTTTTTAGGAAGGTTTTAAGAAGCTTTTAAGAATCTAATTGCATCATTAAAAGGGTATCTATTGAATGTCCCTAAGAACATTCTTAGCAATAAGGGAAGGTTCATATCTTCTTAGAAGATTCTTAAAATCAAATTTTGCTATCAGGGATTGTGCAAATGGTTAAATATAATAAAACAAATTATAGAAAATTGACTTAAACTTTGTGCAATGTTTTCTAAACGGATTTTTCTGTGTAATTTTTGCAATTTTCAAAAAGGACCTTATTTTTACAAACCTTTTTGTATACCCAGTAAGAAAAGAATTTGTTGAAAATTAGGAACTTCAATGAAACAAATTTTGATAAGAAATGTTTTTCTTTTCAGATGTCCTCCCAAATGATGGGCCCCTACTCGTCCTGCACACTGCCCCGCCAGCCCCCCCAACAGTGGCAGTACGGCCCTGTGAGCCACCTGCCCCCGGGGGTGTACCCGGTGCAGTACCGTGGGGCACACCCGCAACAGAGGCCCCGCCCTCCTCCCAGGGAGCCTCCTATACCTCTGCAACCTCTCGCCACAACTGAAGAGGAGCCCTCGGTCGAGACTCCTCTCATGGCGAACAAAAGAGAGAGCACCGTTTGACAAGTAACCTCCCTGTAAACGCATTTTTAGATTTACAAGACTTTATTTGGGTTTACCTGGAATTGTTTTGTTAACAGTTTATTAAAATGAAATTCAAAATATACATAACAATTTTATTTGGATTTTGACACATTTGTATAGTACAGTTTATTCGTAATGTTTTTTAAACCTTCCAGTGGGAATATTCTTAGGATCATGCTATATTTCTTCTAAAGAACATGCTTAAAAGAAATATAGCATAATCCTAAGAATATTCTCACTGGCCTATAGGCAGGTTTTTATAAGGTGCAAAGTTTAGTGGTAAAAATTAATCCACTCTAAACATATGCTTAGAATGTTGAGAAAGTAATTGCTAAAGAAAGTTCATTTAGGAATATTAGGTACCTATATAATAGTAAAATATACCATAATCTACGTATAAAGGTACCTATACTTAGTATTAAATACTAAGTAAAAAACACAACCCAAAATATTTTTTTATAGTTATTTGTCAAATTAAAACAATATACGATAACAAAAATACTTTTACTATAGGTATCTAAATTATCCGGCTTTTACATAAAATCTTCTATCCAACTTAAATACAATGAAAAATGTTTTTCTATGAAGAACTATTTGGTTTTTTATTTTATGAAGAATTATTTTATAAGGAAATATTTTGTTTTTTTATATTTTATTTTATGTTAAAAATAAATATTTATTAATTTGTATACCGATAAATATATATTAATATGTCGCAAAATTTTTTAAGGGGACGACAAATACATTTCACTGTCATATTATGACAGTGAGGCGTATTTGTCGCCTCCTGAAGAATTTTACGAATGTAGAATCCAACATATTAGAACGTGGGTATCTGACATATTTGGAAATATTCTCAAAAGCTTCCTAGAAGCTCCATAAGAAACCTTCTAAGAACATTCCAAAAACGTATTCTTAAAATGTTCTTAGATTGCTTTTTAGGAAGGTTTTAAGAAGCTTCTAAGAATCTAATTGCATCATTAAAATGGTATCTATTGAATGTTTTAATTCCCTAAGAACATTCTTAGCAATAAGGGAAGGTTCTAAGAATATTCCATTATTCCGAGTCATATCTTGATTTATAGTTTCGTCAAAGTCCAAATAAAAAAATAACTTAACCAACTGTTAACCAAATAACCAATATATAACAGGGTCATACTGTGTCTATTGAAAAGTGTACAGAAAAAATCAAAATTAATTAATCTGTGCATAATTAAATAGAAAAAGTACACTATATGAGAAAAATGACTTTTTGCTTATACAAAATCAATACATATAGGTGTAAATATCGCCCTTATAGCCCAGAAATGTTTAAACTAAAATATAAAAAAGAAACAAATTTTTTCACTGCCAAGTAACTTACTTATCTATTAAATAGTATAATTATAATTATATGTGGATTTTTTTTATTTATTTTAATAATGCAAACTATTGATTTCCTAAACATTTTGTATATAAATAAATACATTATAATTATATAATATAATTGTAATTAATTTAATTTCTGGGCATAATTCTATATGTATAACATATCCGTATTTATTTTTATAATATAAAAATATTTACCTAACTTAAATCTCTGCAGCGTTTATAGGGTTGTATCTAATTTAATTCGTTAATTAATTGCTAAACTAAGTGTACATTTTATTGATAACGTATATGGTATATAAAATTATATAAATTAATGCTTTAATTTAGATTATTTAAACTAAATATTTGTAAATTTGTAAATAAACATTATTTATAAATAAGTACCTAAATGTGATAATTTATTTGAGTCTTTCTATGTATCTAAATAATTCTTTTTTAAAGCTAAGTAAATTTAAATTGTCACAATATTGTGAATAATATACCAAAAAATCTGTTAAACTTAAGGACTTTTATAATAAATATATCGTATTAACTTATATCAACCCCCACCCCAATTATTGTAAATGTTGTAAAATATTGTAAATATGTATTACATTTTTGCCTTGTATATAACTTCAAATGTTCACATCCATTACATACATTTTTGTAATTAATTAATTAATTAAGAAACAAATGTATAAGGGTTATTCAATCATTATTTAAATATAAATGTATGAAAAGTTCAGGATTTTTTATTTAACATTCCCTTAAATAATGTATAGGCAACTGATGTATCAAGTTAGCAACCATGTTGCATAGTATCACTTTAAAATAAAGTTAAGTTTGCAGCTCGTACACAGTAAAAAATTTTGCCCGTGTAAATTTTTTAGTGTAGGGGTAAAATTATTAGAGTTGATTTGTAACTGTAAAAGTTACACTACAAAATACATTAGGTAGCATTTAGTGCTTATTAACTTTATTAAACACGTTTAAAGAATATGGACATTATTCATTGGTACATTCACACAATTTATTATTAAAATAAATCAAAAGGGTAGAAAAACTTAATGCGAGTATTTATTATCCCTTAATGTGTTAAATAGTGACAAAATGTACACTACAGTGCATGCCAATTTCTTTGTCAGTTTTGATGTTACTAAGAGCTCTTTTTTCTTTACACTACTAGTGCCCATTGTATCACAATTAAAGTTAAATTTCACCAATAGTGGCAAAATAGACTGAAAAAACTGGTAATGACCAAAATGCGTTTTAAAATGTTTGGTTGGTACCTATCTACCTACGCAGTGCATATCCGGAGATACCGCGTTGTGGAAGTGTGGCATTTTTGTTCAGTTAGATTTTAATTACGGTGAATCCATAAGAGGACATTCTTATTTTTTGGTAAGTATTATACTTCCTTTTTCTTTAAGCCTTTATACTCAATAAATACCAGTATGTTAAAACGATGTCCATACCCGGACCTATATTATATATCAATAATTTACGGCAGTAGGTCGGGTACTTGTAACATTAATAATATAAATACATACACACTTGATTTACTTTTTATTTTCAAGTGTAATGGTTGTTATATTAACCTATACATAAATTTTTATTAATATTATGGAAAATTTTTACACGTGTGGTAAATCCCCGACATACAGCCGCCTGACGCCTCTCTACCAATGGGATCACCCATTTTTTATAACAGAAAAATGGATAACTGATGAATTCTCAAGATAATTCATTGCTTACAAGTTGACAGCCAGTAAAACATTGCATTGATCTAAAACTTTTACGTTTTAAGGAACCATTTTGCTTAAGCCAGCCGTACGACTCAAATATAAAATTATATTTTAAAAGGCACCGATTTTGATAATTGTCATAGATTTTTGTTCCAAATAAATGTTTCTCTTTATTTACCTTTTCGTTTTATTCACTACCGCCAATAGGTATTACTCAAATAATAGTGTTAATTTACACTATAAGTTTGCATTAAAAGAGTAAAAGTACCTTTCTAAAATTAGAACTTTTCCAAAGTAGTGTTAATTTACACTGAACAAAAGTGGGATTTTACCCAGGAAGTGTAGAAGTACACGATTTTAGGTAAATTAACACTTTTTAATACAGTGTAAAATTACTTTATCCTCAGTGCTATAGTGTTAAATCATACTTGCTTACTTGGGGAAAATTACACTACAAATTAACTCTAATTGTAGTGTAAAACAACACTATTGAGTGTGGACCTGTGTAAACTCTAATTAGTGTTGCTTAGAGTTGTTTTTTTTACTGTGTATCCTTTTTTAGTATTTTCTCATTAAATTCTCGTCAACCAGCCACAAATTTGTGTATGGATCCATAACTTAAAATAATTAAAATTAATGAAGTGCCGGTCTCCCTATTTAACAAGAGGCATTGTTGTGTTTACCATTAAGATGGGAAACAATGCGAGTAATTAAATAAGAAATCATCGGAGAATACTTGTTAATTATCTTTCTTTTAGAAATGCAGATCAGCCAGTCAGATGCAGTTTTTAAGGAATGTCCGGATTTCATTAGTGGTGAAAAATTAATTTTTAGCCTTAAAAGAGTTAAGAAAATCTTTCCGGTTAATTTATTTTTAGTACAACAAAGGCTATTCAAAGTTTTTCCGGAAATGATCTGTTTATATTAAGATGAAAAATTGGGGAGGAGAAATTTAATTGGGGACAATTAAAATGCTTGCAGTAATTAAAAATATATTTGGTGGAATGTTTTATTACATTAGACACAGAGTAATGTGTGATATTTACAAAATTATACTTACATATTACATATATACAACTGGAAGAGATCAAAGCAAATTATTAAATTCGTATGACGATTTTTTTTTTGCTTTGAACACTTCCAATACTAATACTGATCTAATTAGCTAAACTTAAAGCAATTTATAGAAAGATTGTCTGTCATGAATAAAATGTGTGTCATCTAAGTTGTCATGTGTCATATTTAGCAAAAAATAGAACAATATAATTTTTTTTCAAAGATAGTTTTATTCCTAAATGACATGAAAAAAACATTGTAATTTTTATTGCAAGATTAGAAGATATTATTAATATTATAATTAATATTTGTACTTAGCTGTTAAAGTATGCCAATCCACTGTATTAAAAAAGGGATGGGATTTTAAGTAATCCACGCCATTCGTTCCTGTACCTAATCTATCTTTGGAATTATACGTTAACAACTAAAAAAAATGATATAAATTATTACAAAGTTTTGTTTACAAAAGAGAGGAAGGCAGAAGTCTTACTCGACAAATTTTGTTCAATTGCACAGCTAAATCGCGTACGTTATTTGTGTTTTACGTTGCAAGGAAAAAACTAAAAACTGGTTTAGTACTAGATTTCGATTGATTATTTTTTATATCATTGATTAAGAAACTCAACGCTTAAATGCTTATATAGTTACGTTAGTGTGTGTATTTTATCTAAGGGATCATGGTAAATTATTGTGTTTTTAATTGTAAATAAAATTCAAGAACTAAATCGTGGCATTTCATGTTTTGCCAAAGGATCCCATTCGGTAAGTACATTTGTTGGGGCAGAATTAACTAATGATAACTTTACCTAATATAATTTATATTTAAGTTTGGACATTTTTAAGAAATTAGTAAAAAATAATTTTTGCACAAACATAACCTTAAAATCAACCATTTTTATATTTGATTTCTCTAAAAAACGCCGACAACTGCATTTTAAACAACAAAATATACCTACGAATTCATGGCAACATAATATTATATATAATACATATATAATGGTATTTTACCGTTGAGTGGAGACTTTCTTAATCAACGCTTTGAATAATGCTAAATGCTGTTTTAATTTAGACGACTCATTTGTTTGACGATTTTTACTGAAATGTATAATATTTGGATTACATGAATTGTGAAATAGTCAATAAAATTGATTGATTTTATACGTGGAATACCCAGCAACATTTAAATTATTTGAATTTGAAACGACCGCAATTTAAACTAATATTTATAGCTAAATGATTGGCTCAGAAGCATGCCTGAACTAATTTAGACTCACGATTGGCGTTAGCCTTGTTGTCTCGTTCTATTACAATGAGATATCGTAGTTGTCTCCTTCTCTTGTATTAGCATACGCGAGGCAGGCACGCCTACATCCAAGGAAATAAGCAGGTGTTGTGGCAACACTGTTGCGGAATTTTAGACAAATTATACTTCACACGTTTTTCAAAATTCAATAATAAATGGTATTATTTTTCTTATAATAAAGCGATTTAATCGAAAATATATTTCTATTCTAAAATAAACATATTTTAACACTATCGCCATCTTGTAGCCATCACAGTAACCAATAAAATAAATACAGATTCCTTCTTTAGGTTTGTTTTGGTTATAAAATTCCGAACTGTTTAAAGAACAAATCTGTGGTTATTTACGCAATATTTTGTTTATTCTTTTTCTATGAGTTTGTCTATTTTATGATTCTTTTGTAAGTGGTTTATTCTGTGGGTTTATTAATTGAACTTGGTGATTTATGTGAATTTAGTCATTATGGATATTACGGTGAGAAATTGTACCGATATTGTTGACCTTCACGTGGTTCTTGCTGAACAATGAAATATTAAGGTTTATTTAAAATAAACGTCATTTTTACAATAAAATATATTTCATTGACAAAGTCCTTACCACAGTCTAAGTTTTTTACTTAGTTTTAAGTATAGGTTGTGAACTGCGACGTCAGTTTTTTTAAGTTGGGTTTAAAAAAATTTCTTCGCCTTTAAATGAGGGCGAAACCCTGGCTCTGCCTCACCAAAATGAAATGTCACGGGCCGCCACTGGGTGGCGCTACTAGCGTATACAAAACAAAAAAACTTACCTGTTTAATTAGGGACCTGGCTTCTGCAGACACGTATTTCGGTATTTTGACGTGAGAAGAACAAGTTATCCCATTCGGATGAACGTCTGAGATGGGCTGCAAAAATTAATTGAAAACTCAACCAAAAACTTGTTTTATTTTTTTTTTACCATCCCAACTAACAACTCGTAAAGTATGGCACCGAAACTCCACCAATCAGCTGCGTCGGTTATCACGTGGTAACCGTAAACTTCCGGTGCCAAATTCACGTTAACTTTGTTGGTAAACAGATCGCAAAGTTCGTTAACGTTGCACATGTACGTCAATTTTAAATCGCCCTTTTCGTCTATCAAGAGGTTTTTCATTTGGAGATCCCTAGAAAGTTGTAAAAAAGGATTGCAATACCTTGAAAGTGCAGAATTTTTTTTTCAAAAAATACACTTATATGACTTTTTTTTTTCTAACTCCAGCTTAGTTTAACTAATTTTGGGACGCTGATTTCAAATATGTCATTTTTTTTCTCTAAGACGACTACGATTTAAAATAATTTCGTAATAAAATGCTCTGCTCAATTACCTCAAAATGTAAGTTTTTTGTTGGTATTTTAATTATTTATTTTGGCTTAAATTTATCTTGCGTGTACTAAAGTAATTGGTATACGGCAAATAGATCATATTTATCTTAACAATATGACATTTTAAATACTAAATTGAAAGGGCAACAAAGTAAATTAAGCCCACAAAATTTAATGCATTGCATAATTTTGCTTTTCTTCTACCTTACATTTTTTAAATCGTATCAAATATCGAATTGAATTATAGTATTATTGTGCTTAATCATCGTCGTACATCTTTTGCTGCAAATTCCAGCAAATGTCTCCTAGAAATGAATCCAACTTCTTTCCGCTATACCCATAGACATCTACCAATGCTCTAGATTTGCAGTTACTTGGTGAAATCGTTCTCCATGTTCATCAGTTCGGCAAATTTATCAGGATGAAAAAAAAGAAAATGTATTTTAAATGACATATTAACGCTAGTTCTTTGCAAAACGGAAAGCATTTTTTCAATGAATTGGCGCCAATTTCAGGCCCGATTTGAACCAAGAACATTTTCAATGACAGCTTGTCATATGCGACAAGCTCGTCAACTTTGAGAGCATTTTTGAATGCTTGATCTTTCACCAAACGTCCATCAGGTCCATTTAATATTCCTGCAAAATTAAAGTAGTAGGTATATCTCATAAAATTTTGTAATGAAACATTGCGTTGGTTTTTCTTGGGCGTAAAGGTACCGCAACAAATACAAAACAAATTTACAACGGCGACATAAAGGTTCGTCTCCTTTCTCTTTCTCTGTCACTTCCGTTACCACTTCCATTTTCTGCTTTTTTCATTTTTGGTTCTTAAAATCACTTTCAAGTAAAAATACAATTTAAAGTTTAAATTTTAAATGGCAAAAATTAATAGATGTACTTTAATGTGCTTGAACTATAAAGTAGATAAATGCGCCTTATACTTCAATTCAATATTAAATTTTGATACGACTTAAGATATTAATAAATAAGATTGGAGATTGAATTTTTGGTTACTTATGCATGATGTGAATAAAAAATATTAAATAATAGTCAAAGAGTAATGTTTATACCGAAACTCATTTACTTTGTTGTCTTTTCAATTTATTTAGTAATTAAAAAACGACACAAAAATTTCAAAAAAATATACTTTTTACCAAAAAAACATTATAATTTTAGTTTTGGTATTTAATAAAGCACGTTTCTGCAGAAGTGCTTTATTAAATATCCCTTCCATAATACTACTATAGTATACAGTGTAATGGGACGATATATGGGGCAGTTAATTTTTAACATTTCTTAATTTATTATTTTTATACTCTACGAAATATTAGACTAGTTCTAAATATTTACCTAAAAATTGTATAAACTGTTTATTAGTAACTTAATATTTATAAGCATTCTTTTTAGAGTATGTAATTTATTAGGGCAATATTTAACCTAGACATTTAAGAGTTAGGGTCGTTGTCAACACGTGATAAAAGTAGTGTATAGTCCGATTGACTTGGAATGATATTTGTAAATAAAATAAAGAGCACTAATTGTAGACCTACGTGTGGATGCCTTTAAGCACCCCATGATGCACTAGGAAGACCAAAACCGCCGTATGTCTGAGCCATATCGGTACATAGATTAGGTTCTTACGTTCCAAATGAACTATATCGATAGGCCTGTTTGGCGTTGATAAAATAAACATAAAAAGAGCGTGTTAAAAACTTAGAGAATACAGTATATTTTAGACAGTTTTGCTATTTGAAGGGACAAGATGAATTCTAGTGAATTTAACCAATAATACATTGATTTTATATAAATTCAGTTTTTGTGAAAGTGTAGTTTATTTAAATAGGTATGTATTTTCTATATTTAGTTATTATAATCTGAGGTCACAAATATCATAATTTTAAACTATATTTTATTACTATTTTTATTATTATTATTTCAGCTTGTACTTTGTGAAAGAAGGAATAAGCTGAATTGTTTTATCTTTATGGTTGTGGTTGGACAACCAAATTACAAATTTATTATAATCATTATTTTATGTTTTATAATTATTATATTTATATTACATTTACTTAAACATATTATATTGTAATGTAATTTTACATTTTACTACATATTTATATTTAACATTTACATACTTGTACAGTTTATCTTATTTTATTTATTTGATAATGATATTCATTATTTAATATGTTAAGGCTTTGTTGCAATTTCGCCACACCAAACACTCGTTAGAATTTTCTTTTATTGTTTAACGGTGTTGGTAACTGTCGAGGGGGTCGAGTCCGGAGACTTATAATTATCAATTCACCAATTTTGACAATGAATGCTAGGTAGGGCTCATGATGTGAGTTTTTGTGACATTGTCTTATTTTATTATTATTTATAATCATTTTATTTTACTATATTTGATTTGCACTGGCATAATTTTATTACTTTATCATACCTGATTGTATTTATCATGTATGACTGTACATCAATTTTATTGCATTACCGTTGTCCACTACTATACCACTTGTTATTTATACATTTTGAGATAATTGGGCAGAGCATTTTATTTCGCTATTATTTCCTAGACGTCAGGCAATATAGGTGGGCGTACTCAATGTTAGTAATCTAACTATCATAGTGATATCAAACCCACCTGCAAGTGATCCCCAAGACGTGAAGCTTCTCCAAGGCCACAAGCAGCTGCGCGGACCACTTGACAATCTGCTTCTGCGGCGCTACACAGTTCGAATCAACGATATCCTCGGTCGCGGCAACGCCGCTTAATCTTTGACTAGCACCGGAGGCGACGTTGCCGTCGCCGTCGGTCGAGTTTTCCTCGACATCGACGGGCGGCAGCCCGCCCTCTCGGATGTCTTCGTCCATGATGTTTTTGGCGGGTTTTTTCGCGGCGGGCAGGAAAAAATCCTTTTCCACTTTCACGAACTCGTCGCTGCTCGAGAGCTCGTCGCCCTGACTAGTTAAGTGAGATTTTTTCGCGCTGGTGTAGTCGTTCACCAGCTCGGAAAAACTGTTTTCCGACTCGTCGTCGGACATTTCGTGGATTTGCTTGAGAATGTCGTCGTCTTTTCTTCGGAAAACGTCGATGTTGTTTATGTGTTGTTTGAGGTAGTCGGATATAGTTACCCCACTAAAAATATGGCAAATTTGCTGAGTTGCAAAAATAGCATTATTTTTTTAATGCAATAAGGTTTGATTACACATTATTAAAATAATAAATAATGTGTTTTTCATTATGCATTACATTTTTTTCAATCAGATTAACAGATTTTAAAAATAAAGGTTAAAAAATCGTAACCACACCATTTCACAAAATCACATCATTTAATTTTTGTACACAGCCATTCTTATTATTTTAACTCAAACAGATTTTTAATTCTCTATTTTGTTATAAATCGTTTTTTTTCTTCAAATATTTTATGTATTTACATAATAAAAAAACTATACTTTTTTAAGTAAAAAGAATACCTAGGTATTTCTGGTTTTAATTTTTGATTTTTTAAAAATAAAACAACAGATTTGTATTTATCTTATATTAAATATGTGTTGGAAACAAATCTTGATCTTTTTGTTTGACGATTATACATTGCTTTCGAATCTATAGTGGTATCACAACAAAAAAAACACCACTTGATATACAGGGTGTTTCACATGGTCCATTGGAAGTTTCTGGAGAACGGAAAAAAATATAGATTTCAAATTTAAAAGCGTTTATAATTCATTAATTCTACTTTTTTTTAATATTTTGAACAAAATGCAACTTTCCGTTTGACCGGAAGTGACATTAACTTTGTAATTTCAAATAGAACACCCCCATATATTTTTACATTTTTAAATTCTACATAAAATTTTGAGTAAAATTACTAAACCATGTCCTATACCTAAATTGAATAGTTTTCTAGATGTTTACTATTAGGTTTACGGATATGGGGGTAAAATGTTTGGAATCTTAAAACATTGTTTAAAAAATTCCATGTCAATTCTTTAACATTTTTCAACAAATTACCTGAGAAAACCCAGGGCAAACTGGGCTAACTTGAAACGTTAATAACTTTTTTATTTTAAATGTAACACCCGGTATGTTAAGAAATTGACATGGAATCTTTTAAACAATGTATTAAGATTCCAAAAATTCCACCCCCATTTCTGCAAACCTAATAGCAAGAAAGTTATAGGCTAATTTTGATTGACGCGCATTTGTCATATTTTAACGGAAAAAATTAATAACTCCAAAACTATTTACTCTAGGTATAGGACATGGTACAGTAATTTTACTCAAAATTGTATGTAGAATTTAAAAATGTAAAAATATATAGGGTGTTCCATTTAAAATAACAAAGTTGATGTCACTTCCGGTCAAGCCGGAAGTGGCATTTTTTTTAAATGTTTTATAAAAATAGGCTAAATTGGATTATAAACGCTTTAAAAATTTCAAATCGATATCTTTTGCCGTTTCTCAGAAACTCTCAATGGACCCAAAACGTGAAACACCCGTATTTCGTAAATGTGCAATACCCTGTATATACTTAAAATAATTTTAAAATAAATAAATAATCTTAATAGTTGTCCATTTATTCAGTGAATAAATTTTTCATGGAAATATACTGTCTAGCTGTTATCGAAACTGTTATATTATGTGCCGAATACCGTGGATAACATTATATTGGATCTAACTTAAAAAAAAATGACGTGATCTGAAAAAACGCCGAGACACGGGTATGATTTTTTTAAGTCTATTTTCAAAATCTATAGAAATTTTTCATGGGACATTGGAACACCTTAGGGTAGTTATTTATATTGTTTATTAATGTTCTCCCCAAATACCTCAGTGTGGGAAAACTGTGTGTGTATGTTGATGATTTAACTATTGGTGTACATGACAAGACCAAAAGTGAAACTGCTAATTTAATTGAAACTGTGATAACTGAATTAAGCAACTGGTGTTTTAAAAATAGATTAATAATTAATGTCAAAAAAACTGTGTTGATTCAATTCATCTATAGTAATCTTAAGAAAGAAATTCAAATCAATAATCAATTTTTTAATTTCACGAATTCGTCTTAATTAATTTAATTAATGATAATGGATAATTTTTAAATTTGGATTTTATAGCTATGAAGCTAAAAAAATCCATCTATCAATTATATAGCTAGCCTAAGGGACAAATTTAATATTTTCTTCTTAATGTGTATTTGTAAATCATAAAATCTTTTTTGGAGTCTCCATGCTATGTCATGTTTATGTTTAAAATACATTTAATTTATCTTTTTGACCTGTCTTATTTACCTTTTTCTGTGGTAATTCCGTGATTAATAAATTATTATTATAATTATTATTATTATTAAAATGTGTATGTATAATTTAATTTTTTACCTTGGCTAAAGTATTACTTAAAATATCTTTAATGTCAAAATAATGAAATAATTAGGATTAGGTTTCTTACCTACAATATTCAAGTATGAGAAAAAGTGCATTCTCGCAATTAAAATGATTGTACAATTTAACCATATAAGGCACAAGTTCAGGTAAAATTAAGTGGTCGTTTAAAAACTCCATTGTTTTATGAATCACCTAAAACAGAAAATTCACTTAAATGCTAAAAAATTAAGCAGTTAAATTTTATGAAAAATAGTTTAATTCAAAAAATATTCCAAAAAACTTACCTTCACGTAAAATAACTGCTGTGTATCGGAATGTAAAACCAACATGCCATTGCAAATAACTTTAATAACTTTATATTTATATAAGTCCATTACTTCTCTATTTAACTGTGGTTCTACTAACGCTTCCTCCTGAAATTTAAAAAATAAAAATATAGGGTGTAAAATAAAGTGAACAGCTTACTTGTTGTCTTAAATTCTTCACTTCCTCTGCTAGGTACATGTTGTAAATTTTTTCGGCCCTAAGTAAATATTTTTCGGTTTTATAGCGAACTAATTGTTTTCTATCATAGTTTGAGTCATCTAAAAAAGGTATTGGTAAATTGGTGATACAAGTCTTATTCTTATCAAAATTGCTAAAAAATTCAAACAAACAAATGATAAGATATTTCAATATTGTTTTATTAATATTAAGAAAGATAATATTTCCTACAAAAAAACGATTTTTTTGACTTAAAAATTCATTTTTAAAATATTATTACAACGTGTTTAGAATAAGCTCAAAAAAATATTTATATTTTGAACTATTAAACCAATATTAATAAAACTCCGCAAATAAATCAAAAAATCATTTTTGTAAATAAATTTACAAAATTATTTATCCAAATCAGTTACAGTATAAAAATTCATTCAACAGTTCAAAAAATCATTTTTACAAAATTATTTATCTACATTCAGTTTTACAGTTCAAAAATCATAGTTTTGAGTAAATTTACAAAATTGTAAGAAAATTTACAAAATTATTTATCTAATATCAAAAAATTTACGATATTATTAAATTTTAATCAGTTTTACAGTTAAAAAATCTTTTTTGTTAGTAAATTTACAAAATTATTTATTTAACCAGTTCAAAATCTTATTTTTGTACGTACATTTACAAAATTAATTATCTAACTTCAGTTTTACAATTTAAAAAGTCATTTTTGTGAGTAAATTTACAAATTTATTTATTAAAAATCAGTTTTAAAAAATCATAGTTGTGAGTAAATTTACAAGATTGTAAAAAAATTACAAAATTATTATATATTTAAACACTTTAGAAAATCATTTTTGTGAGTAAATTTACAAAATTATTTATCTAAATAAGTTCAGCAGTTCAAAGAATCATTTTTATAAAATTTACAAAATTATTTATCTAAATCCAGTTTTACAGTTCAAAAAATCATAGTTGTGAGTAAATTTACAAAACTGTAAGAAAATTTACAAAATTATTTATCTAATATCAGTTCAACAGTTCAAAAAATCATGTTTGTGCGTAAATTTACAAAATTATTTATCTAAATAAGTTTTTCAGTTAAAAAAATCATTTTTGTAAAAAAAAATTACGAAATTTTTTAATCTTAATCAGTTTTACAGTTCAAATATCAAATTTTTGTAAATAAATTTACAAAATTCTTTATCTAAAATCAGTTTAACTCTCCAGAAAATCATTCTAGTGAGTAAATTTACTAAATTGTGAGAAAATCTACGAAATTATTTAATCTTAATCAGTTTTACAGTTCAAAAAATTTTTTGTTAGTAAATTTACAACATTATTTATCTAAACCAGTTTTACAGTTCAAAAACTTACTTTGTGCGAAAATTTACAAAATTAATTTTTGATTTTTTGAACCGTAAAACTAAATTTAAATAAAGAATTCTTTATTTAAATTTAGTTTTACGGTTCAAAAAATCATAGTTGTGAGGAAATTTACAAAACTGTAAGAAAATTTACAAAATTATTTATCTAATATCAGTTCAACAGTTCAAAAAATCATTTTGGTGCGTAAATTTACAAAATTATTTATCTAAATAAGTTTTTCAGTTAAAAAATCATTTTTGAAAAAAAAATTACAAAATTATTTTATCTTAATCAGTTTTACAAATCAAATATCAAATTATTGTAAATAAATTTACAAAATTCTTTATCTAAAATCAGTTTAACCCTTCAGAAAATCATTCTTGTGAGTAAATTTACTAAATTGTAAGAAAATCTACGAAATTATTTAATCTTAATCAGTTTTACAGTTCAAAAAATCTTTTTATGAGTAAATTTACAACATAATTTATCTAAACCAGTTTTACAGTTCAAAAACTTACTTTGTGTGTAAATTTACAAAATTCTTTATTTAAATTTAGTTTTACGGTTCAAAAAATCATAGTTGTGAGTAAATTTACAAAATTGTAAGAACATTTACAAAATTATTTATCTAATATCAGTTCAACAGTTTGTGCCTAAATTTACAAAATTAATTATCTAAATAAGTTTTTCAGTTAAAAAATCATTTTTTTTTAAATTACGAAATTATTTAATCTTAATCAGTTTTACAGTTCAAATATCAAATTTTTGTAAATAAATTTACAAAATTCTTTATCTAAAATCCGTTTAACACAGAAAATCATTCTTGTGAGTAAATTTGCAAAATTGTAAGAAAATGTACGAAATTATTTTACAGTTTTACAGTTCAAAAAATTTTTTTTTGTAAGTAAATATACAAAATTCTTTATCCAAACCAGTTTTACAGTTCAAAAACTTACTTTGTACGTAAATTTACAAAATTCTTTATCTAAATTCAGTTTTATACATCAAAAAATCATAATTGTGAGTAAATTTACAAAATGATTTTTTTTAAATCAATTTTTCTTTATCTAAATTTAGTTTTACAGTTTAAAAAATAATTTTTGTTAGAAAATTTACAAAATTAATTCCCTGAATTCAGTTTTACAGTTTAAAGTCATTTTTGTAAGTCAATTTACAAAATTCTTAATCTAAATTTTGCAGTTTAAAAAAATCACAATTGCAAGTAAATTTACATTGTAAGAAAATTTACAAAATTCTTTATTTAAATTCACTTTTACAGTTATATCTAATTAAGCAAATTTGAGTTTTGGATTGAATTTTTGCAAAATTGTAAAAAAAATTATAAAATTATTTATCTAAATCAGTTTAACAGTTTAAAAAATCATTTTTGTAAGTAAATTTACAAAATTCTTTATGTTAATTCAGTTCTACAGTTCAAAAAATAATAGTAAGTAAATTAACATAATAATTTTTTAAAACATGTTTTTTAAAAATTATTTTGTGAGTAAATTTACAAATTTATTTAAAAAAATCAGTTTTACAGTTTAAAAAATTATTTATTTGAGAAAATTTACAAAATTATTTATCTTACCTTTTCCAAACTTTAAAAGAATATCAATGGCTGTCGTATAAGCCACAAATGCCTCATCATACTTTTTATCATTTTCTAACTCAACAGCAATGTTAACATGAATAGAAGCATCTATAAGATATTGTGCATATTCCCCCGAGACAGAAACCCCTGGTGTTTGGGGGGCAGTGGGGTAAACCTGACCATCAATCAGCAGCAAACTATCTGTGGTGGTACCAATACTAACTGTATCGGAACTCTGAGATACAGATTGACGTTTTTTCAGTTTTAAATGAGAATCTGAGATATCCAAGTTCTGCACCGAAGGACTCAGACTACTTATGGTTGTAATGGAATCAGTATCACTTATGGTGTGATCATCATCAGAGTTTATGCTTCCTATGTACTCCTCTTCAGGAAGATTCAAGTCAGCTCTTATAAGATTTATGTTGCTGTTTAAATGATCGGCAGGGGTTAAACTTGTCTGTAAATTCGTACATTATTATCATTATTTACTTACTTACTTCTACTTACTTCAAAAAACTTAACAAATTCTGTAGACGTGAATAATTGCGACTGAGATCCTACATACTCTAAAAAATTCAAAATGCTTTGTTTTCTGATGGTAATTGTTTCTTCATCAAAACTAAAAAACAATTTATGAACACCATGAATTGTATTTAACCACTAATTACCGTTTAAATAAAGAAGAACCGGGTAAATTTGGTAATTTCGACTCCAAATTTAATTTTCTATGTAAAACTTTAACTTCCCTGTGTAACTTCTTAAAATCATTAAACCTCTTCCAAACGGTAACTTTTGTAACTGCATCGGGACACGATTCCGGGTAAAGCTTTAATTTTATTAAAATACAACAAAAATAACCCTACTTTATTATTTATAAACATACCAACGATATTACTTTGTAAATAGTGTAGCCATTCTTGTGTTTATTCGTTTCGGGTACATCAAAAATTCTCATCCATTTTTCACGATTCGAGACCATGTTCTTTTCGAGATATTTTGAATTTTTTACGAAAACATTTTCGAGCTGTCAAATTTGACATATAAACAAAATTCACAGCGGTAATGCCAACTGACGCAGTTATACCAACAAAACAACTACACATAAAAGAGTTGTTCCAAATCGCATGTCTATGTTCCACACGCTTGTCAATTTTAATCAATAGAAGGTCAAAGTTAAGAAAATAAAAAATTGTATTAATTTTTTTTATTTAAAAGTAATAAATAACAACAATCAATAACTAAAACCCCCTGACTTCCTTGACGGCTTTTTCCTCTTCGACAGAAGACATTTTTTGGTACTCCAAAAACTCCATAGTGAAAGTGGCTGTACCAGATGAAAGGGTTCTTAAAATGGTGGAATAACCTTTTAATTCTGATAAGGGGCAATGTGCCGAAACGACTTTGGAATTACCGCGTATAAATACGTTATTTACGGATGTTCTTCTTCTGGATAGATCGGCTAAAATGGTAGATAAATATTCGTCAGGTACTACGACTTCCAGGTTCATTATTGGTTCGAGGATGTCCGATCCAGAATCCCTTAAAAGCTAAAATGATGTGTTGTAAATAAAATAACATTTCGGTAAAAGTTCCGTTTTGCTCATCTTCCGAAAAAATGGTAAATTTTTGCAGGAAAGGCTTAAAATTTACTGTTCTTAAAATATTTTGGGGGGAGGGTGTTTTTAACAATCCTTTATACGAAATATCGTGAATTAATTTTTATCTTGAACAGTTTTTGAGATATTTTATTCTTTAAAAAATTTTGACAGATATACGCTCTTACTAATATGTCTGTATTACCACTAATTATAATGTTAAAAAGTTAATTTTTGGTGAACCTATACAAAATAATGTTTTTTATTTTGAAATGCTGCAGCATTCCCTATACCTAAAGTAAATATTTACAAAGATATTACAAAAAAATTAAAAAAATAACGTTAATTTTTTTATTTGTAATCTCAGTAGTGTGCATTGAATTGTCTTTTATTTAGTATTTATAAAGTAATGTCAATGTCAACGTCTCTGACAATTGCGTTACAATGGGTGATAATAATTACAGTAATCAATATATTTCAAACAAGTTTAATACATATCGCACATGGGCGACAACAGTGTCATAAGTAGTAAAACCATAATTCCGAGATAAGTTAACTTAAAAGATTTTTGAATAATAAAATTCTGACATTTTTGTAAAATTATATTAACTTACAGTGTAATAGTCCGGGAGGCAGTGAAGATTTTCGGTACTTATTTTCCCAGTTGGCAAACACCGATACAATTATTGGGTTTGTTATTCTGAGCAAAATTTATATATATTTAGGGGGGGGTTTTCCGATGGGTTAAGGCGAAAAATGCGTTATAAAGTACAAATATATTGCACTTTTTTTTCCAGTGATAAAAATAATTCCATTAGTGAGAGATATAGTGAACTTAAGAAAAAAAATAGTCTGGCTAATCTGTGAGTATGGGTAATATGTCTGGCAGGTGGAAAAATTATCAAAACCATTGCCCTTATTTTCGCAGTCCTAAAAATTTTGTGAGATGATAGTTTATATTATAATTACAGCTGCAAATATAGTCTGGCTAATGTGGAACATTCCGAAAGCCTTGCCAGACTCGTCCACAGGCGCGCTAAATTCGGCATGTTCAATTATACAGGCGATTGTTGTCATCTCTACATGTTTTTACTTTTCATAATGTATGATAAGAAAATAATGTGTGTAAAGCAAAATTTAAATATGGCTAAAAAAAAATGTCAGTCCGTCCGCCACCAAAAAACTTTATTCGCGAATAACTTTGTAACTATCAGAGATACAAGAAAATTTGTGCAGTTGGTTTTTGTAGGATTCTCTACAAAATCGATCTCTTGACAGTCTTTTGTATCTCCCTTAGTTTTTGAGTTATATCAATAAAAAAAAAGAAAATCGCGAAAATTCCCATAAATAAATAAGCACCCGTCGCTTCCTCTCCTCAGTTAACTATATACATATATGTGACTTGTGAGTCTGGCGGGGCTTTCGTGATTGTAAATAACAGCCAGACGTGTATTTTCTACGAAATTATAGTATTATTTATCATGTGACAAATTTTCAAATCCGGGAAAATAAGAGCAAAATTTTTGTAATTCTTACGATTTTCAAGATGCCGCCAGAACAATTTGCCAATTTCATAAATCAGCCAGACTTAATTTTGATTATAGTTTATGACAGTACCAAATAATGGGTTAAATTTTAAGCATGGGAAAATAAGGGCTACGTATTTCAAAAACCGGTCAAATTTTTGCTTCCGCAAATTTTCAGCCAGACTGACTTTCCTTCACTTGGGATGTGCCAGACTGTTATTTCCATTAATAAAATGACTCACTTTAATTAATGTGAAATATTTATGACTGGGAAAATAAGTGGACTTGACTTTTTGGCTCATCTAGTGAACCCATCCGAAAATTTTAGCCAGACACACAAATTGTCGTTTTGTGTCACCATTTGAACAAACTTAATGACATTCACAAACTGGGAAAATAAGTACCGAAAATCTTCACTGCCTCCCGGACTATAAGTTAATATAATTTTATAAAAATGTCAGAATTTTATTATTCAAAAATCTTTTAAGTTAACTTATCTCGGAATTATGGTTTTACTACTTATGACACTGTTGTCGCCCATGTGCGATATGGCGAGTGCGGAAAAGTTTTAGAAAGAACAATTGGCACTTGTGTAATCTGTGATTATTTCCTTAAAAGAATTATCAAAAATTATATTAAAGAAATGTAACAAATAAAACTAATCCAAAGTTTATGAGTGGGGTTAAATTGGGATACCTTTCACTAAAAGTTCTTATTGTTATTTCTAAAACTTTTCCGCACTCGCCATATGTATAAGGGTGGTTTTCAGTATATTAGCCATAATTTTTTTTACATTTTCCTACACAGGCATATTTTTTATCGATTTATAATATCAAAAGTTCAATATCCTATGAATTTATTTTTTAATTTTGGTTTTAAAACTCCTGTTCCACATGACCGTCGTATGTCCCTCGAGCAAAATCCAATATTTGCGATCTTCTAAAAATATAATTCAACTTTTACAGTTCCTGTCGTGTATTTTAATACAGAAAAGGTAAGTTAAAGTTCTTCGTATTTTTTTATTAACATGACCCTCTAAGTTATAAAATAGCAACATAAATAGTTAGTAAATTGCTCGCTATGTTTTTTGTTATCGGTTGTTTACCGGTGGTCCTTTAATTTTGAGCAAATAAAAATGTGTGAAATCACATGAAAAAAAAGTATGCGACGGTCATGTTAAAAATTTGTTTATTTTTTATTTTATGATAGTTTTGTTTGAAATTATAAAGTTTTTGGTATTTAGTGTAACAGGTACACCAAAAATTAACTTTTTAACATTAAAATTAGTGGTAATACAGATATATTAGTAAGACCATCCATTGTCAAAATTTTTTATTGTATATCGTAAACTTCCGCTTCCGCATCCCTGATTTTTTGCATTGAGGCCAGATAGTAACATAGGCTCCTTTTTATATTTTTTTTGGTGTAAAAAACACCTTGTTTTACAAGTTTTTCCAAAATAAGCCAAAGAAAAAATACCTTTTCTTCGAAAAAGCTGCGATACGGAACAAATACCGATATTTCAATTCGATTTTTTATACTTTTTGCACCAATTGGGTGACTGTAGCGGTTATCATGGAGCTGGATGTGCCTCTTCCGGCTTCAAACCAATGCAACACGACTTCCGTGTTAACAACCGGTGAACTAATTTTGGGCCCGTGCATTAAACCCACATCTACGCCTGTTTTAATGGCGACCATATGTTTAGGGTGTATCCCGGCGATGTTACTACTGGCATCAGCCGATTTATCAAACCGCAGAACCCTTTTAACCTCCTTATTCCCCACGGGGTTAACTGATAGAGAAACAGTTACACTTTGCTTGCTAGTGCCGATTTTGGTCTCATATGTGTGTTTATTCGTAACTCTTTCCAAAGGAGATTCCCAGTAGGCTATTTGCAAAGGCCCAAGGTCAGCGTCCACTTTATACTCCTTGAGAATTCTGTCCTTGATGATCTCCAAGTGTAACTCGCCCATGCCAGCTAACACAGTCTGCCCAGTTTCCTCATTGTGAGTTACTCTAAGACTGGGATCTTCCCTTTGCAACTCCTCCAATGCTTGTTCCAGAGCCGTTTGAGCGGCAAGACTAGGAGGCTCTATGGAGCAAAAGAACACTGGTTCCGGCACTTTAGCACCTCTACCAAAGAGATCATCTATGGTGGCGTCATCTTTTCTGCCGAGGGATTTCAACATTTTCGTTTTGGCTTTTTGGCAGGCTCCACTGGAACTGCACACCAAGTCCCCGGATCTAACCCTCTTCAGTCCAGCCACCACTGCTATATTCCCGTCACCGACACTCTCCACATCTTTAAACTCGTCTGCGTAAGCGACATACAACCTGTTGTTTTGTTCTGTTATATCCTGCTGGATGTTGTAAATCTTCTGGTTCTTCGCGATGCTTCCGTTGTAGATCCGCATGAAAACCAGAGGGCCTTTTTGTTTGTCGTGTGTCACCTTAAACGCTCTCGCGCATAGGCTGTCTTCGAAACACTGAAACCGCCCGTTTTGCTCTTTGGGTGACGGTAAATACATTACGATTGCGTCCATGAGCGATTGGACGCCGATGTTTTTGTAGGAACTTCCCAAAACGACTGGCACCACAACCTGAAATTTTGTTGTAACTTTTAAAGAGCCAATCATGATACAAGAAAAAAAGTATGTTTTGCGCGTCTGTTCCCTTGTGGAAATTTTTCTCTGAGAAAAAATATTTTTTCATAAATATTTTTCTAAATATAATAGTTGTTAAAAATGATTTAAACTAAATGATTTTTAAAAGATTTTATACAATTTTTTAGGTTTTAAGTTTTGTTGAATTTTTACCCCTTAAAACCGTAAAATATTTAGAGGGCATATAATTTTTAAGATGTATCATGCCTATTTTTATCAATAAAATAATGTGCGTAAGTAAGTACCATTTTTTAAAATATAAATTAAAAGAACAAAGAAATTACGAATGTCAATGTTTTAGAAAGACAGAGCAAACAATTAGTAATTATAACGTTATTTTTACGTAAATTTGTGGTATTTATTTTTTTTATTACGTTTTTCTCTTAGTAGATCAAAAAGGATATTATGTAGGTAAAATAACGAAAAAAACCATTCAACAAATTTGGTAATTTTTCGCATCTATACCGTTATAAAACCGTTTTGGTTAACCGTAAAAATACTTTAAATTTGTAGTTATTTAAACTTAAAATGCTGCTTGTGTTACCTGTGACAGATATATAAATTAAAAAATAATTAAGGTTACTGTTTTTGTTTGTTTTGTAGGTTGTAGGTATTTGTTCCAAAATCTTTAAAAGTGGATACGTTTCCAAGTTTACACTTAACAGCTAGCTAATCTATAAAAAGAGAAACCAAGTACTTTGTAAGAAATACCTATAAATAAAATTGGAAAAAACAATATAATTCATAGTTCTTTTTACAGTGTACAAGAAACAGGACAAAACCAGGAAGCATACTATAATCTTTGAAGACAGCATGTAACAGAAACTCACTCTAAGAAATGCAGTGTATTACACTGAGTGTTAGAAATTAAAATAAAATTTAAAAAACAAAATGAATAAAAATTAAATCTTTTTTTTAGCATTGTGCAAGAAATGTGTCAAGACAAGGAAGATAATAATATATATTTTTTACAAGTTTAGTTTGTTTTAGCAACTAAACCTAAATTGCAGATGTTTGTAAAAACAATTTTGTAATACATAAATTTAAAAAAATATGTTGTCTACATTTTTCTTGCAATTTTAATGTTGTAACTTGACACTTTTCATTTAATTCTTTATATTTGCTTAAAAACAGGATAATTTATTTTATTGAAAACATTTTATTTAAAAATGGCTTTAAAACAAGATATTTTATCTGAAAACCCATTATTTAAAACTTTTAATCTGAAACTAAAATTAAATTTTTCTTATCACTTTTTTGATATTTAGTAGGTAAATATTATTTACTTTAAAACAAAATATTTTATTTTATTGAAAAACCATATAAAATAGTTTTTTTCATTAATAATATTTTCTTGAAATGTTAATATTGTGACTTTGATAGTTTTTTATGTGTGATCTTCAAATTATTCGACAATTTAATCTAAATATCGAATAATTTTATAGAAATTTTGATGAATTTTATAGGAGGAGAATATTTAAATTTAAAATATGATTTAAATTCAAAACCAAAATTCGTACCTTGTCATATTTGTACCTTGTTTTATTGCTAATACTAACTTCTCAGCACAAAAATAAGCTGCAGTACTGAAATTAAATAATCCACAATTTACAAAGGATTTCCAGAAGGAATGGTTAGAATAATTGTGGAAACAAATTAATGGTGCTGATTATTAATATGAAAAAAATTAGTAAAAATCTAAATGAATACCTACATAAGAAGACTATATGGATGATTGGAAACATAATAGGGTATCAAAATGTACCTATATGATAATTAAATGGTTTTCATCAATTGAAACATGGTTTTAGAAGATACAAATACAAAGATAATGAAGTATGAATGAATGAATTAAGTAGAATTTGAAAATATTTGAAGAAGAAACCAAATTAATAAATAAAGATTAAATAACATTGGATCATAGAAAATGTATTAAGAAGAATTGTTATAATAGTAGAAATTTGTACATTTAAATAAATCAAGGGATGAATTAAACTTAATTATCCAAATTAAAACCCTTGGATCTACCTAAATAAAAAAAGAAGAAAAAATACGTTTTTACTTACATTGCTTAAAGTTGCTTTTCTAATTCCTGTAGTGACATCATCAGTGCTTATTTTGTCCAGTGAATCATTTTCAATTACTATTTCAGCCAATTCATCATTATAACCTGATATAGTATCGATTATATTTCTTCTTGCTTCCATTGCTCGCGTCCATATTTCTAAATCACTACGTTCTGTTAACTCCGCCCTTTCTAATTGTTTACCGTCTTTACCATAAGTTACCAAATGCAAGCTTAACACATCGATAACACCTTAAATTTAAATGTGTATGTTTGTAACGTGTGTTGCCTAGTATTAGATCAACTAAATTATGTTAAGTTGTTATTACTGATTTCATTTCACTTGGACAAAATTTAAAATTAAATTCCTCCATTCATCTTTGAAAGGACAAACCAAGTAATATTATCCAAAAATACATGTATATTTCCACCTGGGAATGCTGTAAAGTGACCTATATTTTATCAAAGGTAAAGTTTTTAACAACTTATATTTGACGTTTTAAACATAAACATAACATAACCACAATTATATTCTCCACTAGATTAGTTAAAAAAACAAACCGAAATAACTTATATAAGAATGAATATATTTTACAAACCTGCTAATTTATCCTCTTTTAAGTAAGGCAATTGTAACAATACTGGTGGACAATCCAACTTTTTTTTCACAGAATCACAACAGGCCTCAATATCTGCGTCGGCTCTATCCATTTTATTTACATAAACAATTTTGGGTATTTTATATCTTTCTGCTTGCCTCCATACCGTTAAAGTCTGCGCTTCAACACCTAAACTTTAACAATTTATTAATTATAGAACAATAATTGTATTAAAAACACCTGCGGATGCATCCAATATAACTACAGCCCCATCCAGCACATTTAAAGTTTGTTCGACCTCCATAGTGAAGTCAATGTGCCCTGGGGTGTCCAGTAGGTTAAATTGATATTTTTTCCATGGAAAAGTAACTGCAGCCGATGTAATCGTAATCCCACGTTCCCTCTCCTGTTCCATGTAATCTGTGACTGTATTGCCGTGATGCACTTCGCCCATTTGTTGTATACGCCCCGAGTAGTATAACATTCTCTCAGTTGTTGTGGTTTTGCCTACAAGTTCTTATTTCAGATGAATATAAAGGTTTTATAGTAAAATATATAACCTGCATCGATGTGGGCTAATATTCCTATATTTCTTATTTTACTTAAATCTACATCCTTAGCAGAAGTACTAAAACGTTTTATTTTCCACGCTGTATTAGTTTGGCCCCATATTTTCAGAAAATTGTTCATTTTAAAGTATTCTATAACCTCACTTTATTCTGTCAGTGTCACTCGCGGCTAACGTCATTGCCATGCCAACGTAACAAATTTTAATTTAAAATTTTTAAACTAGAAATTATTTTGTTGTTTTGTTTGAAAACAAATTTCATCATCAATTTTAAAATTTCGCCAACACAATGTGAAAAACACTAGGATTGAGAACGTCGCAAATCATAAAAAAATGTCTCAAAACGCTACATCTAGCGAAAAAGTCGCTAAGTTGGCATTACTGGCAGTAATTTACTGTCCCTAACTTCATTGCATAATGAGATAAGGTTATGAGATGCAATAGTAAACAAATCTATTAATAAAAATTATGTCAGGATTTCGATGAAAGTGTCAAAGAACATGGATTACAGGTCGCCCCTGGAGGGGCTTTTCGGGATAATAGGGGCCCTACCCCAGGGCCACGACAAACCAGTGAAACACGCTCTGTACAATGCAGTGGCTTTATTTTTGTTGTTTTTGAGTTGTGCGGCCGGATGGGCGCTGTTTATTATACTGGAACCGTTTATAAAGCCCCTGATGTGGGCCTTACTGGTGGGATCGGCTTTGCACCCCTTAAAACACTCCCTACGAGTGACCTTTCAGTCATGGTTTGAATCTTTGGAGGAAAAAAAGACTCCTGTGGTCCTGGGAATACTACTGTTACCTGCCAACTTCGTCAATAATTTATCAGAGTTTATTGGTGACAACATATGGAAGAGATTGAGGCTTATTGTTGTTGTTTGTGTTCTAATACCTGTGATCCATGTTATTTACTATTACACGCCAAAGTTTATCACTGCCATAGTCTATAGGTTTATACTTTTGGTTTTTGGGTTGCTGAATTTTTTCTTGGACCATTCTACTGTTACTGTGGTAAGTATACATATATACTACCTACAGGTATTTATTTTAGGTACCTACTTAAACTCAGATTTAATAGAGAATTTTTAAAATATAATAATTGTCTTATTCTAAGTAGAAAATTAACTAAATTTAATATGCCAATAATAAATTTTATAATTTTTTACATAAAAATAATTTTTAGAACTTTCAAACTGATTTTTACTAAACTGGCATCAAACCTAATATCAAATGCTATAAGTATGTATATTTTATTTAAAAAAGTGTATAAGTACTTTATAATAATAATGAATTTTAGGATTATATATATTTTTTTAAATTCTGACATCTGTCAATTGGTTAACCTCAATTTTTACCAATTTTAAATGTTATTTAGTCATAATGTTTATCATTATTCACAGAAAATATCCAATATTATGCCATAAGAAGAGATAAAACACAGGGTGTTATGTAATTAATATAATATATTATTTCTAAAGACCAAAATAATTTATAATAACCTATATCCTACCAAAAAGCACGCCACTGATTGACTAGAAACTTTAGGCTAATCTGATTGCCTAATTTAATTTATTATGTTATGGTTGGTAACAACCAGCGTTTCCAGATTCTGTCAACTTTTATGACAAAATCTAGTGCATTTCTTTTAAATTTTAGGTTATGTGCTCAAATTGTAAATATCTTAACTTTTGTATTTATTTACTCAAATTGAATGTTTAAAGTTTAACCTGCAAACTTGTCCTAATATTATCTGAGTAAACAGAAAGAAAAAAACACGATGAAAATTAATTTTGTGGTTATTGAGGGGTCATTCCACGTTACTCGGGGATTTTTGTCCCGCCCGTCACAATTAAAAATTGTGAGTAAAAACTACCTATACGTTATAATTTTTTTTTTAATAGTGTTTTATTATGCTTTTAATAAGTTATAAGCACAATAAAAATAATATTATTTTTAATTGTGACGGGCGGGACAAAAATAACCAAGTAACGTGGAATGCCCCCGAGTTTTTAAAATAGGTACCAAATTTTCTAATCATTGCTTAAACTAATAGCTGTATAAGTAAATACAGAAGGGTATTAGAGCTTTAAGGGCATAACTTTTGTATTTATTGAGTTTTTATTTATTTTTTGCAAGAAAAATTTTTAGTAACAATTTTTTACAACTATTAACTTAACTTATCGTGGGTTGAGTAGTATATTGTTCTATAAATCCAAAATGAAATTGTTGGGGAAAGGCGATTAAATATTCCAGGCTCATTCTAATACCGTTTGTAAAGATTTTTATAATTTTAAGTACTGGTTTTGGACTCATATCCTTAAGAATTAAAAAATGTATTGTCCCTATTTGAACTTATTTCTTCCAATACTGGGTTTTACAAAATAAACAATTTTTGATAGAACATTTTTTTTATTGAAAACTAAAATTTTACACAAAACATCAGATTTTCTTCTAACAGCATACAAAATTCTTTAAAACTAAAAGTTTTTAGTTCTAAAGAATTCCAAAACTTTAGGGTTCTAAGAAGTATTCCTTAAATAAGAACATACCTACGTATTCTTTTTTTTTAATTGCTCCGCACAACCACGTGATTATTACTTGCATACAAAACTGAAACACCAAAAATTATATTGTTCTAACAGATCAAAATTCTCTTCTCTCATTGGTTGGTCTGTTAGGATATTATAATTTTAAACCGTTTTTAAATAAGTGCGATAGAACTATTTAATAATGCTTTTTTTTTAGTTTGTGTATTAAATTAAACAGGCATTTTTATATACATAAGACAGAAATTTTATGTACTATTTTTCTATCAAAAAAGCCGATTTCGCGCCAAAAGTGCTGTTAGAACATTATAATATTCAACCCACGTTATGTCAAAAGGTATTCAGTATTTTAATATATTACAATAATTACATAACACCCTTATGCTTTCTTTCTCAATACAATGTTTTGTTACCAACATTATTCTTTATTACAGGTTGTATTGCTTGCAATAGCTTACTTATCAGTTGTTTTTCTGCTTTGGAAGCCAGAAAACAACGTTAAATTTCATTATGCATCGATTGGAATTTGGTTGATAGGATCATGCTGTCTTGCACAACAATTTGGATCTTTTCAACTTATTATTTTCATTATTTTACAATGTATTTTCTTCGGCGGATTTTCCTGCGAAGTATATGATATTTACACTGAAATGAATATTTCAGGTATAAAGTACAAATAATATTTTCCTTACATTTTAACAATGTTTTATATTTAGGACGCCCTGTATCATTTACTGAATCGATTTCCATGGTATTTCATGACAAAATACCTGAGGACACTTCTGAGGAAAATATAAGCAATATTAGTGAGACTAGTTCAGAAATAAAAGAAGATACCGAAAATATACCGAAAATTGTTAAATTTGAAGAAGTTGGTGATTCAACCCAATCAAAAAACAAAGACCCATTCTCATTGGATCTATTTGAGGAGAAAAATATTGTTCAATCCACACCCACCGCAATTAAAGTAAACAATAAAAAATTGATGAGATCGCTGTCTCAACCGCAATTTTACAACAACAAAAACCGCGGTTTACTGAGGGCCACAAGAAAGCTAAGCTTGAAACCCTCAACACAAAGTTTGGTCGATCCGGAGACCTACGAGAGCACTTTTTACTTGTACTCCGTGCTCTGGGCGTGCGTGGTGATGATATTCTGGAAAAATGTAATTCTTGTAACCCTTCTACCAATCCCGATTCTATTTTACGTCGTAAAACACCTAGGCCTGTACCTGGGCTTGTGGAGCTGGCTCTACAACAAGCTCGAACACGTTTTTGCCGCGTTTAGAAACTGGTGCGAGGATAGGCACGACGCTTTGGTGCCTGTGCCAATCAGAGGGCTCTACAAAATCGTCAATAAGATTAATTTGGCAATCAAAAATGGCATCAAGGGCAGCATTGATTCCGTAGCCAGCTGCGTTGTCATATTGGGACTCATTGTTTTTGTCACTTGTGCTTCTATATTTATAGCTTTACAGGTAAGTATTTATTGGGGTTTGTCATATCCCAGCAAACACAACACAAAGGTTATATAATGGCCCTTTATAAACCTGCCTTTAAAGAACTAAAGGCCCTATAAAGGCTAACTCTAATGGGACTATTTAATACGCTAAAGAATTATCGCTAGTAGCGCATCGTAACAAAAGTATAACTTTTAATAATCAGCTGTCAGACGCTTATGTTACAAACGAGTGTTTTTGAGAATAAAAAATATCGAAAAAAAACCGTGGCTCGATTTGTTGTGTTGTTAGGTGTATTTCGAGAGGAAACCCTGGGTTGAGTTTTTACAGGTTTTCCAATAAATCCGAATGAAGAAATAAATTGCATACGGTCTCTGTAACTATAAATTGTATTAGATACAATAAATACACATTTTAGTAGTGATCAACGTGAAAAGTGTAAACATTTCAATTCAGTAAAAATCGTCAAACAAATAAGTCGTCTAAATTTAAACAGCATTTAGCATTATTAAAAGCGTTTATTAAGAAAGTCTCCACTCAACGGTAAAATACCATTATATTATGTATTATACACGAATAGATACACTTAAATAAAACAAGTGCCAAACCCCGCCCACTGTGGTAGGGATTGAAGTTATTTTCGTTATTTTAGAATTATTTTTGTTTGAGAATGTATAGGTTTTATTTTTATCGAATTCGTTTGTTTTGTTTTAATGCATTTCTGCAAATAAAAACTAAGTATTGTTTAAAATCCATTAAATTCCAGTTAATGGCGAAAATGTATTTCTTAAAAACTATACACATTTCCCTATGACAGCGTCTGAGTTACTGAACAATCAGTAGATCAAACTGCATGCCCTTGTATCTGGCTGCATGCCGCGCTGTTGCCATATGCTATTATTGTTTCTTAAAAGGGTTGTTTTTCTTATTTTTTTTAATATTAAAAGTAAGAAAATTAACTAAATCAAACTATTTTTGACACATTATTAATTTTTTTGTTATTTTTAAAGTTTCAAACAAATAAAATTGAACTATTTATTAAATAATTATAATCGTTCTCTTCTGATTTAAAACAACCTGGCAACTATGGTTCGTAATTACGAATGGCTTGGTTTAAACCCCGCCCAATTAAAGTTTGTTTCTTTTTCTCTGATAAGAATATAATTTGTCATCCTTGTATCCAGCCTTACTTACTTGATTCTATACATATTATGTTGCCATGAATTCGTAGGTATATTTTGTTGTTTAAAATGCAGTTGTCGGCGTTTTTTAGAGAACTCAAACATAAAAATGGTTGATTTTAAGGTTATGTTTGTGCAAAAACTATTTTTTACTAATTTCTTAAAAATGTCCAAACTTAAATATAAATTATATTAGGTAAAGTTATCATTAGTTAATTCTGCATCAACAAATGTACTTACCGAGTTGGATCCTTTGGCAAAACATGAAATTGCAACGATTTAGTTCTTGAATTTTATTTACAATTAAAAACGCAATTACTCACTATGATCCCTTAGATAAAATACACACACTAACGCAACTATACAAGCATTTAAGCGTCGAGTTTCTTAGTCAATGATATAAGGAATAATCAATCGAAATCGAGTACTAAAAATTTTTTTTAGTTTTTTCCTTGCAACGTAAATTCACCCGATACTTCTTTAGCGTATACGAATGTTGTAAAAAGTATGGCTAACATGTCTGGGGGAAACAAAAAACACTAGATTTAAGAAACTCTGGGATTGAAGGAAAAATTTCAACACACAACATTTTAGATATACGCAGAGGCAATTATGATGGTGCAAATGACCAGTAATGTGATAAATCAGACTGTAGTTCACAATCCCGAGTTGCGGCAAATTTTGCCGCCTGCCTGGGATGACACCATGGATTCCATATTGGATAATGCTTATCAATATGGAAGGGAGGGAATATCGAAAACTGTAATAGTTTGTAAATGAATTCTTGCAGTTTTTATTGTCCTTGTTTATAGGTTAAAAGTATGATGTCGGATGTTGAATCCGCTAAATCGGAAAAACTGGAGAAACAAGTTTTGGAATTGTGGGATAGAGTTTATCAAAATTGGATGTCTTCCGATAACAGCCATGGTCCCAAAGTTTCCGATGAAGCCGTTAGAAGTACATGGCAAGATTTTATAAACGACATACAAAAATCACCAGGTAAAAAAATAACAAAATAATTTATTCAAACAGAAAAATCTCTACGCTAAAGAAGCATCGCTAGCAGCGCCCCAGGTGGCCGTTATTGTAACCAGAATTTAGCTTTTAATATGCAGCTGTCAAACGCTTAGGTTACAAACGAGTATTTTTGAGAATAAAGCCGGAAAATGTTAAAAAATATCGGTAAGAAATCCTGTGTTGAGTTTTTACCGGTTTTCCAATAAACAGTGTTAATCTGAATGAAGAAATAAATTGCATACAGTCTCTGTAAATATAAATTGTACCTATTACAATACAATAAATACACATTTTAGTAGTGATTAACGTGAAAAGTTTAAACAATTCAATTCAGTAAAAATCGTCTAATAAATAAGTCGTCTAAATTTAAACAGCTTTAGCATTATTAAAAGCGTTGATTAAGAAAGTCTCCACTCAACAGTAAAATACCATTATATTATGTATTATATAGTTTGCAAGTTTGCAAAATTGGGAATGAATTGAGTCAAAGGGAAACTGTGAATGTGGGGGTACCTCAAGGTTCTGTTCTTGGACCTATCCTATTTTTAATATTTATAAATGACCTATCTAACATTAGTAACTCGACGGATTTAACACTATTTGCTGATGATACCACAATTGTAGTAAAAGATAAAAATCTTGAACTTTTGGAGGTGAAGAGTGAGAGAGCAATGTCGCGGGCCGAAAAATGGTTCACCGAGAATCAATTAGTCCTAAACAAGGGCAAGACACAGAACAATATTTTCTCCTTAAGAGATTTTAATGACTTAAACAAGTCAGAACCCATTAAATTTCTTGGAATCATGTTTGACAGTAAATTAAGATGGAACAGTCACATAGATTCACTATCAAAGAGGTTGAATACCAATATATTTATTATTCGCAATCTTGTTGGTAGTGTGTCCAGTGAAGTATTGGCTAGTGCCTATTTTTCCTTGTTTCAATCGCATATTTCGTATGCCATAATTGTTTAGGGTCATTGCTCTGAGTCACATAGAATATTTAGTCTGCAACGCAGAATTATAAGAATTATTGCCTCCCTTGGTTATAGGGACGATTGCAGGGCTGAATTTAGAAGACTTGGAATTATGACTTTTCCTGCCTTATTTATTTTTCATAATTTGGTATACGTAAAAAATAATTTAAACTTATATAAAAGTCAAGACTGTGTACATAACCATAACACCAGAAATAAAGGCAACTTAATTAATCAATTCTCTAGACTGAAAAGGTGGACCTGATTTTTATGGAATTAATTTTTTTAATAAACTCCCAAATAATGTAAAAAATATGGCTTTTAATGAATACAAACTGTTTTTAAAATCCTTTTTTACTATTTATTCATTTTATTCGATTGATGAGTTTTTAAACTTTACCTTTTAATTGTGTACTTATTTTATTATATTCTTTGTTTTATTTAAATTTACATTTCTTGTACTATTTTTATATTTGTATTTTTCTGACGTTGTAAACCTTTTGGTAATAGCACTAATAAATATTAAATATTATTATTATTATAATATTATGTTGCCATAAATTCGTAAGTATATTTTGTTGTTTAAAATGCAGTTGTCGGCGTTTTTTAGAGAACTCGAATATAAAAATGGTTGATTTTAAGGTTATGTTTCTACAAAAATTATTTATTACTAATTTCTTAAAAATGTCCAAACTTAGATATAAATTATATTAGGTAAATTTATCATTAGTTAATTCTGCCCCAACAAATGAACTTACCGAATTGGATCCTTTGGCAAAACATGAAAATGCAACGATTTAGTTCTTGAATTTTATTTACAATTAAAAACACAATAATTCACCATGATCCCTTTAAGGGATTCCCTTAGATAAAATACACACACTAACGTACCTAACTATTAGGGTGTTTCAAAAAAACCTTTTTTTTTGTTTTTTTTTCTCGGAACCAAAATGAGCCTATGAAAAAATGAGCTCTTAATTTCAAAATTAAGATGTTCTGCATCGCACTTTTCGATTTTCCATAAGAAAACATAGGAAAAATTATTTTTGTTTCTTTTTATTTTTGTAACTAAAGAACAATAGGTCGTACTTTAAAGTTCTTGAAAAAGGTTTCTTATGATTTTTTGATAAATTTGATCCTTCTAAAGAAATTTAAGGTCAAAGTTCAAATTATACAAAATTTTTGGGTTTTTTTAACTTATTTGGCGAGTCTGTCCGACTCATTTAAAAAAATTTGAAATATTTTTGTAGAGAATTGAACGCTGTTTTTCCGACCTTCCAGAGCTCAAAAACAATATTTCGATTCGTTTTTAGCACTTTGAACTAAAAAATCCAGAAAAAATCCGAGAAAACGACTAAATTGACGGTTAATTTCACTTTAACCTTGAATAACTTTTAACCAAGTTTACTTACCGAAAAATGACTCTAGACCGTTCAATTCTCTACAAAAATATTTCAAATTTTTTTAAATGAGTCGGGTAGTTAAAAAACACAAAAATTTCGTATAATTTGAACTTTGACCTTAAATTTGTTTAGAAGGATCAAATTTATCAAAAAATCATAAAAAAACCTTTTTTGTAGAGCGTTCAATTCTCTGCAAAAATATGTCAAGAACTTTTTAGTACGACTTATTGTTCGTTAGTTACCATAATAAAAAGAAACAAAAATAATTTTTCCTATGTTATTCTTATGGAAAATCGAATTTTGAAATTAAGAGCTTATTTTTTCACAGGCTCATTTTTATATCTGTACGAAACTTTTGAGCGTGGTTCCGAGAAAAAAAACAAAAAAAAGGTTTTTTTGAAACACCCTACTAACTAAGCATTTAAGCGTTGAGTTTCTTAATCAATGATAGAAAGAATAATCAATCGAAATCGAGTATTCTTGAATTTACACGATGCGTTGCGAAAACCCGATGCTTCTTTAGCGTTCTAGCACACCCTGTGAAAACAACTGTCAGATTTGGAGAAAAAAATTATCAAGCTATTTAAGATTTTTGTAAACAAATGATCAAAAATGCATGTCAACTAAAAAAATTGCTTTCAAGGCCATTTTCATTAAATCTATGCTTATAGAATTATTTAATTTGACTGGAATGGTGGACTTCGCAAAACAAAACGTCGGTACTTTGATGTCTCTCTTGGAGTCCATATGGTCGATATTAAAAGGCAACATAAGTCTAATCCTGGGCTCGTTCAGCACCTTTATATCCGTCATATTGGGCGGAGGAACCGCTGTCCTCAACTTTATACTGAGCGTCGTAAGACCTGCACAACCGATTCGTAAATAAAAAACGTGTTGAAATCGTTCGCATTTTAGATCGTCTTCTTGACGACTTTGTTCTACCTGCTCAGCTCGAGCGGAGACCTCTACAAACCCGTCGAAATACTGACGAACTTTTCCTCCAGTGGCAGTAGGTTCGGACACGCGCTAGAGGGCGCTATAAACGGGGTGTTTTCCGCTTCCTTCAAAATGGCGGCCTTCTACGGTCTCTGGACCTGGTTCATCCACAACTTGTTTGGAGTTAAGATCGTATATTTGCCTTCAGGTGAGGATGCTTTTGTCCAAAAGTTTTGGGAAGAGATTTTTTCACGTCCCAGCAAACACAACCGTAAAGGTTCTATAATGGCCCTTTATAACGTCTTTAATGAACTAAAGGCCCTATAAGGGTGGTTTTCAGTAACTTTTAAGATACCTTGTCCCTGGGGTATTAAAACATTTTACTAGACAGGCATATTTTTTATCGATTTATAATACCAAAAGTTCAAATCCTATGAATTTATTTTTTAATTTTGGTTTTAAATCTCCTGTTTCACATGACCGTCATATCGAGCAAAATCCAATATTTGCGATCTTCTAAAAATTTAATTCGACTTTTAAGTAGCCAAAGAAAATGATATTGAACAAATGTTGGGTTTTTGTGTTATAAAATTGTCTTAAATAGCCATTATTGTTAATGTTTAGGCTAAAAATAATAACTGAACGTTGTCCCGACGTTTTCTTCACATGACCGTAGTGGTACTGCATGCGTGAATTAAAATATTTTATTATTGCAAATGGCGACAGTTAATTGTGCAGTTCAGTTGGCGATATATTAAAAGTTTCTGTCGTGTATTTTTTTATTTACATGACCGTCTATAGTGATAAAATAGCAACATAAATAGTTATAAATTGCTCGTTATGTTTTTTTTCTTGTCGGTTGTTTACATGGGGATACTTTTAATTTTGAGCAAATAAAAATATGTGAAATCACATGAAAAAAAAAATTATGCGACGGTCATGTTAAAAATTTGTTTTTTTAAATTTGTATGCACATAAAGCACTTTCTTCATCATTCTGGCTTATTTGGTGGATTAAATGTGGTATGTCGGGATTAAAAATTCCGATTATCGTGGAATATCTGACCCAATAAAAATAAACAAACCACATTTAATCCACCATAATAAATACTTTACTTATACATTACATTAATAAATATATTATCGTGAAATGTAATACTAAAACATTCATAAATTTACAAGAAAAAATACAAAGCAATGTGCTGTAATAAACCTGTATAAGTGAAACATAAAAATTGTATTTTAAAAACTGTTTATTATGTATATATATTTATTTTGCATATTTTAATAAATAAAAAAATCCTTTATACTAAATAAAAAATATTTAAAATTAAGAATTATATTTACAAAAAAGTTCACTTAAGAAAACCACTGTTTCTTTGCCATTATAAATATTTTTTATTCGCAATTGCCCCAATTTTGACCTTATCAATTAAATTTTTCTACTAAATTCCTTGGCGGTATTTTGTCTGTAATAAGGGTTCTAAAATTTGTCAAATTACAAATGCATTTAAATTTAACAACCATTAGGTATTATTATTATTTTTTATGTGGTATAACACACTATTAAAACTATAGGAATTACACTGGGCGTCATTTAAATATGAGTATATGATATAAGTTTTATATACAGAAAACATTTAGCACTTTAATGGATTTTTAAAGTCCCATTAACTTGGTACTGAAAATTGCCATATATAGGTCTTTTATGGTAAAATTATTAAAATTAATATTTTTATCACAACATTCCTGTAAAGGCCATAATCAGACTTATGTGTTTGCTGGGAATTTTTTTATGGGAATGATTTGCGTTTTATTTACTTTTCCCGGTACTTTTGGGACCAAATTTACTTTGAAAAACGTTTTTAACGTACCCTATATACATTTGAAGCATTTGCCACAATCTTGGGAGCAGTTCCTTTCCTGGGAACTTACTGGGCTTGTTTCCCAGCCGTTTTGGACTTGTGGTTAGCGCAGGGTAGAGGTTTGGCTGCAATTTTGTTGGCTGGTTTCCAATTCCTACCCACCTCCATTGTAGACACAACAATATACAAGGAAATCAAAGGGTATACAAAAAATTACTACAAATTTTACAAAATACCTAAAAAAGAGTTATTTTCTTAGTGGTGGCCACCCTTACTTGACAGGTTTGGCCATAGCCGGAGGTATATTTTGCCTTGGTGTAGAGGGAGCCATCATAGGCCCTTTGTTGCTCTGTGGGCTGTATGTGGCTATAGATCTGTCTTCCACGATTTTTAAAGAATCTCCCTCGGAACAAAGCATGATGCACTACCAGCAACAGGATCCCTGATACAGTGATGTTAAGTTACCAGCACATGCTTTAATTTGTGATGCTTTTTAGGCTCTAAGATGTTTTTAATTGTTTTCCTAATAAATCAATATATTTTCCACATTACTTTAATAGCTAGTCTGACTTAAAGTTGTTATATACTGGTTGTTATTTGCGTAATTTTATTTGGGTGAAACCTTTGTTATTATCTTATTTATTTTCAACAAATTTTGTACCAATATAATTGGTGTATCTATTAAATCAACATGAATTGATTACGGGTATGATAATCACAAAAAATGACTAAAAAATTAAAAATGTGTTTTTAAAACTTTCCTTAATGAAGTTTCCGACTTTGTTATATCAAAAAATTAACACATTTTGCATTTTCTTAAAAATATGTCTACAAAATGTCCTCTAGATTATTAAAAAAACTTTGTAGGAAATTTTCTTCTTTAATAATAATATTGCGACAAAAATATTTTCAAGTTACAGTTTTTGTATATTCATTATTAAAAAACGGAAAAATTGGGGAAAATTGATTTTTTTGGAAAATATACACTTTTATTATATTTTTTATAATACAGCACCGATTATTTGTTTTGCGGCCCGGTAGAATATTCTTACTGAATTAAAATAAAACAAATAATTATTAGAATGAATCAGGGTTTGCCTGATTTAAATCACGAGTTTTTAAATTTTAATTAATGATTTAAATGAGTTTTAAAAAAAGTTTCTAAAATCTAAAAAAACACTTGATGTAAAACTAAAGCGCAATAATATCTTGAAACTATAGTTAGTATAATATTATATGCATAGAAAAACTGCTTATTTTGTTAAATAAAATAATAAGGGAATATACAAAAAAATATATGACGGTGGTTTATTTGTTTATAAAGTAGTGCCAATATAATATTATTATAGTCAAGTTATTCTATTTAGTAAAGTAGGTACACTTTATTAAGAAAGCTTATAATTTAAAAAAAAATTTAAAAATCATTGATTTTTAATTTTTTTTTAACAAATCATGATTTTTTTCTGTTATAATATTAATATTATATGATTAACGACGGAAATTCTTGATAAAAATTGACTTTTGTATTACCCTTTAAATAAAATGAAAAAATGCAAAAGTCAATTTTTCTGAAAATTTCCCAATTTTTTCGGAAATTTTAAAATCCCAAACATTATCAGAAAATATAAATATTTTGAAATTTAAATAGTACACTGGATTTTGTGACTAATTTTTTAAAACTTTAATTCCAGTTTTTTCTAATAAAAAATATTAATTTGCATTCTTTTAGATTGATTTTGTCCTTTTTTAATGTTTTAAAATAAATAAAATTATTAAATCGTAAATTTGTTAATCATAACCAAAACCTGTTCATTTTGCTAAATCTAAAGAAAATTAAACTAACATTAAAAAATAGTTTTTAATAAAGTCTTCAGTAATTAGGTACACTTTTTTAAAGAAAGCTTATAATTTAAAAAAAAATTAAAAATCATTTTTTGTGGATTTTTTTAAATAAAAATCATTGAAATTAAAATTTTTTTAATAAATCATGATTTTTTTCACGGAAATTTTTCTTGATAAAAATTGACTTTTGTATTACCTTTTGAATAAAATGAAAAAATGCAAGTCAATTTTTCTGAAAATTTCCCAATTTTTTCGGAAATTCTAAAACTCCAAACATGATCAGTTTAATAAAAAAATGTATACCTATTTTTAACTTTTGCTAAATCTAAAGAAAAATAAACTAACAAAAATAGTTTTTAATAAAATCTTCAGTACTTAATTAGGTACACTTTATAAAAAAAGCTTAAACATTTAAAAAATCATTTTTTGTGGATTTTTTTAATAAAAATCATTGATTATCAATTTTTTTAATAAATCATGATTTTTTTCTGTTATAATAATAATATTATATGATTAACGACGGAAATCACTTTTTTCTTGATAAAAGTTGACTTTTGTATTAGGTACCCTTTGAAGAAAATGAAAAAAATGCAAGTCAATTTTTCCGGAAATTTTAAAACCCCAAACATGATCAGTTTAATAAAAAATGTATATTTTTAATTCAAAAAATATTATTATTTTGAAATCTAAATAGTACACTGGTTTTTATGACAAAGTTGAAACCCTAATAATTTTTTTAAATTTTTATTAATTCCACTTTTTTCAATAAAAAATATTAATTTGCATTCTTATAGATTGATTTTGTACTTTTTTAGATGTTTTTAAATAAATAAATTTATGAAATCAAACATTTTTCAATCATAATCAAAACCTATTCCTTTGGCTAAATCTAAAGAAAAATAAACTAACATTAAAAAAATACTTTTTAATAAAATCTTCAGTAGGTATAACTTAATTCATTTAAAATTCTTATCCACATTAATTATATAAAATTCTAGTAAAAATTATATTGCTTATAATATACATACATTTGATTTAATTTAATACAATTTTCTATAAGGTTTAAAAATAAATTTAAAATTGCTACCACAGTTCACTGGCAGAGGTTTTATTAATAAAACAATCCTTAAAACCTTTAACAACACATTTTGATTGGCAATAAACCACAATTTTTTCATTATTTTCACTTTCCACTAATTCATGACGACTTTGAGAATCATCACCTTCTTGAAATACCATTAAGTTACTGCAACAATCTTTCCTGTCAATGTCTTTATTAAAATTCAATTTGATATTAATTTGTTTAACCTTGTCGGAAAAGTTTGTAGTTCTACTGGGTGTAAAACATGTATCTATTTTACTTGTACTTTCACATGTCTCCTTTTTGATGTACACAAAAGTATTACTGCAGGGTGCTGAACCATCCACCGAATCCATCCACGCTTGCGATAAAAAAATACTCCGCAATATTTTCGGTTGTATTTGACTTATTTTATTCACATGGTTTCTCTCTATATGCCCCTTAGCGAGATCCGATACCTGTATTGTAAAAACCTCCTTAGGACACAACGGATTTGTCCCGAACACTATAATAACCTCCTTAACATCACTACTACTACTAAACTCATCCCTAATACCGCTCATTATCTCCTCCAATGCATCGAAAGCAGTCGAGACAACTTTGAAGTGATTTTCTATGGAGAAATTCCTGTTCGCGCTTTGCGCGTCATTAATGTTGTTGCGTTTCCGATTCACCACCGTCTTCATCCAGGTGTACGGGTAAGGAATTTGGCTTTTCTGGTACAAAAGCCCTTTCAAAATTTCGTTCACCAACGATGCACAGGCGAGCGGCGTCAAAATCTCCTCGGATATGTCCACGTTTATCACCATGTTTTCTTTGGGAATGCCTTTGTCAGTCTTTAAGTCAGTCTTCATGGTTTAATTCAATAATATGTATAAACTACTAAAAAATATCTGTAAAAGTTCGAGATAACCTATTTTGAGTTGACAGATTGTCGACGGCAGTTTTGCCAATCACGGGAGAAAACCACTGCTACCAACTAAATTTTAAAATAGTTTAACATAAAATACAACACAAAAAATGGTTTTATTTATATATAATTTGCTAATTATTACATTTTTTGTGTTTCTACGAAAGCAAATATTTTAATAGCAAAAAGAATATTTGGGTAATTAAAATAGGAGTAATCTTGGTTGCCTATAGTAAAGTTCATTTTTTTAATAGTTAAATATGGGTAACTACGACTCAGAAGAAATTTTATTTAGAAAAATTTGATTTTTAGAATCTTCTAAGATATGACCCGGAATAATGGAATATTCTTGGAACCTTCCCTTATTGCGAAGAATGTTCTTAGGGACTTATAAAACATTCAATAGATACCCTTATCGAGATGCAATTAGATTCTTAAAAGCTTTTTAAAACCTTCCTAAAAAGCATCCTAAGAACATTTTAAGAATGCGTTTTTGGAATGTTCTTAGAAGGTTTCTTATGGAGCTTCTAGGAAGCTTTTGAGAATATTTCCAAATATGTCAGATACCCACGTTCTAATATGTTGTATTCTACATTCGTAAAATTCTTCAGGAGACGACAAATACGCCTCACTGTCATAATATGACAGTGAAATGTATTTGTCGTCCCCTTAAAAATTTTTGCGACATATTAATATATATTTATTTAAAAATATTAAATAAACAATTTGACCTCTAAACCAAAAGTTGTATGACATTATTTCATAAAAAGTAAAATTGGAAAATTTTGTGGGATAAGTCCGATTAGATTGAAGTTGAAGATAGTTAAAGATACATAAAAATGTTAATTCAGAAATAAAAAATCGGTATACAAATTAATAAATATTTATTTTTTGCATAAAATAAAATACCTATAGTATTTTTGTTATCGAATATTGTTTTAATTTGACAAATAACAATAAAAAAATATTTTGGATTTTGTTTTTTACTTAGCATTTAATACTGATTACTAATTAGGTATATTCTTATACGTAGTTTATGGTATATTTTACTATTATATAGGTAACTGAACTAAATATGCTTAACAGGAATATTCCTAAATGAACTTTCTATAGCAATTACTTTCTTAACATTCTAAGCATATGTTTAGAGTAGACTAATTTTTACCACTAAAACTTTGCACCTTCTAAGAACCTGCCTATAGGCCAGTAAGAATATTCTTAGGATCATGCTATGTCTTTTAAGCATGTTCTTTAGAAGAAATATAGCATGATCCTAAGAATATTCTCACTGGAAGGTTTAAAAAACATTCTTAGAATAAAGTGTGCTATCAAGGCATAAGCTACCAACCAAATAAAAAAAATGAACTGTATGTTAATATAATTTCTTCTTTATTTTGAATTGTGACATTTAATCTTAAAACATAATTTTGAAAACAAAATAATTAATTTAAATTCTTCTGGTAAGGTGTGTTGTAAAATTCTTCGGGTACAATCGAATCCTTACAGGTTTGTGAGCAAGTTGGTTGATCAGTACAACTTTCCTGACCACAAGCATAACATTCTTGGCAATCTGAAACAAAACAAAAATAAAAACTGTTTTTAATTATAAAGATCTGGCTTACTTTCTGTCACATATTTCCCACAATACCAATGGGGTGCTGAAGAAACAGGGATGCAAGTGCTGTTGGTCAAACTTTCTTCCTTTCGTATGAGAACGTAATTTGAAGAACACAAATAGGAGCATTCCACGTGCTTTCTTCTGAAGCAAACGTTCTTGTTATCTTCATCAGGACATTCTTCAGGATGAACAATATAACAACATTGGGAACTTTGGCTCTGCATTTCATTTTCAATTCCCGTACCATGAACAGTAAAGTTGTTGGTATTGGTCATGTTAATGGTCACTGGGGTGTCTATTATGTTGGTATTGTTCAGGTAGTTGAATAGTTTGATTATTGTTGTAACGTTGTAGAGGTTTTGGTTTATGGTTGATGGTGCTGAATCTGGTATTGCAGAAGTGTTGGTACCAGTTGAATTTTGGTTTTCCTAAAAGTATATTTTTGAAGTGAATCGAATCAAAGTCAATACTAATATATAAACATCTTACCAAGCACATTTGAGAGCATCTGGTGTGACAAAATTCTCTGCTTCTTATATGGTTGACTGAACATCTTCTACTGCATCTCTGTACGCAGTAATTGCACCTTTCTGTTTCGCAGCAAAGTGAATCTATGCAAATATTGCATGCCTCCCCATGACAACAGTTTCCGCTGGGGCAATTTTCACACGCAGGTCCTTCGCAAGTGGTTAAACATCCTGTAGGACTACAAAGTTGGCATTTTTCGTCCTGACAGGATATAGTTTTTGCTGCTTCCAGGTGAAAGGAAACAAAGGATGTAATACAGATGAACAAAAGTAGATGCATCTAAAATACAGAATGAGTACTGATGGAAGATGGGAAAGGGTTTTTACGAAAAAAATATTCTTACCTTGAAGACTTCAAAGAACAAACTAAATGAATAATAATATAAAAAATACGTTATCAAAAAAATTGGGGGATCTATCTGTTTGAAGATTACGTAAAATTTAACTTTTATGAATGGTTCAAAAAAGAATAAATATTTACTCACTGCATTGCCAAAAATTTATCAATGGGTATATTATTTTCTTATTTGGGTTAGTGTAACAAACGATTATAGATTATACCAACAATGAAAGTATTATTTTTTTTATTTTTTATATTATCCCTTTATTCTAAGAATGTTTTTTAAACCTTCCAGTGAGAATATTATTAGGATCATGCTATATTTCTTCTAAAGAACATGCTTAAAAGACATATAGCATGATCCTAAGAATATTCTTACTGGCCTATAGGCAGGTTCTTAGAAGGTGCAAAGTTTTAGTGGTAAAAATTAGTCTACTCTAAACATATGCTTAGAATGTTAAGAAAGTAATTGCTATAGAAAGTTAATTTAGGAAAATTTCTGTTAAGCATATTTAGTTCAGTTACCTATTTAATAGTAAAATATACCATAAACTACGTATACTTAAGTACCTAATTAGTAATTAGTATTAAATGCTAAGTAAAAAACACAATCCAAAATATTTTTTATAGTTATTTGTCAAATTAAAACAATATTCGATAACAAAAATACTTTTACTATAGGTAATTTATTTTATGTTAAAAATAAATATTTATTAATTTGTATACCGTTTTTTTTTTCTGAATTAACATTTTTATGTATAATAATCCTAACTATCTTCAACTTCAATCTAATCTGACTTATCCCACAAAATTTTCCAATTTTACTTTTTATGAAATAATGTCATACAACTTATGGTTTAGAGGTCAAATTGTTTATTGCATATTTTTAAATAAATATATTAATATGTCGCAAATTTTTTTAAGGGGACGACAAATACATTTCACTGTCATATTATACAGTGAGGCGTATTTGTCGTGTCCTGAAGAATTTTACGAATGTAGAATACAACATATTAGAACGTGGCTATCTGACATATTTGGGAATATTCTCAAAAGCTTCCTAGAAGCTCCATAAGAAACCTTCTAAGAAAATTCCAAAAACGTATTCTTAAAATTTTCTTGGGATGCTTTTTAAGAAGGTTTTAAGAAGCTTTTAAGAAACTAATTGCATCATTAAAAGGGTATTGATATATAAATTCTTTTCAAAGCGAAGATTATTATCCTCTAGGAAAACTGTCTCTCCTGGACCGTAGTCACCTATATTTAACTACTTTTTTAATTAATTGCATTTTTAACTACGAATTACCTAGAAGTTTACCCTGTTTAGTAATTTTTAAGAAAAAAAATTCAAAATAATTAAAAATAGTTTATTAATCCTTATCTATAAATTTTAATACAATTCAGTAGTATTCCATAACCAATTAGTAATAAATATAATTAACAATAATGAAAGTAAAAAACCAAAAAAAATTAGTGAATATAAAACATAAAAAATACATGAAATCAGTCCAGTTGAAATGTACACTTCGACTATTTAAAAATTAACCTTTTTTAATATGTTCTTCTTTCTGGAGGTGCTTTGAATGGTGGTGATGATGATGACGTCCTGTTGAAATAATCACTTTGGCATCAGCCTCCTTTTCTGAAACTTCTTCGGTAACGAGTGGAACCTTTTCTATTGGGGGCAAATCCGGGGCTATGAAATTGGGGAAAGTTTTTGTGATTTTAAATGGCCCCACGTTGTATGTACCAGGTGGTACAATCTCTTCTTGCACTTTGACTGCTCTTTTATTGAAAACTGGAAAAATGTGGAGAGTGTTAAATTAAATGATGATAATATAAATTTATAAACATATAACAGACATTGCAATAAAAACAATATTTAAAGCATAAAATAAATTGTAGTTTCATACTTTTTCTTAATTCTTCTTCAGGTACATTTTCATCTGTAGGATATGCTGGAAAAATATTGTAGAAATTTAACTTTTTATCATGAAATAAGTATACCGAGTTACATAGTTACAAATAGTTACTTACTGTTTGTCCCATTCATCCAAAAAGGCAAGTCACTTCCATTACTTGGTGTAGGATATATAGCATTTGATGGGTAAGGATTGCCATACATGGGGGTTCCCATCATACCCATTTCGGTGCCCATACCCATACCAGAAGCCATGGGCATTCCACCATAGTACGGATTCATAAAACCTCCAACCATTCCATTCCCATATCCATATCCATATCCGAAGTTCATGTTTGCGGGGTATCCACCACAAGTATCTAAAAGGTAAAAGATGAGATGTATTGGGAAACTGATAAGTATACTTAGTTTATTACTGGTTTGGTAGCATGAAGGTACATGTGAAAAGCCTTGCCGATACATTGGACCCTGTCTGTATAGAGGCCCCATACCAAAACCATCATCATAGCAAGAAGGGTTGCAATTTTGTTGGTTTTTTCGTCCTTCTTCGTAGTAATGTTCGTAGCAACCTTCGCATGATGTCTAAAAATTATTTTTTGTATAATCATACATAGGTATTTTATATTTAAGTACTTGTTGGTTTTGAATTCCACAGGATACATAAGGCCAGGTGGACTGATAAGCGCATTTAGGCTGAGGTTGTGGAATGTACGCTATTTGTTGTTGACACTGAGGGGGTTGAAAGGGAACTGCTGAACAAACCTGGAATACAATATAAAGTGAATTTATTACACTATGATAGTTCGATTTACTAACATTCGAAATAATTGCGTAATAAAATGCTCTGCCCAATTATCTCAAAATGTGAGTTTAATGTTAATATTTTGATTATTTATTAAATTATTTTGCCTTAAATCTATTTTGGATGTTCAGTATATTTTTGAGGTTTTTTGTCAAAAATATACAGGGACTCCATACAAAGTCATCGGTAGATAAAAGTCAAATAGAAATTTTGTTTCTTCCATTGTAGCCGTATATATACGGCAGAAAAGTGCTTTATTAAATATCCCTTATTTACTAATATAATATATTATAGTAGTAAATAAGGGATATTTAATAAAGCACTTTTCTGCAGAGAAATGCTTTATTAAATACAAAAACTAAAATTATAATCTTTTTTTGGTAAAAAGTATCATTTTTTTAAATTTTTGTGTCGTTTTTTTAATTACTAATTAAATTGAAAAGGCAACAAAGTAAATGGGTTTCGGTATAAGCATTAGGGGAAGGTGGGGTAATTTTGCGCGGTGGGTAATTTTACGCATAAACAATTCTTCCAGATATGAAGTAAATAATACATTTTTTGAATGTTGCAAACTTGGAAACGTTGCTTTGGGTATACGGGGACTAAAGTGTACCGCAATTAAGCTTGTAGCTTTTAGCTAGTGACCATGGTCACTAGCTAACTGTGATACATGTACGTTGATCTAAGAAATCCATGTCGTTTCCGCTACGAGTTAAGTTTAAATTTCTGTCCAATCGCTTAAATGTTTATAACACAACTTTATATGATCTTCCCTCGTAATCTGGTGTATGTTTAAATTGTTCAGGTTAACTTTTGGAAAGTTTTTTAGTATCACAATATTTTTCTTACAATGGGGGTAATTTTACGCTGAAAAATTGGGGTAATTTTGCGCTGCAAAATTTGGCCATTATGGGAGCTTTGGTATACAGGAGCCTAGATTGTTCAGCATAAACAGTTCCATTTGGGCACACGCGGAGTGTAGCGAAAAAAAAACCCTAAAACTACATATGTGACAAATGCTGCATGTAGACCCTCTTATTTCTAAGAACAAAAATTTTATTTTTAGTTATTTATTTTTGATTTTGTTTGTTTTGTTTGTTCATAGAGAAAGTAGTTTTGTTTTATTTTTATGTTTTAATATAATAATATTATAGAAATAAACGGTTTATTTAGATACCTACAAATCTTTCTCTATACAGCGCAAATTTTCCCAGTATGATGCGCAAAATTACCCTGATAGGTAGGTAATTTTGCTCAAATGCATTATTTAAAAAAATTTAGTTTTTGCATACCAAACATTTTTTTTTTATAAATTGCGCATTATATACACATAGTAAACATAGTAGACTAACGCTGGTATTAATTGCAAAATTTCACATTTAAACTTAACAAAGATACTAGAGATTTTGCTTAGATGCGCAGAATTCCCCCACCTTCCCCTACTTTTCGACTATTATTTGATATTTTTTTGTTCACATCATGCCTAAAGTACCCAAACAAACTTATTTATTAGGTCTTATCAAAATTTAATATCGAATTGAAGTATAAAGGCGCCTTTATCTACTTTATCGTTCAAGCACACTAAAATGCATCTAATAATTATTGACATTTAAAATTTAAACTTTAAATTGTATTTTTACTTGAAAGTGATTTTAAGAACCAAAAATGAAAAAAGAGCAGGAAATGGAAGTGGTAATGGAAGTGGCAGAGAAAGAGAAAGGAGACGAACATTTATGTCGTCCATTACAAAATTTTATGAGATATACCTACAACTTTAATTTTGCAGGAATATTTTATGGACCTGATATACGACGTTTAATGAAAGATCAAGCATTCAAAAATGCTCTCAAAGTTGACGAGCTTGTCGCATATGGCAGTGTTAAAGCTGTCATTGAAAATGTTCTTGGTTCATATCGGGCCTAAAATTGGCGCCAATTCATTGAAAAAATGCTTTCCGTTTTGTAAAGAATAAGCGTTGATATGTCATTTAAAATACATTTTCTTTTTTTTTCATCCTGATAAATTTGCCGAACTGATGAACACGGAGAACGATTTCACCAAGTAACTGCAAATCTAGAGCATTGGTAGATATATATGGGTATAGCGAAAAGAAGTTGTTAAGATAAATATGATCTATTTGCCGTATACCAATTACTTTAGTACATTCAAAATAAATTTAAGCCAAAATAATTTAATAAATAATTAAAATACCAACAAAAACTTACATTTTGAGGTGATTGAGCAGAGCATGTTATTACGAAATTATTTTAAATCCTAGACGTCCTAGAGAAAAGTTAATGACATTTTTGAAGTCAGCGGCCCAAAATTAGTTAAACTAAGCTGGAGTACTTAATGTTTGTAAAACTATCATAGTGTATGTATTTTGCTCACCTGTCTAGGTTGCACATGCATGATATTGGATTTACAAATGTCCCCACAAGTGTTGGTCTTGTAATGGAAACAATTTACGAATGGAAAGGTATCAGTTCTAACGCATTGCCTGGGTCCAACAACCGTACAGCAACCTGGTTGTGGTTGTTGATTTGGCTGAACCGGTTGGTTCGGTGGGTTGGGTGCATTTGGTGTCGAACCTGCTTGACCCGGAAAACCCGATTGCCCTGGAAAACCTGGATAACCGGGCGTTCCGGGGATTCCTGGACTTCCAGGCGAACCTGGCAACCCAGGAGGCCCCTGTGGTCCTTGTGCAGGAAGATAAACTAAAATAGTATGTTATTAAGAAATATTTTTTAAACAATTTGCAAAAAAAGTATACCTGGGGCTACATTTCCACCACTTTCATCGGTATAGTAAGTTATGTTATTAATATTAGTATTATTCAAAGATATTGGAACGTCTATCACATTTGTAGTATTAATAATATTGTTTAAATGGATAATTGTTGTAACATTGTGTTTATTAACATTGTTTATGGTGGTGTTTGTATTTGCATTGGTTTTTGATTGTTTATCTGGAACAGGGGTGGGATTTATGCCGTTGTAGCAGGATTTTTTGCAGGAATTTCTGCAGGAGGAATCTCTGCAAGTAGTCCTGCATGTTCGTTGGCAGCAGGATGTTGTTCTACACCTTGTGGCTCTAAAAGTTAAACAATTAAAGGTATACGTACTAAAAATTATAAAATATTGAGAGCTACCGACAGCAGGAGGAACAACACTGCGAGTTACTGTAACTGCTGCATTCCTCGCAGTCGCATCCTCCGCAGGAATCCTCTTCGACGCAGTTGTCGCCATCGCACTCCGATTGGCAGATGTTTCGTTTCGATCTTCTTGCCATTTTTTGTCGCTGGCAGTCGACGTAAGTTTCGTAGTTTGTCGAGTCGCAGTCCTTTTCTGGTTCAGATGGTTCCACGCAGGAGGGGTCTGGTTGAAGGCATAGTGCGAGCGGTATCAGCAGGAATAAAAGTATCGGTCGCATCTAAAATAAAATATACGGGACTTAAAAATGATTCATTATTTATTACTTTGTTCCATTAAAAAAATTCTACATCTGTCAGATCCCTGATAGCAAAATTTGATTCCAAGAATCTTCTAAGAAGATATGACCCGGAATAATGGAATTATTAGAACCTTCCCTTATTACTAAGAATGTTCTTAGGGACTTTTAAAACATTCAATAGATACCCTTTTAATGATGCAATTAGATTTTTAAAAGCTTCTTAAAACCTTCCTAAAAAGCATCCTGAGAACATTTTAAGAATACGTTTTTGGTATGTTCCTAGAAGGTTTCTTATGGACCTTCTAGGAAGCTTTTGAGAATATTTTTAAATATGTCAGATACCCACGTTCTAATATGTTGTATTCTACATTCGTAAAATTCTTCAGGAGACGACAAATACGCCTCACTGCACAGAAAAAAATATCGTACCTGATATTAATGTCCTACGATCATTAAGTGCAAAATCATTACGATAATGTCCTTTTCATAGTATTAATGCAATCAAGTAATTATGATAATGCTTAAAAAATATGAGTTAATGTATTATTGGATTGTTACAATGTCTGCCTGGTCATTATCCTAGTGCAAGAATTTTATTATTTTTTAGCCAAAATACATTAAGACAATGATATTTTACATTAATACGATGATTAGTTACATTAAATCAATAACCTAGAGTACATTAGTTAATCATTGCTCAGTGATAAAATTAATGTCAAGGCTTAATAGATTAATACTCTAAATGGTATAATTTAATAATCTAAAATTATTACATTAATGCCTATATATACATCAACTTATGTACCCTTAGCAAAATATAATGCCCTAACATATTAAATAATACAAAAATCATAACTTTATCGCCAAATACGTTGAGCCAATGTCTAAATACATTAATATTAGGCCCTGTTGTTTCCCACCACCTAAAAATGCAAGTAAGAAAACAATTTAACAACAGTTTAGTATTCCTGTTAATCCTGTTGCGACGTGCTTGCCCGCCCATCCCGATTGTTGTGCGTTTAGGTTTATTTTTACATGAAATATACATTAGAATGTAAGTAAGACAATGTTAAAAAGTAAATGTTTATTTATGTTTCATAAATTTTTTGTAATAAATATAAGGATTTTAAATTACCAAGGGTTTTTATTATTTTTTTATATTAATCTTTAGTTTCATAATATTTACAAAAAGGACTAGAAATATGTAAAGTTCCAGTTCCAGTTTTGCGGTGGCCTGGACATAAACCCTGTAGAAAATGTTTGGGAATTTCTGTAAAGGGAACTGGCTAAAGAGAACATCACCACATAAGTAATATTAATAGTAATACAAAAAAATTGATTTAATGTTAAAACTTAAGGTAAGTGTAATAATTTATATATATATATATATACAAAGAAACAGGGTATCTCAAAAGTTAAGGACAGCAGAAAAGAGGTGGATAGAGGATGGGATTCTAAGTCATTCGACTTTGCCGTTTTTCAATCGACTTAAAATTCCATTCTCTATCCATCCCTTATTTCAGGCCTACTATTAATGCTTCTTTGCATTATGATAATGCTAAAAGATCATTAATTAATGTATATTAGGTGATTGGGATAATGTTCTTTAATTGTTAATTGATTACAAATTTATTAATTGGTTGATGTTCTGCGCATAGAATTAATGTACTTGGACATTAATCCATGTCAATGGTCATTAATACCAGTACTTTTATTTGAGATCTTCCTGATTAAAATCAATGTCGGCCAAGCATTAATATTACGTCCTTGTACATTGAGTAATACTTTAAAAGCATTGTGGTAATGATTTTGAGCATCGGAGCAAAATTAATGTAAAAAATCATTGCGTTAATGTTTTCTTTTATTAATATTACGTACGTTTTTCGTTGTGTGTGTCATAATATGACAGTTAAATGTATTTGTCGTCCCCTTAAAAAAAATTGCGACATATTAATATATATTTATTTAAAAATATTAAATAAACAATTTGACCTCTAAACCATAAGTTGTATGACATTATTTCATAAAAAGTAAAATTGGAAAATTTTGTGGGATAAGTAGAGATTAGATTGAAGTTGAAGATAGTTTGGATTATTATACATAAAAATGTTAATTCAGAATTAAAAAAATCGGTATACAAATTAATAAATATTTATTTTTAACATAAAATACAATACCTATAATAAAAGTATTTTTGTTATCGAATATTGTTTTAATTTGACATTTAACTATAAAAAAATATTTTAAATTGTGTTTTTTACTTAGTATTTAATACTAATTACTAATTAGGTACTTAAGTATATACGTAGTTTATTGTATATTTTACTATTATATAGGTAACTGAACTTTTAAGCATATTAAAATATGCTTAACAGGAATATTCCTAAATGAACTTTCTATAGCAATTACTTTCTTAACATTCTAAGCATATGTTTAGAGTAGACTAATTTTTACCACTAAAACTTTGCACCTTCTAAGAACCTGCCTATAGGCCAGTAAGAATATTCTTAGGATCATGCTATATGTCTTTTAAGCATGTTATTTAGAAGAAATATAGAATGATCCTAAGAATATTCTCACTGGAAGGTTTAATAAACATTCTTAGAATAAAGTGTGCTATCAGGGTATTATTTTTGGCATAGTTATCTTTTTGTACCTATCTATATTATATAATAATTACCAAGGAAATTGTCAATAATAAATATTTCTGTCAATTAAGGTCTTCAGCAGAAGTACCATTTTTAAATACTAAAAATACTAAATCAAACTAGCATAAGCTACAAAATAAAAAAAATGAACTGTGTGTATGTAAATTTTAAAACTTTGTGAAATACAACAAAAATATAATACAATTTTTACAATAATTTGCGGTTTTTAAAATTAAAGCATCCAGTAGATGCAGTCACCCCTATACAAATATAGTAAGATATAAAAAAAAACATATTAAATAAAATATTTAAAATAATGGAAAAAAATAGACTCACTTTGCTTATAACCGGAACAAAACACAACTAAAGATCTAACTTCCGCGGCAAGCTGAGACCATTCGTTTGAGTAAAACTTAAGTGATAATAATACGTAGAACTCGGTACCTAGGACCTGGCTAACCTATTTTCCTGTGCGATAGAAGAATTGTTTATCTTAGAAGTGGAACGAAAAATGTTCATCACACCGTCTCAATCAAAAAAATATTTCTACGTACGCATGCATTATTACAAATCTATCTATATAGACGATTATTGTCAAGCTGTTTACTTAACACAATTTTCCCCGACTTAATTTTTTTTATTATTTTGTGAATTGGAATTTTAGGAACCTAGATAAAAATATTTATTTTGTTGTTTGTTTAATTGATAGATTCTAGAAATATAATATAGTAATAAATTTTGCCAATTTTTTACAGTCTGTTTTAATGTAAAAATGTTAAAATACAATCCAGCTTTTATTATTCATTATTAATTATATTAAAGTCTATAGGCAGGTTCTTAGAAGGTGCAAAGTTTAGTGGTAAAAATTAATCCACTCTAAACATATGCTTAGAATGTTAAGAAAGTAATTGCTATAGAAAGTTCATTTAGGAATATTCCTGTTAAGCATATTTAGTTCAGTTACCTATTTAATAGTAAAATATACCATAAACTACGTATAAAGTATACTATACTTAAGTACCTAATTAGTAATTAGTATTAAATACTCAGTAAAAACACAATCCAAAATATTTTTTTTTAGTTATTTGTCAAATTAAAACAATATTCGATAACAAAACTACTTTTACTATAGGTATTTTATTTTATGTTAAAAATAAATATTTATTAATTTGTATACCGATTTTTTATTTCTGAATTAACATTTTTATGTATAATAATCCTAACTATCTTCAACTTCAATCTAATCTGACTTATCCCACAAAATTTTCCAATTTTACTTTTTATGAAATAATGTCATACAACTTATAAGTTATATGGTTTAGAGGTCAAATTGTTTATTTAATATTTTTAAATAAATATACCTATATTAATATGTCGCAAAATTTTTTAAGGAGACGACAAATACATTTCACTGTCATATTATGACAGTGAGGCGTATTTGTCGTCTCCTGAAGAATTTTACGAATGTAGAATACAACATATTAGAACGTGGGTACCTGACATATTTGGAAATATTCTCAAAAGCTTCCTAGAAGCTCCATAAGAAACCTTCTAAGAACATTCCAAAATCGTATTCTTAAAATGCTTTTTATAAAGGTTTTAAGAAGCTTTTAAGAATCGAATTGCATCATTTAAAGGGTATCTATTGAATGTTTTAAAAGTCCCCAAGAACATTCTTAGCAATAAGGGAAGGTTCTAAGAATATTCCATTATTCCGGGTCATATCTTCTTAGAAGATTCTTAAAATCAAATTTTTCTATCAGGGTAAAATTCTGTTGCTAACTTTAGGCAGTGACAAAATTTGTCAACGTGTATTTAAAATAGAAAAAACAATTTATTTATTTGAAAAAAAAAATGCAAATTTCATTACGTTTGGTGCAAAACTTTTGACTTGACCGAAATTCGAGGTCCACTTAAGAAATTTTTACCCATTGATGTTATTTATTAAATTAATACTTTTCTGAGAATAGTAACTTTACCTATAACTATTTATGTATAGTTTATAGATAACCTAGTTTAAATCGAATTGAGCAAATAGTCGTAAATATTTAGGTTTGTTTTCCTCAATTTGTACAGTAAAAGAAAGCCGACGTTGTCAATGACCATAAATGCATTGTCAAATATTTTAAACAAATTTGAATTTCCAAAGTGTTTAATTTCTTGAATTTCACATTTTCGCTGAAAAAATAAATCAGCAGTTTACTCTATCAAGAAATGTATACCTACATAAAGATAATAAATTGGATTAAGCTTTGTAGCGAATCGTAAATGATTTTTAAGGCTTTATCGGAATAAATTATTGCATTGTTTACTCTTCTAATCAAAATTGCATACACATTTAATTATTTGCATTTACAGGTTACTTACCTTTAATCTAAAATGAAACATTTTATATTATTTTATTTATCACAACAATTATTGATAACCCAATAAACATTTTTATTTTTATAGCGGTTTCCATAAATGTTAAATTATCCAAATTATAAAACCTTAATTTCTTAATTTGATTACAGAAATATTTATATCACTCTTATATACCAATTAAAGAGCTTATTTGGAGAGTTTATGAAGGTTATCTAAGAATGTTTTTTAAACCTTCCAGTGAGAATATTCTTAGGATCATGCTATATTTCTTCTAAAGAACATGCTTAAAAGACATATAGCATGATCCTAAGAATATTCTTACTGGCCTATAGGCAGGTTCTTAGAAGGTGCAAAGTTTTAGTGGTAAAATTAGTCTACTCTAAACATATGCTTGGAATGTTAAGAAAGTAATTGCTATAGAAAGTTCATTTAGGAATATTCCTGCTAAGCATATTTAGTTCAGTTACCTATATAATAGTAAAATATACCATAAACTACGTATAATATATATTAAGTACCTAATTAGTAATTAGTATTAAATGCTAAGTAAAAAACACAATCCAAAATATTTTTTTATAGTTATTTGTCAAATTAAAACAATATTTGATAACAAAAATACTTTTACTATAGGTATTTTATTTTATGTTAAAAATAAATATTTATTAATTTATATACCGTTTTTTTTATTTCTGAATTAACATTTTTATATATTATAATCCTATCTTCAACTTCAATCTAATCTGACTTATCTGACAAAATTTTCCAATTTTACTTTTTATGAAATAATGTCATACAACAGTTGTATGTATTATAATAAGTTGTATACAACTTATGGTTTAGAGGTCAAATTGTTTATTTAATATTTTTAAATAAATATATATTAATGTCGCAAAAATTTTTAAGGGGACGACAAATATTATGACAGTGAGGCGTATTTATCGTCTCCTGAAGAATTTTACGAATGTAGAATACAACATATTAGAACGTGGGTATCTGACATATTTGGAAATATTCTCAAAAGCTTCCTAGAAGCTCCATAAGAAACCTTCTAAGAACATTCCAAAAACGTATTCTTAAAATGTTCTTAGGATGCTTTTTAGGAAGGTTTTAAGAAGTTTTAAGAAGTATTGAATGTTTTAAAAGTCACTAAGAACATTCTTAGCAGTAAGGGAAGGTTCTAAGAATATTCCATTATTCCGGGTCATATCTTCTTAGAAGATTCTTAAAATCAAATTTTGCTATCAGGGGTGAAGCTGATTTTTTTTAAGGGTTTTATTCCCATTAATTATAAATATTGAAATACCTATATTATCTCAACCTTAAGGTTGGAAAATGCCCTGTATTTAATTAAAAATATTACCTATATGAATTTGGGGATTTTTTTATTATTTTAAGCACACAGTGTATTGATAATAATTATAATTATAATAATTATTATTATAATCAATAATTGATAAATAAACAAGATGAACAATTTTATATATTAATTATGAAACTAAAATATGTGGCAACAACTAAACATTTTATATAATATATAATAATAACAATTTTAAATAAAATTATACAGTGTGTATGCGGATGGAGTACACAATAGGAAAAAAAAATCTTTAAATTAATTTATAATATAAAAATTTGAGATCAGATGTACAGAGTGTTAATAAATTGGGAAAAAAATAAAATGCTTAATTTTTTAAACGTCAATGTCGTATTTTGATTTTGTGAAGGCATTTTTAAAAATGTTGAGCAAATGTTGTTAACAAATGACAGGTGACAGATGCCACATGACAGAAAAGTATTAAAATAGATGAAATGACTGAATTCATTAATAAGAAGCGAATAGTTTTTTTTAAGTAATAAGTTATGGTACTTCTCCAATGTTTTTCTAATTTATTAACATACATCTGATCTCAAATTTAAAAAAATTAGAATTAGAAAATCTTAACAAGCAGAATAAAGGTTGACTTTTTTAATATTGTAAATCCGCGAACACTCTGTATATACAATAGACTGGGCAAAAAAATCGACTATTTTTTTTGTGAAGTAGGTATATTGTTTGGGGTGACAATTAAATAACAGTGAAAATGGTATTTTCGCTTAAAGCGAAAAAAATCAAATGTGTAATTTTGTTTTAATTTTCAGTAATTTGATCAATAACATAAAGATTATCATCGATAAAAGAATTTAAGTTTTTAACTGACCCAAACAAAAATCTACAACAGAAAAAACAAGAATTTCGTTTTGACTTCAACTTTAACATTGAATAACTTTTGATGGAGTGAATTTAGCCAAAAATGTTAAGAGACTTTTTTGTAGAGCATTTGATTTCCCATAAGAATATCTATCGGTTTTTTTCCGGGTACTGATTTTTACATGAATTGCAAAATTCCAAAGTTAAAAGATCAAATTGTAAAACTACACCAATTTTTAAACGGTTTAAACGGTTCATCTGGCGGGAAATTTCAGTTAAACCTTTTTTGTAGAGCATTAAATTTTATTCAAAAAATATTACCAAGTCAATTTTGTTAAATTAAATGGTTTTACAAAATTCCAAAGTTAAACGATCAAATTGTAAAAGTATACCAATTTTAGGTCACCCCAAAAATATTTTCGATATAAAAAAAAATAGTCGATTTTTTTGGCCCACACACTGTATAAAATGATGCACCTTTCTATACGTATAATAAGCGTTTACATTTTAAAATCAAATTAACTGGAATGGCAAATACTGTATTTATTTACATTGTTAGTCATGTTTTGGTCCATTTTAAATATTAATATATAATTAAATTATATGGGCATTTTTTTAATTTTTGGTATCCAGCCTATACGAGGTGTGTTCAGAAAATAACGGGAATTTTTAAATTTTGCGGGTTCGGAGGGTCCGGTTGTCATAAAATTTTCTTTTTTATGTTGGTATACATGCCCCCGAAGTATGATAAAAACTTTAGCTGTTTTCATTGTTTACTTTGTCTGTGGCAGCCGCTAAGGTTAGACGTGTTTTATGAGCTCGGCGATTTTTTCGTTCGTTAAAAGAAATGGATCAAAGAATTTGTATCCAATTTTGCTTAAAAAATGAAATAAATTCTGTGAAATGTTAACAAAGGCCTATAGTGAGTCTGCTATAAGTAAAACAAGAGTTTACAAGTGGTATAAGAGTTTCCAAGATGACCGTGAAGACGTTGAAGATGACGAACGCCCCGAAAGCACAAGCACATTAACAACCGATAAAAACATGGAAAGAGTGGAATAAATGGTTATAAACCATCAGAGAAATCGCTGATGATGTTGGTATATCGATTGGCTGATCCCATGAAATTTTTTTGAATGTTTTGGGTATGAAACGCGTGGCAGCAAAATTTGTTCTAAAAATTGTTAAATTTTGAACAAAATTTTTGGCCAAAAACAATACTGTAATGATGCCCCAGCCTCCATATTCGCTAGACATGCCTTAGTCTGACTTTTTCCTATTCCCAAAAATAAAGAGAACCTTAAAGGGCCGTCGTTTTGCAAGCATAGATTAAAAGCGCATCGCTGAAAGAACTAAAGGCTATAGCCTCAAAGATCGAGTTTTAGAAGTGTTTCGAGTATTGGAAGAAGAGCATAATATCCAATGGAGACTATTTTGAAGGCGACAGCATTAATGTAGACCAATAAATAAATATTTGTTTTAAAAAACGAAAATTCCCGATATTTTCTTAACACACCTCGTATAGGCAAATTTTTATTGTTGTCTCTCATTATAAAAATAATAATAATTATTATTACTTTAGCCAAAAAATAATAAAAACTACTAATAAATTGTATTATTTTTAAAATGTTTGAAAAAGCTATAATTTTATTAAAAATTATTTAAAATTTTACTTTTGTATTGGCAAAATACCATTGACAAAATAAATTTGCCAATGTTAAATCACAGAAAACAGGTAGTGGTTTTTTATACAATAAAAATAATTTAAATATAAAAATAAATTATATTATTACTTTTTTAAAGTATATGCCAAATATGCCAAGGGAGTCATTTTTAAAACTTAAAAAAATACCCATATAACATTTCTATATTAATTTGGCAGTTGTGGGATGCGTCCTGTATATAGTATTCCAAAACTCGAACCGTTCCTGTTCTGGATTGGCCAACGGTTGAAGTTCCTCGCCGATGTCTAAGAAATTGACGACATCATTTTCAACAGGCAACCATTTAACATTCAATAAATCATCGGAATTTGGGGTGGGATTGCCATGCCTGGCAAAATTCGCCCACAACCTACAAACCGTTTTTTGAGCTGTATCTTCCAAGCTCCCAGGTTTTATTTTTAACCTAAATATGGTGTTAAAAAGATACCCCAGGTCGTCAGCATGAGATACTCCTGAAAATAAAAATAAATTCTAGACTAAAAATAATTTATAATAACCTTCCCTGATAGAACACTTTATTCTACGAATGTTTTTTAAACCTTCCAGTGAGAATATTCTTAGGATCATGCTATATTTCTTCTAAAGAACATATAAAGACATATAAAGACATATAGCATGATCCTAAGAATATATTCTTACTGACCTATAGGCAGGTTCTTAGAAGGTGCAAAGTTTTAGTGGTAAAAATTAGTCTACTCTAAACATATGCTTAGAATGTTAAGAAAGTTCATTTAGGAATATTCCTGTTAAGCATATTTAGTTCAGTTACCTATATAATAGTAAAATATACTATAAACTACGTATAAAGGTATCTATACTTAAGTACCTAATTAATAATTATTATTAAACACTAAGTAAAAAACACAATCCAAAATATTTTTGTATAGTTATTTGTCAAATTAAAACAATATTCGATAACAAAAATACTTTTACTATAGGTATTTTATTTTATGTTAAAAATAAATATTTATTAATTTGTATACCGATTTTTTATATCTGAATTAACATTTTTGTGTATAATAATCCTAACTATCTTCAACTTCAATCTAATCTGACTTATCCCACAAAATTTTCCAATTTTACTTTTTATGAAATAATGTCATACAACTTATGGTTCAGAGGTCAAATTGTTGATTTAATATTTTTAAATAAATATATATTAATATGTCGCAAATTTTTTTAAGGGGACGACAAATACATTTCACTGTCATATTATGACAGTGAGGCGTATTTGTCGCCTCCTGAAGAATTTTACGAATGTATAATCCAACATATTAGAACGTGGGTATCTGACATATTTGGAAATATTCTCAAAAGCTTCCTAGAAGCTCCATAAGAAACCTCCTAAGAACATTCCAAAAACGTATTTTTAAAATGTTCTTAGGATGCTTTAAGAAGCTTTTAAGAATCTAATTGCATCATTAAAAGGGTATCTATTGAATGTTAACATTACTTAGGAATAAGGGAAGGTTCTAAGAACATTCCAAAATCGTATTCTTAAAATGCTTTTTAGGAAGGGTATCTATTGAATGTTTTAAAAGTTTTAAAAGTTTTAAAAGTCCCCAAGAACATTCTTAGCAATAAGGGAAGGTTCTAAGAATATTCCATTATTTCGAGTCATATCTTCTTAGAAGATTCTTAAAATCAAATTTTGCTATCAGGGAGGTACTAACCTGGAGCAGTGATCTTGTTTAAATGCTTGTACATATTCAAATGACTTTCGTAGGAAAATCTGTATAGATAAACAGGTGTTGTATTATGTTTTGCATGATTTCTAGCAGCTTGATAAATACCCCAACTAAAGCAATTGTCAGACATCAACTAAAAAAAATATATAAAATAACTTCAACAACATTTATGTAACTTCATACGTCATATAGATCCAACAAATGTTTCTCGATGGAATACGGCCCTTCGCCTAGATAAAACTTCACAATTTTTTCTCCAAGATCCCTTTTTACTTCCGAACCATCCTCCAAATCTAACGCTACAGGCACATTAATTTCAGGTACGGTCCAGTATTTATGTCTGTTTTTCTTGGCCACGACACCTTCATAAAGCATACCTTCGCAATTATTGTAACCCATCATCAAAGGTACATGGTGATAGTCGCCGGAAGCTATGATTTCTGCGGGAGGTTTGGATAAAAATGCATTTGGAGATGGGGGCTCTACCACCCAGCCAGCGTATCGGTCAATGTTGGAAAACTTATCAATCTTAAAAAGAGAAATCATACCATAAATCTGCATTCAACAACGTTTTTTTCTCTGTATCACTATAGTCCCCTGATAGCAAAATTTGATTCTAAGAATCTTCTAAGAAGATATGACTCGGAATAATGGAATATTCTTAGAACCTTCCCTTTTAATGATACAATTAGATTCTTAGAAGCTTCTTAAAACCTTCCTAAAAAGCATTCTAAGAACATTTTAAGAATACGTTTTTGGAAAGTTCTTAGAAGGTTTTTTATGGAGCTTCTAGGAAGCTTTTGAGAATATTTCCAAATATGTCAGATACCCACGTTCTAATATGTTGGATTCTACATTCGTAAAATTCTTCAGGAGGCGACAAATAGGCCTCACTGTCATAATATGACAGTGAAATGTATTTGTCGTCCCCTTAAAAAATTTTGCGACCTATTATTATTATTATTATTTATTTAAAAATATTAAATAAACAATTTGACTTCTAAACCATAAGTTGTATGACATTATTTCATAAAAAGTAAAATTGGAAAATTTTGTGGGATAAGTCAGATTAGATTGAAGTTGAAGATAGTTAGGATTATTAAGCATAAAAATGTTAATTCAGATATAAAAAATCGGTATACAAATTAATAAATATTTATTTTTAACAAAAAATAAAATATAAAAAAAACAAAATTTTTCCTTATAAAATAATTCTTCATAAAAGAAAAAACCAAATAGTTCTTTATAAAAAAACATTTTTCATTGTATTTAAGTTGGATAGAAGATTTTATGTAAAAGCCGGATAATTTAGATACCTATAGTAAAAGTATTTTTGTTATCGAATATTGTTTTAATTTGACAAATAACTATAAAAAAAATATTTTGGGTTGTGTTTTTTTACTTAGTATTTAATACTAATTATAGGTACCTTTATACGTAGATTATGGTATATTTTACTATTATATAGGTACCTAACTGAACTGAATATGTTTAACAGAATGTTTCAGGAATATTCCTAAATGAACTTTCTATAGCAATTACTTTCTCAACATTCTAAGCATATGTTTAGAGTGGATTAATTTTTACCACTAAACTTTGCACCTTCTAAGAACCTGCCTATAGGCCTTAGGATTATGCTATATTTCTTTTAAGCATGTTCTTTAGAAGAAATATAGCATGATCCTAAGAATATTCTTACTGGAAGGTTTAAAAAACATTCTTAGAACATGACTAGAAGAAATATATATAGCATGATCCTAAGAATATTCCCACTGGAAGGTTTAAAAAACATTCTTAGAATAAACTGTGCTATCACTAGTGATACAGAAATACAGGTATACCAGTATTACCTTATCTAGTTCGTGTTGTCCACTGTAAATTTCTTCGCGAGTCAACTTTTGGAAATGTTCCAGCATGACTTTCTCATCTTTGGAATCGCACCCTGTAAATCTGGCATACTGTTGGGCGACATTTTTTTGACATTGCGCCCATCCGTTGAGGCTGCTTCCGCTTTGTGCGATAGCCTTATGAAAAAGTCCTTAACACCAAGAGAATTAATTTTGATAGCAAATAAACATTTTTTATTTGTTATAAGAACCTTTTGTGAGAGGTGAGAGTGTTAATAAATGTACTGAAACAGACCCAGCGCTTTCCCCGAATATCGTTACGTTATCAGGATCACCGTTGTAGTCCTTGATGTTATCCTGGACCCATTTCAAAGCCAAAACCATATCTTTGAATGCCATATTGCCGTAAACGCCTAGACTTGGGTCGTCCAGTTTCAGGAAGCCTAAAAGTTGATTTTACTAAATTACTGTTAATATAAAAAAATATTAAAACAATAATATACCCAACACTCCCAATCTATAATTAATGCAAACCAAAACAACATCTTCTTTTAAAAGAAATTCTGGGCCATAAATGTCATTGGAATTTGATCCTACCACAAATCCACCACCATGTATGAAGACCATGACTGGTTTAGGTTTTTGGTGCTCTGGTGGAAGCTAAAGAAACAAGTTAAATAAATCAATAAATAAATAAAAAAAATATTTTACCTCAGTTGTATAAATATTGAGATTAAGACAGTCTTCATTCCCTGATAATTGTTTGAAAAGATAATCCTTCTGGATGCATTGCTGCCCTGGTTTAGTCGCATCAAAGGTACCCGACCAAGGTTCGGCTGGTTCAGGGGGCTACAGTAAAAATCAAAAAAATAATTATTGTTATCGGTCTTCATATTGCAATATTTTATAGGTTTTGTATAAAAGAATATTTCAATTTTTAATAAAAAACATGCAAAAAAGTATTTTTTTATAGTAATTGGACACATGGACCATAGTTATTGGACATACAATTTTTATAAAAACAAAACAACTTTACATCCTGTTTTAGATAATTTTTTTTTATTTCGTTTTTGTAAATATCATATAATTCATATATTTCTTTCTCGGATTCCTCATCCCTTTTCTGGATTCTGAAGGTAACTACTAATTCCTTGGTCTGACTTCTGAAATAGTTTGTTTGCATGCAAATATCATTAAGTGTTTGTGAAGCATTTATAATGTTTAGGCCGGAACAGGATGATTTATATATATCTAATATTTTTTCGGGTGGTATGTTTAAAGTATTTTTTGAATTTATTAATTTTGTTGCCATTACTTTTTTATGCTCTCTATCATGCACTTTATTTAAATCACTGTTATTCTGCAAGATGTGCTGTGACGAAGGAATCACTATATTACATACTCTCTAAAAATGAATTAGTCTAAAATGTCATAGCGAAAAAGCAGCCACTAATAATTCTCGTCAACAGCAATTTGTATCCAGGACATTTAGCAGTCAATTCCTATGAAATATTATTCGCTGAATTCGAAAATGTCGTAAAAAGTTATAAAAGTATAACAGTTTTTGAAATATAATCAATTTTACATATAATATGGAATTGACTATATTTCAAAAACTGCTTAACTTTTATAGTTTTTGAAGGTCTTTTCGGATTCAGGGGACAATTTTACACAAGAATTGGTTGGTAAATGCCCGGGATATAAATAGAGTATGATATTGGACATATGTCCAATAATAGAAATTTATATTTTTTACCAATCAGTAATTGGACACTGGTTGTTTTCAGAATTAAAATTAAAACTCATTAAAGTGACAATGTTTTAAGCGTAATCTAATGATTTGACTTTAAGGTAACTATTTATAGAACTCTTGTTTTTACAGTATTAATGTTAATTGTCTACTTTATCCTATAAATTATTATATATTTTTAATATAATAATAGTCATAATTATCCATTAATGGATATGAAAATGTAAAATATTTATTTTTTAGAGGTAGATGGGGCTAAAAAGTATAATGACCCTTATAATAATTCAATAGTTTGTGATACGTTATGTTATCAATAACTATAACTATTTTAACTATAGTTGATAAAAAAAATTGCCTTATTCATTTATGGATTTCAATAAATTTAAAAATTAATTTGAAGTTGTAACGTACTTCATTTAATTGTACACATTTTGTTATCACTAATTTATATTTTCAACTAAGATTGCATACCTACTACACTCCAGTTTTAATAGATTAACTTTTGAAGGTAATTTTATTAATTAATTGTTTTCAAAAGTCTTACCTTAAAACGTAATTCGCCAATTGGGGGGTTTCCCATATGGAATGCCTTGGAAGCTGTAGTATTTTTTTCCATTTTCAATTTCCTTTATGTGTCCTTTAATAGTGCCTAGCTTGGTTTTGTGGGTACATTCTTCGTATTTGTAAAAATTAAAATATTTTAAAATCTAAAAAGTAATTGTTATAATTTTTTTTAAACAAAGGTCTCTAATTTAATTTTAATTAGCTCTTGATTCATTGAATTTTTACAAGTTAGGTAAAGTTCATTTTTTTTATCTGGACTGCGGCAACGTTTGCAAATTTAGGGTTTTGTTTGGTAAATACAGTTGTCAAGTTGGTCGCATTGATTAAAACAAACTAAGCTAGTTATAAATCTAATTGTGGTTATGTATAAATTATTGAAGGTTACATTGTGCAGTTGTCAAGTTCAGTTGTCGAAATTCGTAGTTAAAAATGCAATTAATTTGGCTTTGGTGGTGCTTGGATGAGAAAAATCATATAAAAAAGTAGTTAAATATAGGTTGCTTTACGGCCCAGAAGAGAAAGTATTCGTAGCGGATAATAATCTTCGTTTTGAAAAAAATTTATGTAAAAAAAATTAAAATTGTTTGTGAACGTCAAAGTTGTCCAGTGGTAAATAATGTGAAAATAATGTGTGATGTAATATTTATAAAACCAAATTTGTTACTTTTTCTTCCATTATGGCATTTGGCATAATTTCATAAAAATGAAGGTTTGCCCTCAAAAGGGCTTTTACATTCGAATTCGTTGCTATTATTTTTGGCATAATTATCTTTTTATTTATAATAGATAAGTAAATTATAAATAATATATATTATTGTCAATTTAATTTAATTAAATTCTTTAGCAGAAGTCCAGAAAAAAAAATTAAATGTATTTTTAATGTGAATATCAACTTGGCAACGCTGTGCGGTGGAATAACCAGGGGCGTAGGCATGGGTTTTATGGGGGATTGAATCCCCCCCAAATGTGAGAAACAGTTTTGTTTTGACATATTTTTATGATCTCAGTTGTGTCTCAAAATATCATAACAAACAAAAATTATCAAAAACGGTGTATGGGACAAAAATGATCAAACAAAAAATTAAGCATTATAATACAAAATCCATTGCAATTTGCACATCAAAATTATTAAGTAAAATTTAAGTTTTAAAGTCCAAAGATAATCATATTGTATTATTTACAACTGCAAATTATTAGAAGATAAAATTATAGATAAAAAGTAGCTATTAAGTAACGCATTATATATACTATAGTATACAAAACATGGGGGAATGATGGTTTCCCAAAATAAACTAAAAAAATTAAATTTGGCAACGCATGGCCCAAATATAAATCGATAAAACAGCCCAGCGACAAAATCTACACGATACCTATAGTGCGAAAATAAAACAAATATTTCACCTAGACAAAGTTGTGTGGTTTATTGAAAAAACATACCTTATAAATGGCAATGTTAAAAAACATCCTTTCCCTGTAGAAAGTGAAATGAAATTTGTTAAACAAACTAAACATTATAAAGGAAACTATGCGACCCAACATTTATAAAATATATGCTAGAGTTGCGTCAGTAACTGTTCGTAAATTTACTCATCAATTTATTTATTCGTACCCAACCAACCGGTTGCAACCTTCATAGATTAGCGCATGGTATACTAGAGTAGAGGGGAGGTGTTGCCAATTTTATACACTTGTTTTTCGGCTGGTTTAAGATAAGGGCTTAGTAATGATTTCACTCACTGATACAATTTTATTTTTGGGTACATTTTTTTTAATAAAACATGAGCAATTTTTTAATAGAAATATTTTTTTAATTAAGTAAAGAATTTTAATAAATGTTAAATTAATGCTCCAAAACCTGTTATAGACAAAACAGTATACAATTTCCTGGTATCAACCGAGGCTGGTAAATTATTTTTTCATTATACATACTTACCTATTTAAAAATGCAAGATTGCCTTGATTACTTGATTACTGGTTGGGTATAATACATCATAATGACTTCATTATAACACCGCTTTTGGTTCTTTAATGAGGTACTTTATTCCACCCAAAATTTTGATTTTTTAGGTTGGCTAATAGTAAAATAAAATATTGAATACCTATAGGTTATAATATTTTTATGATTTGTTTTTTAGTACTTACGAGACTTTTCGTGCAACACCAAAGAAAATCCTTTTTTCTTCTTTAACAGCCGCTTATTGTAAATACTTATTGTAAATTAACGACGCCATAGCGAAAGAATGTGATAATGTTTGAAAGGTTAATGACCTTTCAAACTTCAAACTGAGATACCAACTATGTAAAGTAAAATTCGACCAAATTAAATATAAGGTATAAAATTAATTTGTTTTATGAAATGTTTGCAAAATAGATAAAATAGCATAAAGAACTCATGTCATAAGACCTTTTGTGACAAAATGACGTCTTATGACATTAGTTCTTTAATATACTATTATCTATAAAATAAAAATATCGTTCTAAGGTACAGAGTTCGAATACATGAAATATTCAATCATTTAAAAATACATTTTTAAATGATCTGGGCCACAGATAAAAAATAAGTAATAAATAAAATGTTGCTAAAAATGGGGCTTTTATTTAATTAGTTTAAAAGCACTTTTGGTATTATCACAAAATAAAACAAAAACAACAGTAAGGTAAAGTAGACAGTTATCGGACACTTTATAGTAATTGGACAATTAACATTAATACTGCAAAAACAAGAGTTCTATAAATAGTTACCTTAAAGTCAAATCATTAGATGACGCTGTATACAATTATAACTATCTCAGTCTGTAATAATATAGAACTAATTTATTTTGGGTCCAATATAGGACAAAAAAGTTCTCACGTTACTTTGGTGGTAAGATTTTTGTTTTTTTGTCAAGGGCAGGGCTGTGTTTAAATTACAATAAAAAATATTTCTAAAAAGTGTACAGATCAGTGTGTGGTATAAATGTGTTCTTCATGGTTTAAACATTGTTACTTTAATGCGTTTTAATTTTAATTCTGAAAACAACCAGTGTCCAATTACTGGTTGGTTTAAAAATTAAATTTCTATTATTGGACATGTGTCCAATATCATACTCTATTTGTATCCCGTACATTTAACAGCCAATTCTTATGTAAAATTGTGCCCTGAATCCGAAAAGACAGTCAAAAACTATTAAATTTAAGCAGTTTTTGAGATATAGTCAATTCCATATTATATGTAAAATTAATTATATTTCAAAAACTGTTCTACTTTTATAACTCTTGACGCCATTTTCGGATTCAGCGAATAATAATTCATAGGAATTGACTGCTAAATGTCCTGGCTACAAATTGCTGTTGACGAGAATTATTAGTAGCAGCTTTTTCTCTATGACATTTTTGACTAATTCATTTTTAGAGAGTAAGAAATATAGTGATTTCTTCGTCACAGGACATCTTGCAGAATAACATTGAATTAAATACAGTGCATGATACAGAACACAAAAAACTAATGGCAACAAAATTAATAAATTCGAAAATACTTTTAACATACCACCCGTAAAAACATAAGATATATAAATCATCCTGTTCCGGCCTAAACATTATAAATGCTTCACAAACTAATGATATTTGTAACAAACTATTTCAAAAGCTAGATCAAGGAATTAGTAGTTACCTTCAGAATCCAGAAAAGGGATGAGGAATCCGAGAAAGAAATATATGAATTATATGATATTTACTAAAACGAAATAAAAAAATTACCTAAAACAGCAATTTATCTTTAAAAAATATTTAACAATTTATATTATTTGATGTAAAGTTGTTATATATATATAAAATTGTATGTCCAATTACTATATAAAATTTCCAATTACTATACTTTTTTGCATGTTTTTATAAAACTATTATTAAAAATTCAAATAATCTTATTTTTAAGTAAACGTAAATAATATTCCTTAAGTATCCAATAACTATGTGGTTTACCCTGTAACAAATAAAACAACAAAAACTATAATTTACAACTCAAATCTTTGCTCTTGTAAATATCGTCCCAGAAGTCCATTCGTTTCTTATCCGGATTTTCCAGCATTTGTAACTCTTTCCCTATATCAAGAAAACATAATTTATTATCACCGACTGGAAGCCATTTGATGGGCACAAGCGAATCACTCACAGGAGTGGGGTCGCCGTATTTTGCAAAATTCGTCCACATCCTACAAAATCTTCGCCTCCCTATGTCCTCCATGCTGCCAGGTTCTATGTCTGGAGTAAGCGCGCTTTTAAAGAGGTAACCCAAGTCATCAGCATGTGATACCCCTAAAAATATTTCAGCATCTGTTATAAGAAGCACATATGGTTGTATTAGCTCACAAAGTAAAAGCAACTTTGTCATTACTGTATGGCAGGTCATTTATAAAAGTTAAAAAAGGCAAGGGGCCCAAAACAGATCCTTGGGGTACCCCCAGTATAAAAATGTAGACAAATTACTAACCTGGTGAATTTATGTTGGACAAAATCTTAAAAGTATTTAATTCTGTTTCTATGGACATTCTATAGAAATATATTGGTTCTGAAGAGTATGAAGCATGTTTTCTAACACAATAATTTATACCCCAAACAAAACAATTGTCTGATGTCATCTAAAAAACTTACTTTAAAAATGTATTAATACTAATACTAAATATTTACCATAAACATTTTTTCCAGAGTATTATCCAACGTATGGGGCCCAGGTCCCATATAGTAATCAGTAATCTTTTTTCCAAAAGCTTTCGACACCTCAGAACCGGTTCTGAATCCCAACAAATCTGGAACGTTGATTTCTGGGCATTCCCAATAAACTGATCTTTTATTTTTTGGTATCAGTGCTTTAAACAGCATACCTTCCCCTGTATTGTAACCCATCATCAAGGGAACATGGTGGTAATCGCCTTTTTTGATAATGTCCCAGGGGTGTTTGGTTAGAAAAGCGTTTGGGTGAGGTTTTTCGATTAATAACCCTATGTAACGATCTGTGTTACCCAGGTCTTCTTCCTGATAAAAAAATATTCACATGAAATACTAATTAATATTGTTTATCAATAATACCTTTTCATATTGCAATTGCACATCTACAATTGTTTCCAATGGAACTGCCTGAATGTCATCTAGAAACTTTTTGGGATCCCTACAAGACATATTTAATTTTTTTGCTATTTCCTCTGTAGCACTTTTTCTTCTGTAGTTCCAACCATTGATGGCACAGCCACTTTGAGCAATAACTTTATGAAACAATCCTAAAATAGAATATCAACAAAAATGTTACTATAGGGGTGGGTTTTCTTGCCTTTTGATAATGGTGACAGCATTAGCAAATGTGCAGATCCTGACCCAGCACTCTCCCCAAACAATGTAACGTTGTTTGAATCACCACAGAATTTTCTTATGTTTTCTTGCACCCATTTCAGAGCTAACAACATGTCTTTAAAGGCTTGATTACCTGGCACATCCAAACTTTCGTCATCAATGTTAAAAAAGCCTACAATAAAACTCTTAGTTCTAGTTGTAGTTGTGAAAATAGGTAGGTATTACCGAAAATTCCAAGTCTGTAATTTATGGTCACCAAGACAACATCTTCAGCAATCAAAAAGTTTGCTCCATAAAGACTCTGAGAATTTGAGCCTGATAGATATGCTCCCCCATGTATGAACACCATTACCGGTTTTAAGTCATATGATTTTATATCTGAAATCTATGAAAATGGGTTTATTCATAACACAAGCTCACAGGTGGTCTAAAAATAGTATAGAATATAGGTACTAGGGTGATTCATTTCCGCAAAGTTTTTGTTTTTTTTCGGTGCTCAAGCAAAATATTAATCTGCATATAGGAAAAAACATTCTCAACAAGTTTGACCTCTTAATATTAATTTTAAGCATATATATTTTTTTTTTTCAAATTTCTAATGCTTACCCACCTTTGACAATATTGCAAATCGGTTTAATACACCTTATGGGGAATTTCACGCTCTTTAAAATTGCTTTTGAGTTTTTTTTGTAACTCGCATTGGTTCACCAGTAGGAGTCGTCAAAGGACAGTTTTTGAAAAAAATCGTTTTTTTTTTTAATTTTTTCGAGCAAATCGCCAAAAGTAGTGAAAAAAAAGGGCTGATTCATAAAAAAAAAGTTATGCAACCAATATTTAATGAATTTACTGCCATTTTTATAACTGAAAACGTAAGAAATTGATAAATACCAACCCATAATGTTATTTAGATTGATTTTTTCCATTTATTATCATTATATTTCCCTACACTAAGAACTTTTTTAAAATTATTATGATTTCTCACTCATAATGAATATGAAAACAATACATAAATTCATAAAAAAACAACAAAACTTTAATCGGAATATACAGAAGGTTATGTAACATATTTCAAATTTCGCTTCAAAAAATTAAATAATCTTCATTTATATTTTTTTGCTATATGACAGAAATGTTGAAAAATTGCAAAATTCACGTTACAATTTTCTTATTGTTTTTTTATGAATTTATCTGTTGTTTTCATATTCATTATAAGTGAGAAATCAATAATTTTAAAAAACTTTTTAGTGTAGGGAATTATAATGATAATAAATAGAAAAAATCAATCTAAATAACATTATGAGTTGGTAATTATCAATTTCTTACGTTTTCAGTTATAAAAATTGCTGTAAATTCATTAAATATTGGTTGGATAACTTTTTTTTATGAATCAGCCCTCCCTACTTTTTGCGGTTTGTTAGAAAAAATTAAAAAAAAACGATTTTTTTCAAAAACTGTTCTTTGACGACTCCTGCTGGTGAACCAATGCGAGTTACAAAAAAAAACTCAAAAGCAATTTTAAAGAGCGTGAAATTCCCCATAAGGTGTATTAAACCGATTTGCAATATTGTCAAAGGTGGGTAAGCATTAGAAATTTGAAAAAATATATATATTTTTTACATGCATTTTAAACGGTAAAACTTAAATTTAAATAGTAAGTGCTTAAAATTAATATTAAGAGCTCAAACTTGGTGAGAATGTTTTTTCCTATAGGCAGATTAATATTTTGCTTGAGCACCGAAAAAAAACAAAAACTTTGCGGAAATGAATCACCCTAGTATAGGTACTCTTGCTCTTCAACATTTTTTTAATATGATCGAAACGATGAGTCAAATTTTTACCCAAACCAAAGTTATAAATTTCACAAAGAGGAAAAAGGAAAACATTTAGAAAGAAGTTACCTAAAGTAAGGTATAATGTACCTTTTTAGTAAAAACATTCAAGTTTAGACAGTCTTCTGTTCCTATTCTTTCTTTTGTTATTAAGTCTACTTGAGCACATGCTGAACCCTCTTCAGTTGCATCAAAAATATTTCTCCAAGGTCTTATAGGTTGTGGGTCCTAAAATTATTTATTGGGATTTGAATAACAACACTTAACATTTTCCTGAATTCATACCTTAAATCTAAGTTTTCCTAAGGGTGGCTCTGCATAGGGTATACCCAAAAAACAATAATATTCTTCACCGTTCACATCAAAATCCTTTTTGCCCTGTATTTTACCAGAGGATATTTTAACTATTGGATCTTTCATTGTATTGAAATGAAAGCACACAGACTTGAGTTCAAAGATAATTACTTATCACAAATAATAATATTTACAGACTATGTTTAAAATTCAACTTTACCTGGAATATTTTATTTACATTAACTATGCATTAAACTAATTAATAGACGATATAATTATCACTTTTTAATAGGCCACAATTAAACATTTAATTGCCCTTTAAACAGCTTAGTATACATCGTTGGGTATAGATGATGAAGCACTTGTATATGTAAATAAGTTGAACATTGAACATTATTAAACCTACTTTAGCTTTATTTTAATTTATCGCCTTTGTTTACAGCAATTTAAAGTGTTTGTGTAAAACAAAGTTATCATCAATATTCAAAATCCATTTAAAAGATACCAGTGAAATTATTTGGTAGTTGCAATATCTAATCAGATTAAGCCACATAAAAAGTAGTTTGTATCATATTAAACTTCAATATACCAAAATATGATAAAAGGTAGTTTAAAAAAATCGCCCAAGTCATGTCCGGTGATAAAGGGGGTCATTGAATGCCATACGCGTTGAGTTTACCATACTGGATGTTTTTTCCACTTTAGTCAATGTATTACAGCGAATGAGCTGACATTTTAAACTATTACCAAGACAACTGGGCAGAAGAAGGAGGGAAATCCCTGATAACAAAATTTGATTCCAAGAATCTTCTAAGAAGATATGACCCGGAATAATGGAATATTCTTAGAACCTTCCCTTATTGCTAAGAATGTTCTTAGGGACTTTTAAAACATTCAATAGATACCCTTTTAATGATGCAATTAGATTCTTAGAAGCTTCTTAAAACCTTCCTAAAAAGCATTCTAAGAACATTTTAAGAATACGTTTTTGGAATGTTCTTAGAAGGTTTCTTATGGAGCTTCTAGGAAGCTTTTGAGAATATTTCCAAATATGTCAGATACCCATGTTCTAATATGTTGGATTCTACATTCGTAAAATTCTTCAGGAGGCGACAAATACGCCTCACTGTCATAATATGACATTGAAATGTATTTGTCGTCCCCTTAAAAAATTTTGCGACATAATATATATTTATTTAAAAATATTAAATAAAGAATTTGACCTCTAAACCATAAGTTGTATGACATTACTTCATAAAAAGTAAAATTGGAAAATTTTGTGGGATAAGTCAGATTAGATTGAAGTTGAAGATAGGATTATTATACCATAAAAATGTTAATTCACAAATAATAAATCGGTATACAAATTAATAAATATTTATTTTTAAGATAAAATAAAATATAAAAAAACAAAATATTTCTTCATAAAAGAAAAAACCAAATAGTTCTTCATAAAAAAAACATTTTTCATTGTATTTAAGTTGGATAAAAGATTTTATGTAAAAGCAGAATAATTTAGATACCTATAGTAAAAGTATTTATGTTATCGAATATTGTTTTAATTTGACAAATAACTATAAAAAATATTTTGGGTTGTGTTTTTTACTTAGTATTTAATACCAAGTATAGGTACCTTTATACGTAGATTATGGTATATTTTACTATTATATAGGTAGGTACCTAACTGAACTGAATATGCTTAACAGAATGTTCCAGGAATATTCCTAAATGAACTTTCTATAGCAATTACTTTCTCAACATTCTAAGCATATGTTTAGAGTGGATTAACTTTTACCACTAAACTTTGCACCTTCTAAGAACCTGCCTATAGGCCAGTGAGAATATTCTTATGCTATATTTCTTTTAAGCATGTTCTATAGAAGAAATATAGCATGATCCTAAGAATATTCTCACTGGAAGGTTTAAAAAACATTCTTAGAACATGACTAGAAGAAATATAGCATGATCCTAAGAATATTCCCACTGGAAGGTTTTAAAAACATTCTTAGAATAAACTGTGCTATCAGGGATTGCACATTCCAATAGTTGGTATATGATGAAGTCACTTCATATTCTTATTGAAGTATTGAAGTCTTGATGAAAAGCCTTAATGATTTAAAACCAGAACAGCTTGTTGCTGGTAATAAGAAACACCAGAAGAGTATATAAATATTCAGACAAACGTCCACATACAAATATACTACGCCTACAATTTAAATACTTACGTCTAGTTTTTAGTAATAATTTATTTAATTTAACAAATACATGCTACATGTTACAATAACGTGTAATAACTATTTATCTATAAAATTACAATAGCACAGTCTAGCCCTGTAATCCAGGTGCATATTCCTCTTCAAAAATTGCGTCCCAAAACCTGACTCTATGCATATCAGGGTTGGTTATAACGTCCAGCTTTTCTCCCAGATCCAAAATGTTGACATTATCTGAGGAAACCGGTGTCCAGTTAACACCGTTAAACAGAACATCAGATTTGGGTGTCGGGGTCCCGTATTTGGCGAAATTCGTCCACAATTTCAAAAACCTTTGGATGTATAAGTCTTCCCTGCTGTTTTTTTCTATGGGCGGAGAGAAAAAGGTTTTGAAAAAGTAGCCTAGATCATCACCGTGACATACGCCACTTAAATGGATGTCAGATAATATATTTGCACAATAATAATACAACTTTTTTAAAGAAAAAACATTGTTTTTTATCAAGAAATAAAATATAAATAACGGGGTTACATGTTTCACCGTACAAACACGTTTGAAATAGTTTAAAGAACTCTCTAACGTCATTCTGTACGAGTATATCGGTTCTCTGGATATTTTGCTTTGGTATTGGATTGTTTTAACTAGTCCATAAATGAAACAATTATCGCTTCTTAGCTGAAATAATAGGTGTTTAGAAAACACATTTTTTCTATTGTTAACAACTCACAGTATATAGTTTTTCCACATTATTCTCGTTTACGTCTTCTCCATTAAAATAAAACTCCTTCACTCTACTTCCTAGTTGTTTGGACTTTGTTCCACCAAGTTCAGCGTCTATTACATGTGGAATTTCTTTCTCAATATCGCTGGGAAGCTTTAGATTCCCCTTCCTTCTAAATGCTTCATAAAGCATACCTTCCTGTGAAGCATAGCCTATAATCATAGGGACTTTATGGAATGAACCTTCCTGAATTATTTGCAGTGGTGGCTTTGATAAAAATGAAGGTTCTCTGCAAAAATTTTCGACCACTGGGACCCAAGGTCTGATGTCCTTTGGTGTTAAATCCTAGAATATGTTATATTAGTGTATTAGTTATTATAATGGTCTGTTTTGGTTAAAGTACATCTTTGATTTTGAATTGGGCTGAGATAAGAGTTTTTACAGATTCTTTTCGGAGTTTTTCCAAAACTATGTGATCATCATCATTTTCATTATATCCTAGTAGCTTAGCTATGATGTGGCCGTTGCTTTTTCCCAAGGCCCAAGCGTTTAGGACGCAACCGCTTTGCAAAATTGCTTTGTGAAAAAGACCTAGGTACAAAATTGTTTACTCAAAATTCTTACTTCATGTAATTTGTACCTTGAGTCATTTCAGACAAAGTTAAATAATGAACAGCAGCTGATCCAGCACTTTCCCCAAAAATTGTTACATTGTCCGGATCACCACCAAATTTATGAATATTTTGATTAACCCATTTCAGGGACATTACCATGTCTTTTAACCCATTGTTACCAGGCACGTTGGCTGAAGGATCCTCAAGACTCAGAAATCCTAAGAACATCAAATTTGATTTAAAAATATTAAACTAGAAAGGTTAAGCACAAACCTAGAACACCTAACCTGTAGTTAATAGTAACCAAAACTATATCTTGCGTCATCAAATATTCGACCCCATACATCTCACCGCGGTTTGAACCGTAATTAAAAGCACCACCATGAATCCATACCATGACAGGAGTTTTTCGACCAGAACATACCTAATATTATCAAATTAGGATAAATGAAAATTATAAAGGTTATTTCACGTACATATTTGCAGTGTACATTTAAATTTAAACATTCATCTTCACTACCCACATTGTAATCAAAGAAGAAATGCAGGGAAGGACATTCGTTTCCTTCTTTGGAACAATCTCTTATCCCTTCCCATGGCTCTGGGGGTTGTGGAGCCTAAAGAAAATTAATATAAAGTGCTGTTTAGGAAATTTTGTATAGTATGATTGCAACAATAGATTGTTGGTTCTTTTTTGTAAAACTGTGGAAATATTTTTGGTATCTTATATATGGGTCGTTTTCAAAAAACCCCCGCCTTCCGCTGTCCGTAAGTTTGAATTCCAATAACTTTGTTAAAAATTATCGGATCCTATTGATTTAAAAACCAAGTGAAAGCCTAACAAGCCCTTAGTAAACTCTTTCAGAAAATTTTTGTTTAGTTATTTCAGAATAATTTATTTTAATTTTGAAACTTGTGAAACACACATTTTCACATGTCCCATTAGCTTTTTATAAAACTTACATACATGTTTTTTTTAATATTGAATAACCAGAACTTTGTGTTGCTTTATAGCAATCCATAACATCCTTAGTTAATACAGTAAACAATTTATATTTAAAATAATTAATTTAATCTACTTTTTTTAAATTTGACTCATGTCCCAGACATTTTTTCCGTTGCGTTACCGATAGAATATTAAAAAAAACATATATATGGCAACTTTTTTGGTACTCACGTGATCAACAAATGATGTTTGGTCGTACACATTACCCAGCTGAATTTATTTATTCAATCAGGAAGAAGATATCGGTTGAAGCAGTTGCGGGTAACGCGAATGTAATAATTGTTTGTCCGCTAAGTTACTCAAAAAAAAATAATAAAAATAAGGTAAGAAAAAATACTATTTTTTATGTTTATGTTTATTTTAGGGCACTAAAGCTCATTGAGAGTAATTAATGACTATAATGTCTTATTATTATTTTTTAAATATGGTTTTACAAAACTATGTTACCTTATGGTAACGCAATGGAATTTAGGGTAACGCAATAGAATTTTTCGACAACAAAGTGGATATTTACCATCGCTTTTATTAAAAGTAGTTTATGATTAACCAATTTAAACTTATTTGTAATTACAACTCATGATATAGATTACATCCAAGGAAAAATTCCACGCAATATAAAAGTACTAAAAGGGACCTTCACCAGCTTATAGTCAAAGAAAAAGGGTGTCTACAATTTAGAAATCTAAGTTGTTATTCTGCAAGTGGGCACCACTACAAGGGATTTTGTTTATGCATTACTCTAAAATCGTACCACCCTATATAGTTTCTTTTTTACGTTATCTGATTAAGTCCTTTGTGTACCCCTGTCCGTTGTGATACCAATGTCTATTTCGTTATTTTTTTTAGTTTTTGTTAAAAAAATACTTAAAATGATTTTTATACACTATCACTTGGTAATACGTGTTTATAAATTAGAGTTTAATTCACTAATACAGTGACTTAAAGAAAATATTAATGGTATTGTTTTTTTAACAAAGAATCGGAATGGTTTCTTTTAAAAAGTAACTTAACGAACATACATATTTAAAAAAAAGCATACAATTTTTAATAAAAAATAAAATAAAAAATTTGAGTCAAAAGTTTCAAAGTACATTTTATTTCAAATTATTTTTATAACAACTTTTTTTATTGAATTAAATTTTGGATTTCAAATTGGTAACAATGGAGATATATAAAGCTAGTTAAACACATTTTTCTGAAAAAAACGTAAAGAAAATAAAAAGTGCACTGCCTGTCTTAAATCTAAGTAAACAAAACATTTATAAAAATCCAACCAAAAGTCAATTTAAGCAAAAAAAATATTTTGATCTTCATTTTCCTGAAAGCGGGTGTTTCTTAAAAATTACCCATATTATGTATATTCGATATCCAATAACATAAGTGACACTTACACAAAATCCAATATACCGTTTAAATCTTAAAATATTCATGTATGTACATTGTACAAGTAGATTACCATTCCTTGCTTTATAATAAGAATATAGATATAATATAATAATATAGTATACAATCTAATATAATCAATATTGTAATTTGTTTGAAATGGCTTCCAAATTACAATATTAAGTATTTTAGATTTACCAGCACGAAAAGTTCGTAGAAAGTTCAATTTCCTACCAAAATACGTCTTGTACCTATACTGATATGTTGATTAGTTTAAATTTTAAAATTAAAAAAAATTGCCCATTTCTTCAAAAAACATTATCTTACAGTTATTTATCTATAGAAAGACATATTGAAACTGAAATATTCAGTTTATCCAAGAAAATGTATATTTAAAAAACTAATTAACTAATATAAACTTAATACTTGCCCTAAATCTAAGTGGCCCAATGGGTGATTTGGCGTATGGAATCCCCAAAAAACTGATAAAAGAATTCCCATGATAGTTTGTGGCATGTTTTCCTCTAACTTTGCCTTGATCCAATGTTACAAGTAAATCTGTCATTCTATCAGGGAAAACCTTTGTTACACTCTATGTTCTGTTACTGACTGAAAATTAATATTGCGCAAATGTATTTTTATATTACCACAAAGATTATTAAGCACATTGGTGACTGCATTGTTCATAGCGCACACGCAGTGTTTCCGGCATGTTATTTATTAAATTTATAAAATATTCATAATAGAAAATTGTCTGCTAATTACAACAATTTTTTCTCAAGCTAAATGTTCTATTCATCCAATAAGAGGTCAGTATTTAGGGGTCTCAAATCAAAGAAAAATAAAAAACAATACTTGTTAAAAATATATTATATCAAAACACTATGTACATATTTATTTAAATTTGGTACATCACAACATCTTAAATATATCACAATTTATTTTTGAACTTTAAATCATCTTCCACTTTAGACCAAAACTCCATAGATTCTCGTTCCAAATCTACATCCATTTTAAGGTCTTTTTCAATTCGCAGATAATTAAATTTTTCTTTGGTGATTGGCAACCACTTGGTCGGTATTAACGTGTTGGTATTTGGTGTGGGATTTCCAAATCTAGCGAAATCAGTCCACATTTTTGTCATCCTACGTACACTTGTTTCTTCTATGCTGCCAGGTTTAAGATCTGGAGATGTGGCGCCTTTGAATAAGTAGGCAATGTCTTCCACATGGCAAGCTCCTGCAATAATTGATTGCTAGTGTATTATATTTAATAGACTGTAAGGGAAACTTCTTACCTGGATCAGAAATATCCAGTAGTCTTTTAAGAAAGTTCAACTCTGTATCCAGAGAAAACCGATAGAAATATATGGGTTGATCGTTGGTTTCTATGTGGTGTTTAGCACTTCTATAAACCCCCAGTAAGAAATAGTTATCTGTAAATAACTACAACAAAAGCAACATAACATTTGTATTGATAAATGTTTTTTTTAGAATTCACCCTGTAAAAATCTGTAGCTTTCAAGTCGTCACCCAAGTAGTACTTTTTAATTTTATGCGCCACTTCTTTATATAAAGGTGATCCTCTTTGCACTTTCATATTTTGAGGTATGAAGGACGTTTCAGATGTAAGATGCTTTTTTGGTGTTAAAAAATGTATTAACATGCCTTCATCGGATGTACATCCCATCAACATGGGCACCTTATGGTAGTTTCCAGATTGTATTGCATCCACAGGATCTTTGGAGACAAAACATGATTTACAATCCAATAAGGGACAGAATGGTCTGAGTTGGCCTGGACTGTAACTCTAAAAATGTAATCAAATGTTTCCCTGATAGCACACTTTATTCTAAGAATGTTTTTTAAACCTTCCAGAGGGAATATTCTTAGGATATGCTATATTTCCTCTAGGCATGTTCTAAGAATGTTTTTTAAACTTTCCAGTAAGAATATTCTTAGGATCATGCTATATTTCTTTTAAAGAACATGCTTAAAAGAAATATAGCATGATCCTAAGAATATTCTTACTGGCCTATTATAGGCAGGTTCTTAGAAGGTGCAAAATTTTAGTGGTAAAAATTCTCTAAACATATGCTTAGGAATATTCCTGTTAAGCATATTTAGTTCAGTTACCTATATAATAGTAAAATATACCATAAACTACGTATAAAGGTATATACCTATACTTAAGTACCTAATTAGTAATTAGTATTAAATACTAAGTAAAAACACAATCCAAAATATTTTTTTATAGTTATTTGTTAAATTAAAACAATATTCGATAACAAAAATACTTTTACTATAGGTATTTTATTTTATGTTAAAAATAAATATTTATTAATTTGTATACCGATTTTTTATTTCTGAATTAACATTTTTATGTATAATAATCCCAACTATCTTCAACTTCAATCTAATCTGACTTATCCCACAAAATTTTCCAATTTTTCTTTTTATGAAATAATGTCATACAACTTATGGTTTAGAGGTCAAATTGTTTATTTAATATTTTTAAATAAATATTTATTAATATGTCGCAAATTTTTTTAAGGGGACGACAAATACATTTCACTGTCATATTATGACAGGCGTATTTGTCGTCTCCTAAAGAATTTTACGAATGTAGAATACAACATATTAGAACGTGGCTATCTGACATATTTGAGAATATTCTCAAAAGCTTCCTAGAAGCTCCATAAGAAACCTTCTAAGAACATTCCAAAAACGTATTCTTAAAATGTTCTTGGGAGGCTTTTTAAGAAGGTTTTAAGAATCTAATTGCATCATTAAAAGGGCAACTATTGAATGTTTTAAAAGTCCCTAAGAACATTCTTAGCAATAAGGGAAGCTTCTAAGAATATTCCATTATTCCGGGACATATCTTCTTAGAAGATTCTTAGAATCAAATTTTGCCATCTGGGTACCAGGTGTTTATCATATAAAAGCCCAACTTACATCTTTTAATTTTGTCACACCATTTGTAAAAAGATCCTCCACCTTCATGCTTTGTAACTTGTCTAAAACTTCGCGTTCATTGCTTGGATTCAATCCCAAAACCTTTGCTAACTTTTTAGTGCTGTCTGGGTCGCCACTAGCCCATGGGTTCAAAGCTGACCCACTTTGCAGGATAGCCTTATGGAATAAACCCTTCGATGAAGGAGATAACATTAGGTACTGAACAGCGGCTCCTCCCGCACTTTCTCCAAATATGGTTACATTGTTGGGGTCTCCGCCGAAATTTTTAATGTGTTTTTGTACCCATTTTAAAGCCATAACCATGTCTTTTAAACCAGCATTTCCAGGCACTTCAAGGGATGGATCATCAAATTTCAAAAATCCTGGAAACTTAAATTAGTTTTTGATTTATTTGATTTTGAGTTAAAATTATTCACCTAACGCTCCAAGTCTGTAATTTATTGTTACTAAAACTACATTTTCTGGCATTAAGTATTCAGGCCCATATAAGTCAGTGGTGCTGGATCCAGACGTAAACCCTCCTCCATGAATCCAGAACAATACTGGTTTTGGTGAACTATCTTCTTTGGTCTTAAATTATGTTTCAGATGTTATTTATTAGTATTTACTTTTATGGAACTTACATTCGGAGTGTAAACATTCAAAATTAAACAATCTTCTCTTCCAATAAAACCACTTCCCAGAAACTTTCTGGAAAAGCACCCTTTCCTCTGTTTTGTGGCATCTAGGACTCCAGTCCATTTTTCTAATGGTTGTGGATCCTAAATGTTTTGTTTTTAGTTAGGTATGTATTTAGATGTTATTTTAAGTCAAAATATTACCCTAAATCTTAAATTTCCAACAGGTGGTTTCGCGTAGGGTATACCTTGAAAACTAAAATACGTTCCACCCCTTTCATCACTTGCACTTTTACCCTTGATCTGCCCATCACTTATGGTAACAATCGTAGAACACATTCTATTCACTCTTCTGTAAAAATATGCACCATCTTTAAATCTTTTTAGGTTAAGAAACCCAAGACAGAAACTCATTCTCAATTAATTTATGGTAATAATGTTGTTCACCTTAACTAGGTCATTTTGTACAAAGGTCGAGGTTTAAACGAATTCTGCTATGAACGTATTAACGGTAGTTCAATGACTTGGCAATGAAACGATAAGTAGGTTAGTTGTAACGCGCATGCCTGGCTTAGTTATTTCATCGTGTATTGTATTTTGAATTAGAGGATTTCGGTCAAAAATCATACCTAGAATTTCCTCTTAGTTTGATGTCTTTAACAATTAAATTAATTACTCTGTGAAATAACAAAGGTAAAATAAAACAACAATTAAAAAAAATAAAAGATGTATTTAAAATTTATGAAACATCTAACTATATCACAAACAAACTTTACGCTTATTCCTATTCTACAATAGTATCCCAAAACTTGACTCTATCCATATCCGGATTATCAATAACATTAAGTTGCTCTCCTATATCCAACATATTAACATCATCTGATGATACTGGCGTCCAGGATACAGCGTTAAATAGACAATCCGATTCCGGAGTTGGATTTCCATACCTGGCAAAATTCGTCCATAATTTTATAAACCTCCTGATATACATATCTTCTTTGCTGCCTTCGACTATATTCGGCGAGAAAAACATTTTGAACATGTACCCTAGATCGTCGGCGTGGCACACACCACTCAAAGGTCTATTGGATATCAGATGAGTACAGGAATGATAGAAGTTTCGCAGGTAAAAGAGATTGTTCTTGATTAAAATGTAAAATAAAAATAGGGTTTTTACGTGTTTGGCCGAGCAAATGCGTTTATACAGGTTCAGAGAGCTCTCCAAGCTCATTCTGTACGCGTATATTGGTTCTGGGGATGATTTTCTTTGGTATTGGATTGATTTGACTACACCGTAGACAAAATTATTGTCGCTTTTGAGCTGAAAGAATTTTATATTATAGTTTTTGGCCCAGTTCAGTTTTGCGGAAAAAATTCTTTTTTATTACAAATAATTATTAATTTTTTATTTTTTTAATGTGTTACATATAGGAGTTTTTACGTATAATTAACTATATTTAATCGAAAATGTTTTTATTTTTTTAATGCGTTTTTGATTATAATTAAGCACTGTTTTTCAGAAATAATTCACAAACTTTTTTATTCAAAATAAATATAATTTTTTGACTGTATTATATAAGGTTTATTACGTATAATTAACTATATTTTAATCAAAAAACATAAAGGTTTTTAATTTTTAAATGCGTTTTTAGATGTGTTTTTTTAATTTTTTACTTTGTTAAATAAGGCTTATTACGTACCTATAATTAACTATATTTTAAATGAAAAACAACGGTTTTTATTTTTTAAAGCGTTTTAGATGGTCCTATAGCATTAATTGAGGAAATAATCAAAAACTTTTTTATTGCAAAGAAATATTTATTTTTTTTATTTTTTACTGTGTTAAATATGACTTAATATGTATAATTAACTATATTTTATTAAAAAAAAATAAAGGTCTTTATTTTTAAATGCCTTTCGCGGTGAAACGATTACGATATTTCAAAAACTTTTTATTGTAAATAAATAATAATCAAAAAGGGGTTTACCGACTTTGAAGCGCTGTATCTTCGTTACTGTTCGTTTGATTTGTACAAAATTTTCAGGGTATACTATATATACAAAAATACGGTCAATAACTTAAAAAAGTTCCCCATAAAATTTTTTTTTAATATTTAATAAAAGGGCTTTAAAAATATTTTCTCGAAAAACCCTCGAACACGTAAACTGAGATATAAGTTGAAGTATTCTTATACAAAATTTCATAAAGATTGATAAAGGCGTTTTAGAGTTAGAATTTTTACTGTTCGTTTGATTTGTACAAAATTTTCAGGGTATACTATATATACAAAAATACGGTCAATAACTTAAAAAAGTTCCCCATAAAATTTTTTTTTAATATTTAATAAAAGGGCTTTAAAAATATTTTCTCGAAAAACCCTCGAACACGTAAACTGAGATATAAGTTGAAGTATTCTTATACAAAATTTCATAAAGATTGATAAAGGCGTTTTAGAGTTAGAATTTTTTTGCTTATTATGCGTTAATTTTGACGCGCAGTGTAATTTGAATTTTAACATTTATCCCATTAATAATTCCTTAACTTCTTCAAGTTTTTATCCAAATTGAAAATCTTCTCTTTAAATTTTTAGAAAATAGACTTACGTCTTTGTCACTATTTAAAAATAGTTCAGTTAAAAACTAAAAAGAAACGCAGAAATTACTCATTTTGAAAAATCACAAAATGCAAAAGTCTAAGTTAAATTTGCTTTCGCTATATATGTAAAATATAGGATGGTTATTAAGAAGGGAAAGAATATCAGGAAGAGAAAGAGAGTTTAAACCACTTACAGTATACAAATTGGCAATGTTTTCCTCCTTCAAATCTTGTCCTTTAAAATAAAAGTCCCTAATCTTCTTTGCTATACTTTTGGATTTGGCTTCACCAAGCTCCAAATTCATTGTGTGCGGGATTTCTTTTTCCAAGTTATTATCCAGCTTGGCGTTTTTCGTTTTTCTAATAGCCTCATAGAAAACCCCTTCCTCGGAATTGTACCCCATAATCATTGGTACTTTATTAAAGGAGCCTTCCTTAAGAATTTCGAGCGGTGATTTCTTTAGAAATGCTGGCTCACTGGAACATTTTTCGACCACTGGGCCAAATGGTCGGACAGTTTTGGCCACCATAAGCTAAAAATATTTATTTAGATTGCATTATTTGTTGATGTATTAGTAAATATACATCTTCGAATTTAAACTGGGAGGCAACTATTGTTTTGGCTGATTCTTTGCGAAGTTTTTCCAATATTTTACAATCGTCTTTTTCATCATACCCCAGTAGTTCTGCAATAATGTGGCCATTGGTTTTACCTATAGACCAATCGTTTAGAGTGCACCCACTTTGCATTATCGCCTTGTGAAAAAGACCTCTAGCCATTTCGGAAACGACCAAATAATGCACAGCCGCTGACCCAGCACTCTCACCAAAAATGGTGACATTATCTGGGTCACCACCAAACTGGCGGATATTTTTCTGTACCCATTTTAGTGCCATCACCATGTCCTTTAAACCGTTGTTACCAGGTACGTTTGCGTCAGGATCATCCAGGCTCAAAAATCCTGAAAACAAGTTATAGAGTCATTCCAAATAAAAACACCTGCTTGATTTTTTATTTTGATAAAAAAAATTGAGGATGATCTTTTAGGTATCAAATATGAAAATCCGTTGCCGTTTTAATTTTTGGATTCTTTACTTTTAATCGGCACCCTTTAGAAATCTGAAATCATGTCAATTTCTTACTCTCTTATAGTGGGCCAGAACTTTTTTTCTGTGACAAATATTAAAATGATTTTAATTTTTTTTACTGTTCAGTAAGTGTGTTTTCGATATAAATTATTATTATCCAATTAGTTAATATCATAAAAGAATGGTAAACCACTAAAGATTCATGATAATTTGCCAATTTTTGTCTGACTCCTGTGCCTATTCTGCTAAATCTAGAAAGTTGATTTTTTCAGGTATCAAGTACTTATACAATAAAAAACGTAACTATTATTTTAAGTTTCTAAACTATCATTTTCTTTATTTAAAAAAAATTATTGAAACTTGATAGTTCTTAAAATTAGTCAATTTTGCCCTCAGAAATCATTATGTTGGGGAAAAAATAAAAATCTGAAACTTTCAGGAAATGTAGTCCCCACCTTCATCTTTTTAGTCCAGTTAGTCTTGTTTTGTTATTTTTATTCCTTTAAAAGATATATTAATTTTTTAATGCCCGTTTAGTAGCGTATTGTTAGTTTTATTTATAATTTAAAATTTAGATGGCTTTCATGTTTGAGAAGTGTTAGAACTGTCAAAAATATTTAATAAATATTATTTGTGCGTATTTCTTTGGTAAATTTTGTATATAACATAATATGCCATATTATGTTATATACAAAACTTTTTAAAATCACCAAAGGATTACCACAAATAATAATTATGAAATATTTTTGACAGTTCTGATATATTTGGTAGTTATGTTATATTTTATGTATTGTATAATCATATATATATACAAAAAAAATATATTATATACATTATAATGAAGTATTTAATTGGCTAATTGGTGTTTAAAGAAGAAGAATGTAAAAAAAATATATTCAAGATCCTTATGGTTTATATCGTAAAGTATAATAAGTGAAATTAATAAAGAGTTAATTTAAACGTAAAAAATGCGTCAAGCAGTTTTTGTCGGTTTCTTTCACAATTTAAACCAAGTTAGTCTTGTTCTACTATTTTGATCCCTTTAGTAAGGCACTGAATAGTTAAAAGTTATATGTATGTATTTTAAATGTTAGTGTTGGAAAAAAATTTACACAATCTGTAAATACTTCTTTAAATTTTAGTTTTTAAATTTAAAACTTCTCAGAACTTGAATATTTTCTATTAGAAAGAGGTACACAATTATGATATGTTCTTGCATTTTTAATTGCAATTAATCTCATGAATCTCGAACACTCCGTCATTTATTACGCTTGCAAACTTGCAAACTTTTTGAAATCACAATTTAAATACGCACAAATAATATTTAGTTCTGACATTTCTCTACCAAACATGAATTGACTAAGTCAAAGCCATCTAAATTTTAAATTATAAATAAAACTAACAATATCGCTTCTTACATTTCCTGAAAGTTTCAGATTTTTATTTTTTCCTCAACATTATGATTTCTGAGGGCAAAATTGGCTAATTTTAAAAATTATCAAGTTTCAATAATTTTTTTAATATAGAAAATGATAGTCTAGAAACTTAAAATAATAGTTACGTTTTCTATTGTATAAGTACTTGATTCCTGAAAAAAGCAACTTTCTAGATTTAGCAGAATAGGCACAGGAGCCAAACAAAAATCACAAAAATTGGCAAATTATTACAAATCTTTAGTGGTTTACCATTCTTTTATGAGATGAACTAATTAGATAATAATAATTAATATTGAAAACATACTTACTGGGCAGTAAAATAAAATTACAATCATTTCAATAATTGCCATAGAAAAAAAGTTTTAGCCTCTTATAAGAGAGTAAGAAAATGACACGATTTCAGGTTTCTAAAGGGTGCCGATTAAAAATAAAGCAACTAAAAATTAAAACGGTAACTGTTTTTCATATATGATACCTAAAAGATCATCCTCAAATTTTTTCATTAAAATAAAAAATCATGCAGCGCACTTTTAAATTCATTTTTGGTGTTTTCATTTGTATTGACTCTATACTATAGAGTCTATAGTTAAAAATCAATCTTTTTTTACAAGGATGAATAAATCAAATTTGTATCCAACCAATTATTCCTCGAAATGGAAAAAAAATTGGTTAAAATTAACAAATATTTTTTGGATGACATGTCTTATAGTTTTTAATAATAAGCAAGTAGTAGGATGTACTATGAAAATAAACTGTTAGCAATTTTTTTATCAGCAACCGTAATATTTACTAATAAACATATTTTAATGAGCACTATTTTACCTAATTATTATTTTTTTCGTCATTCGTAAATATGTTGTTTAAAGTTCACTAACTACTGGTAAATAAATTTATTTCAATTAAACTACAACTTCTTTAATTAATATTAATAGTTAACCTAATTCTAAAGTATGTATAGCACAAATAAACTGTTAAACATTTAATAAGAACCACTTAAATAGCAATGAAACATGATTGGTTCTATTGACGTTTTTATTGTTTTTTTGTTATTTAGTTTTCCAACAAGTACCTACATAATTAGTTTGATATATTTTTTGTTAATTTTAACTTTTAAAAATAAAAAATGTTGTGCATTAAATTTGACCTTATGTATAATTATAGATTTGTTTGATTATAGTGTAAAATCTACAAACAAAATCAGTTTTAGAAGCTTGGTTTGCAATGTAATTTGTCGTATACATACATTGTGTTTCTACTTAATGAAAAAAAGTAAAAGTTTGCTCACACTATCAACAGGTGATAGATAATTTTTTTATTTTCTATTGTTGTGGAATTTTTCAAATTCATCCGAGATAAATTAAATCTTAATTTTATTGAACATAAACATTTTTGATATCAAAAAATATGATGTAATTCAGTTATGCATATTTTAATTTTAGTACAATCTGTCAAAAAATTTGGGGGTACCTACATAATACACTCACGTGCAAAATAATCGATCCACACAAATTTTCGATGAATTTCAATCGCAAATAACTTTTTTATTTGATGTCGGATTTAAACTAACATTAAAGATTATTGTAGATAAATTAATGGACAATCGCTCACATTTTAAAAAATACTAAAAAATAGACGTACGTTTATAATATACAGGTTTAAACAAAAAGTTGTTTTTTACCATAAGTTTAAGACACTCTGTAGAGTGGCAAAACCGTATGTTGTTCTAAATTAAGTTTTATTTATCAAGTCACATCTATTCTTAACAGTTTTGTTTTTGGTTCACCTCAATATATTTATTTTTGTGGAAAATATGGATTTTTTTAAAAAACATTGCAATTTCCAATATTTGTCTGTATGAAGAACTAAGGTTGCTATGGTCCATCCATAGGCTATGGAGAATGACAGTGACAGTTTTGTTGAATCATCTCATACTTGGACATGTCATACACGGCTTTCAAAAGCTATCAAATTGTTTTTTGCAAATTAATGTTTAAATATTGAGGTGTCTTCTTACTTTATAAAATGGATATGTCTCCGACTGATGTTGCCAGAGCTATTAATTTAATCCAGGATGGACGGTCACAGTATTACATGGCAAGTGTTTTAAACGTCATAAGAAGTACAAAGGGCAACATCAGTCGGAGACATTTTTAAAAGTAAGAAGACACCTCAAAATTAACACATTAATTTACATAAAATAATTTGATAGCATTTGAAAGCTGTATATGACATGTCCAAGTATGGGATGATTCAACAAAACTGTCACTGTCATTCTCCATAGCCTATGGATGGTCCATAGCAACCTTAGTTCTTCATACAGGAAAAATATTGGAAATTGCAATGTTTTTTAAAAAAATCCATATTTTCCACAAAAATAAATATATCGAGGTGAACCAAAAACAAAACTGTTAAGAATATATGTGACTTGATAAATAAAACTTAATTTAGAACAACATACGGTTTTGCCACTCTACAGAGTGTCTTAAACTTATGGTAAAAAACAACTTTTTGTTTAAACCTGTATATTATAAACGTACGTCTATTTTTTAGTATTTTTTAAAATGTGAGCGATTGTCCATTAATTTATCTACAATATTCTTTAATATTTGTTTAAATCCGACATTAAATAAAAAAGTTATTTGCGATTGAAATTCATCGAAAATTTGTGTTGATTTTTAAATATTATTTAGTTGCTGCTGAGGAGCAGTAGACACATCTTAAAATGTATAATGGGTTGCATAAAATACTCGTATTAAATCGGCAGTAGTTCTACTTTACTGCCAATTTCAGATAACAAAAAATTTGGAGTTCTGGATATGTGTTGGTGTAAATATGCTTACCAAAAACTCCTAACCTGTAGTTGATGGCGACCAAAACTATATCTTGCGTCATAAAATAATCCACCCCAAACATCTCGCTGCGGTTTGACCCATACATAAAAGCCCCACCATGGATCCACACCATGACAGGGGTGTTCCGATCAGGACACAGCTAAAATTTTAATAGAACTTAGTTTTGAAGCAGTAATATTATAGGTACTAACATTTTTACAGTGAACATTAAGGTTTAAACAATCTTCTTCGTTTCCCACATGGTATTCAAAAAACATGTGCAGAGAAGGGCATTCGTTTCCTTCTTTTGAACAGTCCCTTATTCCCTCCCATGGTTCTGGAGGTTGGGGGGCCTAAAAATACATTTTTAATATCTGATGTTAATTCAAGTTATACTTAATAATTAACATAATGATGGAGGATATTCCCTGCTACGTCCCTAGCAATTTATTACAAATTAAAAATATAATTTTATTTAGGTATAACATAAATTAAATGAGGGCCATTGACAAACAACAATTATGTCTATGTACCTACTAAGTACTTAACTGTGAAACCTATTATTTTTTATAAATAGGCTTCTATTAAGGGGAAAAATTACAGAGATGTATTACATAGGAAGTAGTTAATAAATAGTTCTCAATTTTTTTATATATTTGGTTTGTTTAATTTAACCTTGATCAAAAACAATGTTTTTAAAGTCTACTTGGTTTGAATATCCAATTAACTATACAATTAACATGACAAAAATGTTTTAGTTATGCTGATTTTGTAATATAATGAAGGTATCGTTATATTTAGTAAAATTTATCAAATAAACAAAAAATTTAAAAACAGTTTTATGGGGAATAACAAACTTTAAAATTCTTAAAATTTACTGGGTTTTTCATTAAAATTCTGCTACTAAAGGTCATCAAAACCAATTGGTTTGTTATTTATTGAAACTTAGAAATGTTTATAAAAATAACTAATCAAAGATAACCTATTGGTCTTTGTGATGCAGTATGTTTTTTGTTTTAATTTTTAAATAATAAACTAGTCTAAACAACGATCTATAACGATTTAAATACAGGATACAGCAAACAGGATGTTAAAACCTCATTTTTTTGTTTGATTTTAAACCACCAGAATTTTTATTGTCCATGGTTAATATGCAACTTGATTTGTCTGAAAATGTCGGACAGATTAATTTAATAAAAATCAAGTTTGGTCAGTTTTCGTTTTTTTCCATGACGTATTTGGCAATGAATTCAAAAGTAAAAGCTTTGAACATGTCAGTAGTTTATCAAAAAAATTTTAATCCAACATCTTCAGAAAAATCAAAATTGAACCACAGACAGTAAAAATTTGCCCGTGTAAATTTTTTAATGTAGGTAGCATTTAGTTCTTATTAACTTTATTATTCATTGGTACCTACATTCGAACTATTTATTATTAAAATAAATCAAAAGGGTAGAAAAACTTAATGCGAGTGTTTATTACCCCTTTAAGTGTTAAATAGTGACAAAATGTACACTACAGTGCATGCCGATTTCTTGGTCTGTTTTGATGTTACTAAGAGCTCTTCTTTCTTTACACTACTAGTGCACATTGTATCACAATTAAAGTTAAATTACACCAAAAGTGGCAAAATAGACTGAAAAAACTGGTAATAACGGAAATGCGTTTTAAAATGTTTGGTTGGTACCTATCTACCTACGCAGTGCATATCCGGAGATACCGCGTTATGGAAGTGTGGCATTTTTGTTCAGTTAGATTTTAATTACGGTGAATCCATAAGAGGACATTCTTATTTTTTGGTAAGTATTATACTTACTTTTTCTTTAAGCCTTAATACTCAATAAATACCAATATGTTAAAAGGATGGCCATACCCGACCTATATTATATATCAATAATTTACGGCAGTAGTACACGCTTAATTTACTTTTTATTTTCAAGCGTAATGGTTGTTATATTAACCTATACCTACATTTTTATTAATATTATGGAAAATTTGTACACGTGTGGTAAATACCCGACATACAGCCGCTTGACGCCTCTCTACCAATTGGATCCCCATTTTTTATAACAGAAAAATGGATTACTGATGAATTCTCAAGATAATTCATTGCTTACAAGTTGACAGCCAGTAAAACATTGCAATGATCTAAAACTTTTACGTTTTAAGGAACCATTTTGCTTAAGCCAGCCATAGGACTCAAATATAAAATTATATTTTAAAAGGCACCGATTTTGATAATTGTCATAGATTTTTGTTCCAAATAAATGTTTCTTTTTATTTACCTTTTCGTTTTATTCACTACCACCAATAATAAATAATAGTGTTAATTTACACTAGAAGTTTGCACTAAAAGAGTAAAAGTACCTTTCTAAAATTAGAACTTTTTCAAAGTAGTGTTAATTTACACTGAACTAAAGTGGTATTTTACCCAGGAAGTGTAGAAGTACACGATTTTAGGTAAATTAACACTTTTTAATACAGTGTAAAATTACTTTATCTTCAGTGCTATAGTGTTAAATCATACTTGCTTACTTGGGGAAAATTACACTACAAATTAACTCTAATTGTAGTGTTATAAAACAACACTATTTAGTGTGGACCTGTGTGAACTCTAATTAGTGTTGCTTAGAGTTGATTTTTTTTTACTGTGTAGATAATAAAAATGGGTTTTGAAATGTTCTGAGAAATGTAAAATATATTTTATCTATTTTGCGTCATTAACTGTCAAACCAATAGGTAGCTTTAGATTTACGCGCAACCACGCGCGATTGGAGCGCCACGTTCCAATCGCGCGCGAAAGAACGTCAGTGTAAATGCTAATAATCACTCGGTTTTTAGACGTCTTAAAACCTGCATGATAACCCACGTTCTTTCCCAAAGGGATTTTGTGCAGTTCACTTTTTTAAGTTGTTTTGACTTTCGCGCGGTTAACCTTGTCAAATTTCAAGACTGTATAATTCATTCGCAAATAATTTTTAAAATCCATTTTAAAATTATCACGCAACTCATTTATCAAAGGCATATATGCCATATATGTCCATATTTGTTGCGATTTTCCATCCATGCTTTTACCCAACAAGTTCTTATTGGGTAAAAGTTGTTGGCAACAACTCCTTTTCTGACGATTATTTAGAGTATTCAGATAGGCACAAAGCTACTTTTATTTTTCATTTTTGGTTTTTAATTTTGTCCATGTTCGACAATCCGTCTATAAAACTGTTGAAATTTTTAACACTCCACGAGACAGGACTAGCACGAGTGAAACTTGACAGTTTTTGATTTACACTAGCACTTTTATCCTCTACGATTTACAGTACAGGCCAAAACCGCGCGATTGGAATGTTGCAATTTTAAGAAAACAAATTTTACAACGCGACACTCTTGGCCACGCGAAAAAACGCGCGATTGGAACGTGGCGCTCCAATCGTGCGTGATAGCGCGTAAATCTAAAGCTACCTAATGACTGTGATACCAAACATGTAAAGTAAAATTCGACCAAATTAAATTTAAGGTATTAAATTAATTTTTTTATAGAATTTTTGCAAAATAGATAAAATAGCATACAGAATTTATGTCGTAAGACCTTTTGTCGCACTCGTCCATTACAAATTGTCCGCGTGCGACAAAATTACGTCTTATGACATTAGTTCTTTAATATACTATTATAAAAAAAATTGAAAATTAACCATAGATAATAAAAATGGGTTTTGAAATGTTCTAAGAAATGTAAAATTTATTTTTTTCTATGTGTACCTAACCTCATTTAGGGACATACTGTATATTATTTATATCATTGATATTAATTTTAAATACAATAGTGTCTATTCAAAACCTACCCAATTTGCCCTGGGTTTTCTCAGGTAATTTGTTGAAAAATGTTAAAGAATTAAAAAAAAATCTTTTAACAATGTTTTAAGATTCTTAAAATACCACCTCCATATCCGCAAACCTAATAACAAAAAAGTTATAGGCTATTTTTGATTGACGCGCATTTGTCAAATGGTATAGTAATTTTACTCAGAATATTATGTAGAATTTAAAAATTCTAATGTGAAACGCCCTGTATATATATCCAGTTGAAACCTTAATTGACAAATTATTAATGACAATTTTGAATTTAATACCTAATACGAAACTGATAAATTATTTTTTAAGGTTACCCACAATGTAAAAATTATATCATCGGTGTCTTACCTTAAATCTGAGATCTCCTACGGGTGACTTGGCGTAAGGAATGCCCAGGTAACTTGTATAGGTGCCTTCTCTGTAGTCCGTGGACCGTTTCCCCCTAATTTTGCCTTGTTCCAGTGTCACAATTAGATCTGTCATGTTTTTGTTGCACTTGGTGTACGGTTATTGACTAGCAATTCATAATGCTAGTATTTGCAGGCGCTACTTTGAAAAAACTGTCACGCGATTGCCACCAAACCGGCGCTATCAAACACCACGACTGACGGTTGTGCATGTGTGTATAAATAAACCGGTGTGCGGCAGCGAACACACGTTGTGTTGTACGCCGCACATTGGGGCGACAGTCTCGCAAAAAGTTCAAATGAGGCCTGTCAGAGCAAAGTCAACAATCTCCCGTCAGACTAAAACTGAGTAAATTGAGATAATTGATTTTGGTATTTTAAATTCTAGATTTGTAATTTTTTTATATATTATATTGAAATATTGTTGTTGTTAGTCTAGTAGCCAACTACAAGGTCTCCAGGATGCATAGTATAGGTGAAATCTATAATTATAAATTGGAGATTGCTGACTTTGATATGAATTGCTGGAGATTGCTCATTTTGTTGTAAAACAAAAAAATAATTGTATTTTTTTCCTGTAATGGTTATAAAATTTAACTATACAATCAATGTGGGAAAATTCTGAACTGGACCACATAAATCTGGAGTTTCTTCTAAATCTGGGACCAGGTTGCCTCGTGCAAAAAAGTTTTTATAGTACAACAACTCATTATCTTCTTCCCACTTTGCCCCGTAATGTTTTACTTGCAATGTTTTGACATTATCAGCCTTTTCTTGCTTTACCTTTTCGTCTTATATATGGTATAATAACACAAAACACATAAGATAACTTTTTTTATAATTCTTAAAACAATAAAACGTATATATACCTATTTTAAATATATTTTTAAGTGCAATTTACTGCAATAGAACTTAACAGTATGTACCAGTAAAAAAACAGAAAATTAAATCTCTAAAGTACGTTATAACATCAAATGTTAGGATATCAGGTGACACAAATTACTAATTTCTAATGGTGGAATTGGAGATTGTATACTTTGCTGCAAATCTATCAGTGGAGATTGTCGACTTTGCAATAAATGTCATTTTTAAAATAGGATTTTAGGCAGGATTTAGCTCCTTTTACTATGGCAAGCCGTTTTAGTTTTTATTACACATAGCTATCAAGTCCCATTTTAATTCGACTTGATTTCCATGAGACATTAGATAATTGAAATTATATGTATTTTCCTTAAGGGAAATTACATTTTAATTACAAATTATAAATAAAATTCCTTTTTTAATAAGCATTGAAATTTTGGGTACATTAAATTGAAAAGATTAGATGTAGAGGATGATTTACATTCGAAATTGTAATAAAAATACTAAAACATTTCATTTTTATTTGAAATAATAATAAAAATTATTTTTATGACAAATAGTAATTTTAATGCAAATTTCGTTAAGGAAAGTAGTTTTTATTATAATTAAGAATTTAAATGCATTTACGTTAACGGAAATGCAATTTCCCTTAAGGGAAATATCATTTCTGTTAAGAGAAATTGTATTTCCCTTAAGGGAAATAGCATTTCCGTTAAGGGAAATTGGCGCCATCTATGAGAGGACGGCTGAAGTTCAAATAGTTAATTTTATCAAAATTCTATAAAATGAAATTATTGCACTGTGATTTTACAAAAGATTTATTAGTAAAAAGTATTTTTTTGATTGTTACCTTTTTAATTTAAAAACCAACCGTTACACCTGTTGACATCCACCCACAAAATATCACCCACCAGTGTTGCCAGATGTAAAAAGTGAATTTATCGACAAATCATCGACAAATTATTGACAAAATTATCGAATTTTCAGAAAATTGTCACAAAATTTGTATTGATAATGCTATAATAATAGTAATATTAATAATTATGGGTACTACTCGAGAAAACCAAACTCTCCGAATCGAATCGCGATGACACCGATCGACTTTGGAATCGCATCATTCGAATCGAATGTTGTGTGGCAACGCCGCATGTGTAAGGTGTGTTTTAACGTTTCTAATAAAGGATATTAAAACGAAAAGAAGTAGTAAATAGCAAACTGTAGTAGTAATATTATTCATTATTGTTAATTGTGTCAAATTTGTTGCATTCAAACAAAATGAAAGATTCTGGCATTCCAACCAAAGTTGACAGAACTCTGTAAGCGGTGGAACCTTCGGCATCTTCACCACAGATAGCGCCACTAATTTCTCTTAAGGGAAATGTAATTTCTGTTAAGGGAAATAGCATTTCCGTTAAGGGAAATAACATTTTCGTTAAGGGAATTGTAATTTCCCTTAACGGAAATATAAGTTTATTTTTGTTTAGTTAAAAATAAAAGTAATTCGAGCTATTTTTTGTACACATGATCATTAAGTCTCATTTTAATTCGATGTTATTTTCTGATTCTCTAAATATTGTTAGACTCTATGTATTGCGGTTCTAAATTTTTTTCGGGAACAACATTCCAATGAGTATTTCAAATTAAAATGTTTTTAATTTTTATGTCATTTAGGAAAGTATAAAACTATATCTTTAAGGACAAATGCATTTATATTCGTAATAGTAATTTTAATACGTTTTATTTTAATACTTAGCCTGGTCTAACATAAATAAAATGTAACATTGTATCCAAGTCAGAAGCTACTTTAATAAAATTGAATTAAAATAAAATCCTTTTAATGTGTCATAAAATTGCTCCAAAAAACTAAAACAGTAAAAATAATTTGCATTAAAATTATAATTAGTAAATTTAATACAATTTCTGTTAACGAAAATTGCTTTCACGTTAAGGACAATATTTAAAAAACCAATGGAAATAAATACAACAAATGCATTATTTTTACTATTTGTAAAGAAAATATGCATTCAATTTTGAAATTATAATAAAAATGTAATTTCCCTTAAGGAAAATACATATAATTTCAATTATCTAATGTCTCATAGAAATGAAGTCGAATTAAAATGAGACTTGATAGCCATGTGTAATAAAAACTAAAACGGCTTGCCATATTTTACAGCACATAAACTTTATCATCTTATAGATAATTAGTTGAAGTACAGTCTCCGCCAAAAATCTAATTTTTGACCAAAAGTGGAGATTGTCGGTTTTGCTATGACAGGCCTCAAATGTCCATATTTAAAAAACAGTAATGTATGGGTAGAACTCTACATACTAAATGATCCCGGGTGAATATAATGAGATGTTCTCCAAGTGAAAATGATTATTTTTTATTTTTAGTTGTTTAGTCTAGAATGATGATGAGATTAGGATTTCGTATGTTTTTTTTTAAACATCCCTTTGTATATTTGCAGCAACACTCTCATCTGCATATAAATTCTAACTGACCTTCAGGAATCACATGCATCTATAATGTCGTAAACAGAGGTTGTTGCTTATTTAAAATGATTAAAGCGCCATCCGTTGCATAAAATTTAAAGCAAAAACAGATTAACGGAGGATAACAATTTTTGTAACACCTACAAAAATGGTTATAAAAATTATTTCTTTTAATTTTAATAATATTTTATATTTGATTCGATTGCTTTGGATGTGTTTAATTTTCTTAGTGAACTGATATTTTTAGTATGCTTTTACTACCTCAGATATTTGAAAACCTATAGGTTAACCTAGAAAGAGTAACAGTCACGGAGGATAGGTTTTAGACTTTTAAAACATTGTAAAAAATAATTAATTGCGGTTAAAAATCTGGAACCTGAGCTGTAATATCTACTTAATTATGAAAGATCAAAAAACAATAAAAGTGTAGGTCAAACTCATTTACTTTTATTAAATATTTTAATTCAATTATATTTGTTTGACATCTGTCACCGGGATTTAACCTCACTTTTCCCAATTTATATTAAGGCCACATTTAGCCCGTGACTAAAATGCCTAAAAGTTACTAAATTAGTAAAACTGATCGATCAATTTTGTAGTCTATCTATCTATCTAAGTAAGGTGAGACCATTGAACTTTATAAGTTATTGTTAGCGACATAATATGTTAACAAAATAATAGTACCTAAAGCAATAGTTTGACAAAAAAAATTTAATTACCAGGATACTGATTAAAAATATAAAAAAACTTAGATTTACAACAATTAACAAAAATCTTTTTTTTTTTTGTTTTGTTTGTAAGTAAATTATTACCAGGATCCTGAGAACTTGACAGATCCACTAATTAAACGACAAGCTGGGTGCCTACAAAAAAAATAATGTTTACATTTTAAATAAAAATAAATATATTTTAGGTATTTATAAATTATTTCGTCAAAATAATAAACTTATGAAAAATGCATTTTTCGCCCCAAAGTGCGAATACACGTTGGCCGGCTCGCCGCCATTGGTTGATTTTAAACGATTTGCGAATTTTTAATAAACTTTCAACTATTTCTGGAACGACTTTTGAAGTAATCTTTGAATGTGTTTTTTCAACGCTTGCATTATTTTGCAAGGATAAGATGCCTAAGAGACAAGTTTTTTCATTATTACCTTTTCAAACAGTGTTTGCCAGATTTCTTTTAGCATTCGAAAGGTTAAGGTTTGGTCCTTGGGATTTAAAATTAGTTTAATGGTATGAGCAGTAAAATTTATATTCAGAGCAATGCTTGGTGATTAAGGGAGATTCGACTTTGTCATCCACCATATTCTCCAGACTTGACCCCCAGTGACTATTGTCTGTTTATAATTGGCTTTAGTGATTTATTAATTTTATTACTTACACGGTTGGGTAAATTTTACTGCCACACCGATGGTTAACCACTTTGTGAACAATATCAAATATGTTAAACATGGTCCATAAGTGCATCATGGTAATTTTTACGATAAGACACGTGTACACAATAAATTGCTAATGTTAATTTAATGTAAGGTTCAAAGTAAATAAATAGTTCATTTTATATGATATGATATATCCAGCAGGCGGAGAAAGTGCTTAGATTATAGCCGAGCTCAGTGTCAACTAGATGTTGACATTATATATAACACAGTACCACACTTTTTTTTCTCCCATGAAAAATTTTACAATTTAAACAACAGATTTGTATTTATCTTATATTAAATATATATAAATCTTGATATTTTAGTTAGACGATTATACATTGCTTTCGAATCTATAGTGGTATCACAACCTAAAAACACCACTTGATATACAGGGTGTTTCACATTCGTGGTCCATTGGAAGTTTCTGGAGAACGGAAAAAATATAGATTTGAAATTTAAAAGCGTTTATAATCCATTAAGTCTATTTTTTTTAATATTTTGAACAAAATGCAACTTCCGGTTTGACCGGTAGTGACATCAACTTTTTTATTTCAAATAGAACACCCATATATTTTTACATTTTTAAATTCTACATAAAATTACTATACCATGTCCTATACCTAAAGTGAATAGTTTTCTAGATGTTTGCTATTAGGTTTACGGATATGGGGGTAAAATGTTTGGAATCTTAAAACATTGTTTAAAAAATTCCATGTCAATTCTTTAACATTTTTCAACAAACTACCTGAGAAACCCCAGGGCAAATTGGGCTAACTTGAAACGTTAATAACTTTTTTATTTTAAATGTAACACCCGGTATGTTAAGAAATTGACATGTAATCTTTTAAACAATGTTTTAAGATTCCAAAAAATCCACCCCCATTTCTGCAAACCTAATAGCAAGAAAGTTATAGGCTATTTTTGATTGACGCGCATTTGTCATATTTTAACGAAAAAAATTAATAACTCCAAAACTATTTACTCTAGGTATAGGACATGGTTTCAGTAATTTTACTAAAAATTTTATGTATAATTTAAAAATGTAAAAATATATGGGGTGTTCGATTTAAAATAACAAAGTTGATGTCACTTCCGGTCAAGCCGGAAGTGGTATTTTGTTTAAAATATTTTAGAAAAATAGGCTTAATTGGATTATAAACGCTTTAAAAATTTCAAATCGATATCTTTTGCCGTTCCTCAGAAACTCTCAATGGACCACGAACGTGAAACACTTGTATTTCGTAAATGTGCAACACCCTGTATATAATTATAATAATTTTAAAATAAAAAAATAATATTAATGGTTGTCCATTTATTCAGTGAATACATTTTTCATAAAAATATACTGTCTAGCTGTTATCGAATCTGTTATATTATGTGCCGAATACCGTGGATAACATTTTATTGGATCGCAAGTCTATTTTCAAAATCTATAGAAAGTCATTCTACATATGTAGGCTTATGACTGGTGGATTTAAATCGATTTACCTAAATAATATAATATGGTTGTTCATGTAAATGACATCAAGAGCCATCTAAATTTTTTATTTAGGTCTGCACTTGAAAATTACAATGCATACTTTCATCATTGATTTTTACCAATAAAATGCATATATTTAGGGTTTAATGTTTTTATTTTTTTTAAATAAAATATTAATTTTTATTACTATAAATATCATCCCAAAAATCGATTATCGCTTTATCAGGATCCATGTCCATACTTAATTTAGCGTCGATTTTCAAGTAATTGAGGTTATCTTTGGTAATTGCTTCCCAAACAATATTATTCAATAATTCATCTTGCCTGTGAGGAGTCGGATGGCCCTGCATCGCAAAATTCGTCCACAACTTAACCATACGTCTGACATAAAAATCATTTTGACTTCCAGGCTCAATCTTCGGGTGTATACTCTGCCTGAACATGTAGGATAACTCATCGCAGTGACAAGGCCCATCAATTTTCTTCTCCGGTATCTTTTTCATCCAAGCGTGCGCCAACTTGTTCACCCAATTAACTCCTTGAGATATACTGGCCAATAACAAAGTACCAAGCGTCGTATACCGATGCTCTTTCAAGGCCATATCTTTAGCCAGATTCATCGGCCCATCATGTGAGAAGATGTAGAAATACATGGGGTTTTCGTTGGTCGACCTGTGCAGTTCCAAGGCTTTCTGGATGTGGTATTTGAACCCCAAGTCACCTTTAAGCTAAACAACAAAGTTTTATATTTCATTCAGTACTTTACAAAAAGTAATTGGTCAAGCACAGCAAACGGAAAAATATATAACTGTACACTGAGAGAAAAAGTGTAGTTTATAGTTAACAAATCTTTATTTGGATAGCATTTATTTACAATAAATAAAGTAAATTTATTGTTAATTAACCTGTTCAACTATTAGTAATCTGCGTAATATATTTTATTTAGCAGAAACAAATACTTTGTTTGTTGCCCATATGTTTATTATTAATAATGCAAATTTGGGAATAATAAATACCTATTTGCTTAGGCGATCTTTAAAAGTTATTTATTATAAATTACGAATTTATTTTTAGGTACACTCAAAAAAATATTTAGTAAATTTACACATCTGATCGTTGGTTATTTTGATGCCACGTATTTAAATGTATATGTACAAACATACTGTAAAACTACATATAATGTGTAAAAATGCAAAGGTCATGTAAATCTAAAATTTAGGAAAATAATAGTACAAGTACATTAAAAATTGTAAAAGCACTTAAATTTAAGGATTTATTACATAATAATATGAAAAACTACATATTAATTTAAAAAAATACATAAATTGATGCTATTTTACTTATGTAAGTATGTGTGTACATGTTTTATATGGAACAACACATTTCTTAAGTAAAAAAACAGAAATAAATGTGTGTTTGGATGTGTAAAATTTCGTAAATTTTTTTCAGTGTAGGAATCAATATTAACAATAAATAAATATTTATTTCTTGTTTACTGTACTCAAACTTCTGTCAAAACGCACCAAAACAGCATAGACGTTTCTCGAATAGTGCATGGTGTACCGCGTGCGTATGGTGTACCACTTGCCTTGCCAAGTTTACTGATTCTGTTCTGTGTACTGTTAAGTTTAGTGATTCTGTTCTTTGCACTGTTATTTATCTATGCATCAGTGTTTCGTTTGCAATCTTTTTGTAATAGCATTAATTTAAATTGTACCTATAGTGACAGTGTAAAATACCGGCTCTTTCCTGTGTGCCGGCTAGTGTATCTCTGCGATAAAAATCCAAACATGCATGGAAGATCTGCAAACCATGGACGAGCTATGCAAATTTTTAGGAAGCAATGGATTCAATGACTTGCTGGATACATTTATAGTGAATTAAAGTATAGGGTTTACAAATGAAGTTTTGTCTTCTAAATATTTTAGTATTTATTATAAACAAGCATTTATTTATCACAAATATAACACATTTATTATAAACAAGCATTTATTTATTAACAAAAAAACATATTTATTATAAATTTTTCTTTATTTTTTAATAAAAAGATTTATTTAAACAATTTTAATCAATGCGTTGTTTGTCCTAAATAAATGTTTATTCCGCCATAATCGAATAAAGCATTTATTAGTTATTGATAAATCTAGTTAATTGTTAATAAACTGTTCTCTCAGTGTATAGGATGAATACTAAATCTACCTATGACCGATTATAGTTAAAGTCAAACTCAATGGTGTCTTACAAGATTTTGATTTTATTAAACAGAGAGGTAGAAACTCGACCCTGTCGAATGGTGCAGTCATTTATGTCTCTAGAAATTATTGAAAAAGGGGGAAGTCCAATGGTGCAGCAACTTCGTATTCTTATTCTCTTCAGAGACATAGAAACTCAAGCTTTTCGAATTTTACTGGCTATGGTTTTCGTTAATGTCCCCGATAATTATACAAAAACAGTTATAGAAACTGAAGTCTTTCTAATACTGTTCAGTCAATATTTCTGAGAGCACAGAAAGAAGGTGTAATTCAATATTGCAAGAAGTTTTGATCTTTTGATGGATGCAAGTAGTTTGAATATTCTCATTTCTGCATATGATTTTGTTGAAAACAGTTTCTTTCTTTGGTTCCTCCCTGATAGCAAAATTTGATTTTAAGAATCTTCTAAGAAGATATGACCCGGAATAATGGAATATTCTTAGAACCTTCCCTTATTGCTAATAATGTTCTGAGGGACTTTTAAAACATTCAATAGATACCCTTTTAATGATGTAATTAAATTATTAAAAGCTTCTTAAAACCTTCCTAAAAAGCATCCTAAGAACATTTTAAGAATACGTTTTTGGAATGTTCTTAGAAGGTTTCTTATGGAGCTTCAAGGAAGCTTTTGAGAATATTTCCAAAAATGTCAGATACCCACGTTCTAATATGTTCTACATTCGTAAAATTCTTCAGGAGGCGACAAATACGCCTCACTGTCATAATATGACAGTGAAATTGTATTTGTCGTCCCCTTAAAAAATTTTGCGACCTATTAATATATATTTATTTAAAAATATTAAATAAACAATTTGACCTCTAAACCATAAGTTGTATGACATTATTTCATAAAAAATAAAAATTGGAAAATTTTGTGGGATAAGTCAGATTAGATTGAAGTTGAAGATAGTAGGATTATTATACATAAAAATGTTAATTCAGAAATAGAAAATCGGTATACAAATTAATAAATATTTATTTTTAAAATAAAATAAAATACCTATAGTAAAAGTATTTTTGTTATCGAATATTGTTTTAATTTGACAAGTAACTATAAAAAATATTTTGGATTGTGTTTTTTTCTTAGTATTTAATACTAATTACTAATTAGGTACTTAAGTATGGGTATAAGTATACCTTTATACGTAGTTTATGGTATATTTTACTATTATATAGGTAACTGAACTAAATATGCTTAACAGGAATATTCCTAAATGAATATTCTATAGCAATTACTTTCTTAACATTCTAAGCATATGTTTAGAGTAGACTAATTTTTACCACTAAAACTTTGTACCTTCTAAGAACCTGCCTATAGGCCAGTAAGAATATTCTTAGGATCACGCTATATGTCTTTTAAGCATGTTCTTTAGAAAAAATATAGCATGATCCTAAGAATATTCTCACTGGAAGATTTAAAAAACATTCTTAGAATAAAGTGTGCTATCAGGGATACCGTGGCGAGATTTAGCAAACTGTATTCAAACGTGCCGTCATCCAATACACTTCTATATTTATACAAATTGCTATTGACGAGAATTATTAGTGGCTGCTTTTTCGCCATGACAATTAGTCAGTTTTGACTAATTCATATTTAGAGAATGAAATACAGATACTTACATGAAAAAACTCATCTATAGTGTCCCCAGTCAGTTCTTTGTTATTGAAATAAAACTTTCTAATCTTTTTCTTGACAATTTTTTCTTTATCTGCATCTCCATTTATGTTCAAATCAAAAGGGACTTCATGCTCTAAATTCTTTGGTAGTTTATTTGGAATTATTTTTCCAAATAAAGCATACAGTATTCCTTCTTTTGAAGTGTATCCAATCATGAAAGGTACTTTATTATATCTACCAGATTTTATGATTTCCACTGGGTCCTCTGATAAAAATGCTTCATCCGATGGGTGTTCTATAATGGGGCAATAGGGACGTTGCTGATCTGGATTAAGATCCTAATGAAAATACATATACGTATACGTACTATAAAATCTACGAATTCAGTAATCTTAACTTAGGCAACCAGAGTTACACAACTGTTCATGTTATGTATGGTACTTGGTAATAACTTATTTAAAAAATACTTACTTCATCGATTTTATACTGCGCATTGACAATTTTTCTCACAGATTCCATTTTCAGTTTTTCAAAAATACTTTTTTCATCGGTTTCCTTGTAACCTAAATCCCTGGCTATAACTTTTGCGTTTGGAAACCCTTTTGCCCAAAGATTTAGGGCTACGCCACTTTGGCAAATTGCTTTGTGAAAAAGGCCTTTCGATAAAGGAGAAAGCATGTGTAGATGTGTGGAGGCAGACCCAGCGCTTTGTCCAAAAAGGGTAACATTGTTTGGATCACCTCCAAAATGTCTGATGTTCCTTTGCACCCATTTCAAGGCCATTACTTGATCTTTGAGACCAGCATTTCCAGAGATTCCTAAGGATTGATCTTCCAACGCCAAAAATCCTGCCAATCAATAAATAATTACATAATTGCGAAATATATAATAATCTTATCTTGGTTATGAAATTCATTGCATTAGGTACTATAGTTTGAACCAGGATGTAGATTCTTACCAAAAACTCCTATTCGATAGTTTACGACTACCAAAACAATATCTTCAATTAAAAGAAATTGTGGCCCATAAATCTCGCCTTTATTGTTACCATAGACAAAACCACCCCCATGAATGAAGACCATGACGGGTTTTAAAGATTCTTCGTCATTTTTGGGTATCTAAAATTATATAAAGAAATATCACTTTGATGAATAATATTTTTCCTTACATGTTTTGTGAATACGTTGAGATTAAGACAGTTGTCCTCTTTTCCCATAAAATATTGTCCCACCAAATGTCTTGATGGGCAAGCTGGTCCTTCCTTGGTGGCATCTTTTATGCCTTGCCATGGTTCTTGTTCTTGAGGAGGCTATTATATTATATTATTATTATTGTATAATTGATTCAGTATAAAAATAAGTTACCTTAAATCGTAAATCTCCTATTGGGGGCTTAGCGTAGGGTATCCCATAAAACCCGAAAAACTTTCCGCCCAAATAATCATCACAAACTTTTCCTTTCACTTTTCCATCCGCGGTATCGACAATAAAACCACTCATTTTAAATGTAAAACACTTTGACTTTGAACAATCGTTTGTAACAACATTAACAATTATCTAATTAACGAACAAACCACTTAATACACACAACTCTTGATACGATTGAAAATGCACTTGTTGCCTTGTATGTTTTTTCGCTTCATTTATTCTATTCTGGTATTTCTTTTTTTACGATGTGTGAGTTTGCGGTTTAGATTAGTCCGCTTGGTGATACGAGTAAACAAAACATTTTATCAGAGGTAGTCGGTCATTGAATTAAAAATAACTCGGTTTTATAAAAATAATTTATCAACATTCTTACGAAAATTCAATATCCTGGTTGTTATCTTTATTTTTATATTATTTACTTACGTATTTTTTGTTTTATAGGGCACTGTAGATAAGTGCTTTATTATTTATCATAGAATTAGTACTATTTACAGCAATCATTTAAAAAAATTAATTATTTAAATAATAACTTTATAAATGTGGGACAATTAATTTATAATTTATGATTTTCAGAACCGTAATATAAATTATTTAATCTATTTAATTAAAATGCAAAATATAAAATTTAAAATGTAAAATGTGAATTATAAAATTTAAAATGTGAATGTGAAATGCAAAATTTTAAATTGTGAAATAAAAAATGTGAAATGTGAAATATAAAATCTAAATTATGAAGTAAAATGTGAAATGAGAATGTAAAATATGGCAAAATATTAAATTGTGAAATGTAAAATAAAAAATGTAAAATGTGAAATATAAAATCTAAAATATGAAATGTAAAATGTGAAATGAAAATGTAAAATTACTTTTTTATATTAACATCTACAGGGAATATGTAATTTTGTGTCCCAGCTGATAGTGGGCAAAATATTGAATTCCCTGATGTTCATTCTTAACTTTATCCCGTGGGCAAAATTTAAAATGTGAAATATAAAATTTTAAATGAGAAATGTAAAATATTAAATGTAAAATGTGAAATGCAAAATTTAAAATTTAAAATGTAAAATATAAAATTTAAAACGGTAAGTAATAAATGTGAAATGCAACAATTTAAAATGTGACATATAAAGTATAAAATGTGATATATCATATACATATATATTTCACATTTTATATATTAAATGTAAAATGTGAAATATAAAATGTAAAATGCAAAATATAAAATGTAAAATGTATGAAATATAAAATGTGAAATGTTAAATGAAAAATTTGAAATGTGGAAATGTGAAGTATAAAATTTAAAATGTGAATGTAAAATGCAAAATTTAAAATAGTGAAATGTAAAATAAAAAAAGTGAAATGTAAAATATAAAATCTAATATATGAAGTAAAAATTTAAAATGTGAATGTAAAATGCAAAATTTTAAATTGTGAAATGTAAAATAAAAAATGTAAAATGCAAAATATGAAATTTAAAATGTAAAATGTGGAATATAAAATTATATATTTTTTACATTATTTATTATAGTTACCGTTGGTCTATAAAATGTATTCAACTATTTAAAATGTGATATGTGAATGTAAAATATAAAAGTAAAATGTAAAGTATTAAATGAAAAATGCAAAATATGAAATTTAAAATGTGAAATGAGAATGTAAAAGGTGAAATATAAAATTATATATGTATATTTATATTATATTTTTTACATTACTTATTGTAGTGGGTATATAAAATGTATTCAATATCTACAGGAAATATGTAATTTTGTGTTCCAGCTTATAGTGGGCGAAAAATTGAATTCCCTGATTGTTTATTTCTTAACTTCAACCCTTGGGCAAAATTTAAAATGTGAAATAAATATTTTAAAATTTGAAATATTAATAGTAAAATGTGAAATATTGAATATGAAAGGAGTAATATTAAATGTGAAATGTAAAATTATTAATTATACTGTTTACATTACTTATTATAGTTACCGTTAGTCTATACAATTTATTCAACGTCTACAAGAAGAATGTAAATATAAAATGTGAAATATAAAATTTAAAATGTGAAATAAAAATTTTAAAATGTGAAATATTAAAAGTGAATTGTGAAATATTGAATGTGAAAGGAGAAATATTAAATGTGAAATGTAAAATTATTAATTATACTGTTTACATTACTTATTATAGTTACCGTTAGTCTATACAATTTATTCAACGTCTACAAGAAGAATGTAATTTCTTGCCACAGCTGATAGTGGGCGAAATAATGAATTCCCTGATTTTTATTTCTTAACTTAAACCCGTGGGCAAATATTTAAATAAAAAAAGTGAAATGTGAAATACAAAATGTAAAATATGGAATTTAAATTGTGAAATGAAAATGTAAAATTATTTATTTATTTATTATACTGTTCACATTACTTATAATAGTCTAAAAAGTAAGGTTAGAACAGTTTGACAGTTGTCAATTTTCTTGCGGTGGTTGGATAAAATATTGTGTGCGACTATTTTTCAAGGAGTCTCCTTTTTCTCCCACTAGTCGCACAATATACTATTGTTTAATTTCAATCTAACCCATTTACATTTTTATCTTCTCCAAAAAATATATATTTATTACCCATTGTTTTTATTATACCAAAGTACGCCTCTGTTACGAGTTTAAAAAACATTATTATGTACAATTATAGAAAAAATTTAATTGATTCAATAAAGGTTAATTTTACTGTAATTAAATTTATATAAATTATATATTTTTTATCTTTGATTTTTTTTGTTAAAAAAGTTAGGTGCGGGTATTTAGGTAGTAATAAACATAAAACAACTAAAATCGTTTTTTTTTCTTGGTTAAAGTACAATGTGCAATGTTTTTCATAAAAAACTTCACCAAAATACTAAAAAAGCCTAAAAATCGTATGTACAAAAATATAATGAAACCTTTTAATAAATAACATTAAACCAAAACTTAAAGCGAATAAATACTGTCCCAAAACTGGTACCGTTCCTTATCAGGATTCTTCACCATCTCCAACGTTTCGTCAATATTCAAACATGGCAAATCAGTTTTGGATATCGGCTTCCACAGAACGCCCTCGAAGTGCTCATTGTCGACTTCCGGAGTGGGGTTCTCGTACTTCACGAAGTTCGTCCACAACTTCACCATTCTCCTGACGTAGAAGTCTTCAGGGCTCCCGGGGCGTATTTTCGGGTGTATCCGGTACTTCCAGAGATACCCCACGTCGTCGCAATGGCTGGTACCTTTGAGGTTTTCGCGCATGGGCAACTTTTGGATGAGGAAGTGGAAGAAGTTGTTGATGGGTGGAATCAACTTCGTCATGAAAGCCAGTGCCAGTAGAATGTACAGGAGTATTCTGCTTGTGACCGCCACCAATTTTTTGGTGTAATTAAATGGGCCTTCGTGGGAGAATTTGTAGAAGTACATCGGTTTGTCGTTGGTTTCTTGATGCAGTTTGATTGCTTTTTGTATGTGGTATCTGAAGGCGGAATCTGATTTCATCTATAATTTAACATTATTACAAGGTTTTAGATTATGGTTCACAGCAATCGGAAAAATATTGAACTGTATACTAAATCTTAAAGTTTTATCAGAACTGTATTGAATCGTGCTTTGTTTTTATATTTTTTGCCTCAATGGTGTCTTACAAGATTTTCTATATTCATCAGAGAGGTAGAAACTCGACCCTGTCGAATGGAGTCATTTATGTCTCTAGAAATTATTAAAAAAGGGTTCAGTCCAATGGTGCAGCAACTTCGGATTCCTATTCTCTTCCGAGACATAAAAACTCAAGCTTTTCCAATTTTACTGGCAATGATTTTCGTTAATGTCCCCGAGAATTATACAAAAACAGTTATAGAAACTGGAGTCTTTCTAATACTGTTCAGTCAATACTTCTGAGAGCACAGAACGAGGGTGTAATTCAATATTGCAAGAAGTTTTGATCTTTTGATGGATGCAAGTATTTTGAATATTCTTATTTCTGCATATGATTTTGTTGAAAACAGTTCCTTTCTTTGGTCTGATTTTTATTTATGGTAACAACTCAGGTATGTAAACCACAGAGGATATGATGTAAAGTATATTTATGTATTATATAAAGTATCTATATTTGTATTAAAAATTTCAAAGATTATGTTGAAAAAATGATCGATATGCTATTAAACTTTAATAATTTAGTAATGTTGGTAGACCCTGCACATCTCCACTGGTAGTTTTATGTTAGTTCAGCAATATTTAAATCTGGTTGATCAAAAAGTACACACCCTGATAAAGAATGTTTTTTAAACCTTCCAGTGAGAATATTCTTAGGATCATGCTATATTTCTTCTAAAGAACATGCTTAAAAGACATATAGCAAGATCCTAAGAATATTCTTACTGGCCTATAGGCAGGTTCTTAGAAGGTGCAAAGTTTTAGGGGTAAAAATAAGTCTACTCTAAACATATGCTTAGAATGTTAAGAAAGTAATTGCTATAGAAAGTTCATTTAGGAATATTCCTATTAAGCATATTTAGTTCAGTTATCTATATAATAGTAAAATATACCATAAACTACGTATACAGGTATATACCTATACTTAAGTACCTAATTAGTAATTAGTATTAAATACTAAGTAAGAAACACAATCCAAAATATTTTTTTATAGTTATTTGTCAAATTTAAACAATTATATTCGATAACAAAAATACTTTTATGTCAAAAATTAATATTTATTAATTTGTATACCGATTTTTTATTTCTGAATTAACATTTTTATGTATCTTTAACTATCTTCAACTTCAATCTAATCTGACTTATCCCACAAAATTTTCCAATTTTACTTTTTATGAAATAATGTCATACAACTTATGGTTTAGAGGTCAAATTGTTTATTTAATATTTTTAAATAAATATATTAATATGTATGTCGCCAAATTTAAGGGAACGACAAATACATTTTACTGTCATATTATGACAGTGAGGCGTATTTGTCTCCTGAACAATTTTACGAATGTAGAATACAACATATTAGAACGTGGGTATCTGACATATTTGGAAATATTCTCAAAAGCTTCCTAGAAACTCCATAAGAAACCTTCTAAGAACATTCCAAAAACGTATTCTTAAAATGTTCTTAGGATGCATTTTAGGAAGGTTTTAAGAAGCTTTTAAGAATCTAATTGCATCATTAAAAGGGTATCTATTGAATGTTTTAAAAGTTCCTGAGAACATTCTTAGCAATAAAGGAAGGTTCTAAGAATAATCCATTATTCCGGGTGACATCTTCTTAGAAGATTCTTTAAATCAAATTTTGCTATCAGGGAACTCTATACCGTGGCTTCATCCAATACACTTCTATATTTTTCCGTTTGTTGTGTTGTTTATTACTTACATTCAAAATATCACTGTAGGTTTTTTTCCCAACTTCATTGCCTTTAAAATAATAATTCTTCACTTTCTCTTTAATGGTATTTATTTTTTCCACATCACCGTTATGGGGAACATCATGAGGAATTTCGTTGTCAAGACTTTTTGGAATTTTATTCCAAGTCATTATCATTCTTAGTAACTCAAACAACATTCCCTCGTTTGTTGTGTATCCAATCATGAAGGGGACTTTATTGTAATTTCCAGATTTTATTATGTTTATTGGGAGATCAGATATAAACGCGTCTTTGGAGGGTTTTTCGACGATTGGGACAAACGGGCGAATTTTGTCCAATAAACAGTCCTACAACACATATTATTTGGTGTTTATTTATATATTTACGAGGCGTGTTCAGAAAATAACGGGAATTGTTAAATTTCGCGGGTTCTGTGGCAGCCGCTAAGGTTAGACGTGTTTTATGAGCTCGGCGGTTTTTCGTTCGTTAAAAGAAATGGATCAAAGAATTTGTATCCAATTTTGCTTAAAAAATGAAATAAATTCTGTGAAATGTTAACAAAGGCCTATAGTGAGTCTGCTATAAGTAAAACAAGAGTTTACAAGTGGTATAAGAGTTTCCAAGATGGCCGTGAAGACGTTGAAGATGACGAACGCCCCGAACGCACAAGCACATTAGCAACCGATAAAAACATGGAAAAAGTGAAAGAAATGGTTATAAACCATCATAGAAGTCGCTGATAATGTTGGTATATCGATTGGCTCATCCCATGAAATTTTTTCGAATGTTTTGGGTATGAAACGCGTGGCAGCAAAATTTGTTCTAAAATTGTTAAATTTTGAACAAAATTTTTGGCCACAAACAATACTGTAATAATGCCCCAGCCTCCATATTCGCCAGACAGAGGTCTGACTTTTTCCTATTCCCAAAAATAAAGAGAACCTTAAAGGGCCGTCGTTTTGCAAGCATAGATGAAATTAAAAGCGCATCGCTGAAAGAACTAAAGATCGAGTTTTAGAAGTGTTTCGAGTATTGGAAGAAGAGCTGGCACATGTGCATAATATCCAATGGGGACTATTTTTAAGGCGACAACATTAATGTAGACGAACAAATAAATATTTGTTTCAAAAAACGAAAATTCCCGATATTTTCTGAACACACCTCGTTTATAAAATATGGTCTTACATCTTTATACTCGTATTGGGCTGCTACGATATTTTTCAGGGGTTCTTTTTTTAACTTTTCAAAAATACTTTTGTCATCTTGTTCCATATACCCCAGTAAATAACCCAATTTGTGTAAATTATACGTCCCCCCAGTAGCCCAAGTATTAAGAGCAACCCCACTTGCCAAAATTGCTCTATGGAAAAGACCTAAAGTGGATAATACAAATGTTTTAAAACTTTTGTTGTAATAATAATAATAATTCATTTTTTTACCCTTAGCTAGTGGTGACAACATGAGAAAATGACAAGCTATGGATCCAGCGCTTTGTCCAACAATTGTTACGTTATTTGGGTCACCTCCAAAATTTAGAATATTTCTTTGCACCCATTTTAAAGCCATTACTTGATCTTTAAGACCGGCATTTCCAGGAATTCCATAGCTATCATCTTCAATGGCCAAAAACCCTAAAAAAATAAATATAAATTATTCAGAAGTGATCAAGAAAATGAATTTCTCTCAGCAACAGCTTTTTAATATTTTTCAAAAATATTATTTTGACGATTTATTCGGAATAATTGGGTTGAAAAACTGGCTGTTATGTAATCTAATTTTGAGATTGTTCAAAGGTTAAGTTTTTACCATAACTGAATATTTTTAAATTTATTTTGGATATAACATTTTAATTAACTTGTTTTTATGTAAAAATTTAAAAGTTGTTTATGTTATCTTAATTTACAATTAGTGCTAATTAATTGAGGTACCTAATACTCCAAGACGATAGTTAATTACGACTACCACAATTTCTTCTGCCATCAAAAAATCAGGACCGTAAACTTCAGTCCTGTTGTTCCCCAATATAAAAGCTCCACCGTGTATAAAAAATAGCACAGGTTTTGGAGTGGTAACATTTTTGGTCTAAAAATAATATAAAAAAATAAATATTTTTAGTTATGAAATTCATTTATAAATTATACTTGTCTGGTAAAAACATTTAGATTTAGACAGTTATCTTCGTTTCCAATGTAGAATTTAAATGACAGGTGTTTTGATGGACAGGGTGTTCCCTCTTTCGTGCAATTTTTTATTCCGACCCATGGTTCAGGATCTTGTGGGGGCTAAAATAAAAATGAATAAAAAAAAATCAAAATGTTTCAAAAACATTTTTATAATAAATATTTACAAAAAGTTATAATCTCGAACTTAAGCCAAAAAAATTAGGATTTTGTTGAATCTTATTCCATTGCGCAACGGTTAGATAAAAATCGATTTTCCATCTAAATATTTCAGTCAAATTTAGTTTTTCACTAAAAATTTCGCGTGAAATGGCCCATATATTTTATTGTAATAAGTAAATAAATTATAACAATTTTACCATTTATTGTAAGTAATAATTTAAAAAAAGTACAGAAAATTAGTTTTTCAATAAAAAGTCTATTTTTAAAACTTAATTTAAACACATTTATAGTTATTGGACAAACAAGAGTTCCATAAATAGTAACCTTAAAGTCAAAACATTAGATGACGCTGTATACAATTATAAAAAAGTTAGCACGTTACTTTGGTGATGCGTTTTAATTTTTATTCTGAAAACAAACAGTAAAATGGCCAGTGTCCAATTACTGGTTGGTAAAAAATGTAAATTTCTATTATTGGACATATGTCCAATATCATACTCTATTTGTATCCCGGACATTTACCAGCCAATTCTTATGTAAAATGTCCCCTGAATCCGAAAATACCATAAAACTATAAAAGTTAAGCAGTTTTTGAGATATAGTCAATTCCATATTATATGTAAAATTGATTATATTTCAAAAACTGTTCTACTTTTATAACTTTTGAAGACATTTTCGGATTCAGCGAATAATATTTTATAGGAATTGACTGCTAAATGTCCTGGATACAAATTGGTGTTGACGAGAATTATTAGTGGCTGCTTTTTCGCTATGACATTTTTGACTAATTCATTTTTAGAGAGTAGTAATCTAGTGATTTCTTTGTTACATGACATTTTGCAGAATAACAGTGATTTAAATACAGTGCATGATAGAGAACATTAAAAACTAATGGCAATACTTTCAACATACCACCCGAAAAAATATTAGATGTATATAAATCATCCTGTTCCAACCAAAACATAATAAATTCTAGAGATACCACACTTAATTATATTTGCAACAAACTATTTTAGAAGTCAGACCAAGAATTAGTAGCTACCTTCAGAATATAGAAACGGGATGAGGAATCCGATAAAGAAATATATGAATTATATGATATTTACAAAAACGAAATAAAAAAATTACCTAAAACAGCAATTTATCTTTAAAAAATATTTAACAATGTATGTTATTAGATGTAAAGTTGTTATGTTTATATAAAAATTGTATGTCCAATAACTATGGTCCATGTGTCCAATTACTATATACTTAATAGATTCCTTGGTATATTTTCCAAATTATGGTATTTTAAGAAGAATGAGAAAAATAACTTTATTTAATGAACTTTTAATGTTTTACCTTAAACCTAAGATCTCCTACAGGCGCTTTAGCGTAAGGTATTCCCAAAAACCCTAAAAACGGTTTTTCGTACACTTTACCAAACACTTTTCCTTTTAATTTTCCTTGGGCGGTCGGCACGATTAAATCGGTCATGTCTCATAAAATTTCAGAAATGGACTGATTTTAACATCCTTTATAATAATATATTATATTAAACCCGGTTTGACTTGTTTTTTCGATTTTTAATTCATGGGATTTAACGAACGCAAAAATAGTCCTTGGTTTGCAATAATAATTTGTTTTTGTTTATTGAAATTACCTTGTATCTAAGGTCTCCTGTTGGGGCCTTCGCATACGGTATACCCAAAAATCCATAGAACTGTTCCCTGTTATCAGTGCAATGCGTTTTTCCTCGTACACTTCCCTCGCTAGTGGACACAACTAAATCGCACATTTTTAAAAAATATTTTTGTCACTATAAAAATATTTATATAGCAAATACTCGTACGTAAAATAGGACAAAAAAATCAAATTAATTGCCTTTTCATGTCCAACAATTATTATTTTAATAAATGCAATGATATTAAAATATATACGCAAACACTTTTCTTAATATGATTTAAACTAACACATACACATAATTGGGGAGGCATTACATATGTATTCCATCAATTTTATCTTTTAATTATTCTTTCGATAGCCAGCAAATGTTTCCGTGCAAAAGGCATGCTTTAACCCTTAAATGCATATGATTTTATTTTTATACAAAATATACATAAAACGTTTTCAAATGGCTAATATAACATAGGAAAAATAATTAAAAAAATCAAAATCAAAAAAAAAAAAATATTTTGAAAAAAAAACAATATGTAGCAAATATGCAACTTTATGCAAAAAAGATGTTTATGTATGGAACAGTCTAAAACAATTTTTATTTTTGTTAAAACATAGCGTCACTCCACACTTTTCACAAATGATGCTGGTGAACCCGTTGCATTTGGGAAATTTGCATCTGACCCTTTTTTCGACAAGTAAAGGCCAGTGACCTGCTTGATCAGTGCGTATGTCTTGGGGAGGGGTGTGCTGAGCTGGACCTCTAGCTTTCTTCTCTTGAATCTCTTGTTCAATTCTTGATCTACCACGTTTTTTGTTAACTCCAACATTGCACAAGCAGTTCGCGACTTCACTTCTGAATTGTGATTGTGATAAGAGTTTGGTGTTAAAATTATCCTTTCCAATGGAGGCTCGTTTGTATAACAGCCATGCATTGACCATTGTCACATCAAGTAAATGGTAGAAGAGACGCAAATACCACTTTCTGCTTTTATTCCTGATTTTGTATCTTCCAATGTTGCTGTCCATAAGGTCCACCCCACCCATGTGCTTGTTATATTCTTGAATTACAAAAGGGCAATCTATGTCAACCTTTTTTTTTTGTTTCTTATCAAAACGTTTTACATATGTTTTTGGAATTGTTCCAGCAAATGTTGATAGCATGGTAACATATTTGTTGTCTTTCCATATCAATGCCGACACCTCTACTCCATCAACTAGGGTTGTAAACTCATCACTTTTACCACGTGTTGCATGACTTAGGCTTTTATCAGTTGGCAATGGACAATTGGGTATTCTATCTCGTCTGATGGTGCCCAGAGTGTAAATACCCCGTTTGGCAAGGTACGCTACAAGCGATAAAGATGTGTAATAGTTATCAAAATATAGCCTATAATTTTGCATTTCTGGTATTATCCTTGACAAGCGTACAACAACGTTGGCTGACGCGCCAAGATCCGGTTCATCATCAGGTCTTTGATGTAAGTTTTCTTGTCCTGAATATATTTCAAATCGATAAGCAAAACCTGACACACCTGCAAGAACGAATAACTTGAAACCCCATTTATGTGGCTTTTTTGGCATATACTGCTTCATGAAGTGCCGAACTTTGGTGGAGCACATCTGCTCATCGATTGAACTATGGGCTTCCAAAGGGACATTGGAAAATTTCTCATTTAGATGGTCAATAATGGGACGGATTTTGTGCAACCTATCATGATCTGCGTGATCTCTTGGCAGATGTTTATTGTTATCATTGAAATGTATGAAACGACGAATTTTTTCAAAGGTGTTTACTGGCATAGTATTTTGAACATGAGGAAAACATAAATCGTCACTCCAGTATGATCGTGTATTTGGCATACTTACTAAAGACATAAAATAACAAATCCCAATAAAATTTCCGATATCTCGGGCAGTGAAATTTGTTGGCTTGCTTGGGTCTTTCTGAGTAGCATATAAATTGGTTTCTGATGCTATTTGATCAAACAGTTCATCAGTGAAAAAGTACTTAAAGAAGCTGTATGGTGTCTCCAAATTTAAAATAGCAGAAGGAAGGTCTGTAGATCCATGAAAGGTAAGTTGTTCTTCATTTAGCTTGATACCCACATGGTTCCATTTTACTTTCTCTTTCTTCTGTTTAGATTTACCTTTTCCTTTTTGAGATTTGGACTTGGGTAACGTGTCTTGCGTAGCCGTTGAAGTGGAGGGTTGATCAAATTCCAAGACACTTTCACTTTCAATTTCATCCTCTTCATTTGCGAAAATTATTGGACTGGCAGTTCTTGCATCATCTTCGTCGTCACTCGGTAAATATGGAGGGTCAGCCACACTATCAGTGTCTGAAAAGTCCAGACCATCCTCACTTTCTGATAAGTTCGCTAATATCTTTGCTAATTCCTCATCCGTCAGACCTTTTTTGCTACTCATGCTACAAAATATATAGGACCTTAGTGCATATTGTTGCAGATATGCTACAATCAGTATTTCAGAAAAAGAACAATGACTAACAGTTTTTTTTATCAATATAATTATTTACATAAAAGTATATACCTTTCTTATACAGTAGAATATTTTTTTATTAAAATCTGGGCATAAATTGCGCCAATACTAATTATTATTTCTTGGCAACAATACAACATGTCCTACGAACAGCTGTTCAGTAAACAATTAAATAAAACGTCATTCAAACGCCATCTATGGTCAAATAAAAATTTTAACCAAATACTTCACTATGTTGCAGATATGCTACACCATGCATTCAAGCCAATACAAGTAATACAGTATGTCTACTATAAGAGTTCTCGGAGCGTAGCAAATTTGCAACGCGATGCATTTAAGGGTTAAAATGCATGCCAATCAAATATTTTTAAATTCGAATGATACATCGATGTCAGAGGTTACATAATATATATATTATAGTCTACAAATTCGGGTTTTTAATATTTATAAATATCTATTTTGAGTAGTTGCGAGAAAATTAAATTGCAATAATATAATTTAATTATGTTCATAGAGGGTGGAGACATAAATGTATTTAAAATACAAAAAAGTGGTCCATGGTAAAAAAAACTATCAACAACAAAATATCCATTAGCTGTGGAAAATTTGCATTTATTAAAAACACGTTAGTTATTATAAATATTCATATAGGTACACAAACAAAAATAACAGGCAAAAACTTTTGAATATTAAAACAAATTAACAATTTTTGTTTGTGTTTAAGTGTTTTCCTTAGCACGACACTGAAGCAGTGACGTGCAGTGGTAATTAAAAAGGGGCATGCAAAATCAAAAATTTATTTCCTTGCACAAAAATACATTTTTTTATGACTATTTTTTGCAAATAATAGAATGTTCCTCAAAACTTGTTTATATAACTTTTTTTTAATAAAAACAGACTTTTATTCTTAATAAACGTATCTTCCCTGATAGCAAAATTTGATTTTGACCCGGAATAATGGAATATTCTTAGAAGCTTCCCTTATTGCTAAGAATGTTCTTAGGGACTTTTAAAACATTCAATATATACCCTTTTAATGATGCAATTAGATTCTTAAAAGATTCTTAAAAAGCATCCCAAGAACATTTTAAGAATACGTTTTTGGAATGTTCTTAGAAGGTTTCTTATGGAGCTTTTAGGAAGCTTTTGAGAATATTCCCAAATATGTCAGATACCCACGTTCTAATATGTTGTATTCTACATTCGTAAAATTCTTCAGGAGACGACAAATACGCCTCACTGTCATAATATGACAGTGAAATGTATTTGTTGTCCCCTTAAAAAATTTTGCGACATATTAATATATTTATTTAGAAATATTAAATTAACAATTTGACCTCTAAACCATAAGTTGTATGACATTATTTCATAAAAAGTAAAATTGGAAAATTTTGTGGGGTAGGTAAGTCAGATTAGATTGAAGTTGAAGATAGTTAGGATTATTATACATAAAAATGTTAATTTAAAAATAAAAATCGGTATCCAAAATTAATAAATTAATATATTTTTATTTATAAAATAAAATACCTATAGTAAAAGTATTTTTGTTATCGAATATAGTTTTAATTTAACAAATAACTATAAAAAAATATTTTGGATTGTGTTTTTTACTTAATATTTAATACTTATTACTAATTAGGTACTTAAGTTTATGTAGTTTATGGTATATATAGGTAACTGAACTAAATATGCTTAACAGGAATATTCCTAAATGTACTTTCTATAGCAATTACTTTCTTAACATTCTAAGCATATCTTTAGAGTAGACTAATTTTTAACAATAAATCATGCTATATTTCTTTTAAGCATGTTCTTTAGAAGAAATATAGCATGATCCTAAGAGTATTCTCACTGGAAGGTTTAAAAAACATTCTTAGAATAATGTGTGCTATCAGGGTTAAAGGTCCTTGAATTTCTAGGATTATATTTTGCCAACAAATGAGACATACTGATAAAGTCACGCCACTAATTATTTTAATTATGATAAAAAATGAAAATATAATTGGTTAAATAAATACATCTTCCGAGCTAATTTTACCGCCCATTTTTTGACATGCAGAAACACTTTATTCAAAATACATAAATTGTCAGAGGTACTAAAAATACTAAATCAAACTGTAGACTATCCTTTCCAACCTCAAAAGTTTATTTAATAGCACTTATTTGAGAGCACTGGTGTGGTTGGGGATTTGTTCAAGTGTACTTCCTTGATAAAGTCATCATCGTCGAGTCGAAATTTTACTTTTACCCACTTCGCGTGATATGCAAACAAATCGTGTTTTAGTAATTTCCTTCATCGATCAGTTACAATCAAATTTTCTTTTGCAAAGCTAAAAGTGATTCCAAAT